CCGGGCGGAGAGCGGATTTCGCCCTCCGCCCGAGGATGTGCGCGAGTGGCGCGAAGCCGCTCGCCGAGCCACGATGGCTCGTTGGTCGCTCCGGCTGGAGACTCCACGCGCTGGCTTCGCCGCCGTGGAGGCTCTCCAGCCGGTCATCGCCGAGTGGGCAGGGCGGCAGCACGGGACCCTTTCCTTCCGGCTGACGCAGGTGCTTTCCGGGCATGGTTGCTTCGGAAGGTACCTGCACACGGTCGCTAGGAGGGAACTGAGTCCCGCCTGCCACCACTGCGACTGCAGTGAGGACTCGGCCCAGCACACGCTGGCGGTCTGCCCCGCATGGGCGGCGCAGCGCCGGGCCCTCACTGCAGTCATCGGAGTGGATCTCTCGCTACCGGCCGTAGTACGCTCCATGGCCGGTAGCGACAGTTGTTTTACCGCGGTCGCAACCTTCTGCGAGGTAGTAATCTCGCGGAAGGAGGCGGCGGAGAGGGCCCGGGAGGACGACCTCCACTCGGACCCGATCCGCCGCCGGCGAACCGGGCGGCGGAGGCCCGCCTACCACAGCCTCATGCCGCCCTGAGTGTGGCCGCGGGTGGACGGGGTGGGTTTCCCCTCCACCCGCATTAGTTGGCCAGCCGCGAGGGGGCGGCGTCCGCGTGTGCCGGACGTCGCCTAAAGAGAGGAACATCCACATTGAGACGGAGCCCGCACCAGGAGCGGGCTGGCGCTAGGAGGGGTCCGGATGTCTTAACAGCAGCTGTTCCCGGATCCCTCCTGTTACAGGCGCAGAGTGGCACACCGTGTGGTTTTAGTCGGTCCGAGTCCGACACACCACCCCGCCGCAAACCCCGGAGGGGTGACGGTCCGAGGGGATTTCCACACGTAAAAAAAAAAAAAAAAAAAAAAGGGTTTGTGTCAAGTTTTCCTTCTCTGTGCAGTGTTGTTGTTCTGCGTAATTTTTCGTTTGTCGGCTCATACGACACCCACGGGATGAATAGGGGTGGTGACACTCTGTATTCTTAATCTGTCTCGTCTGTCCACAAAATATTGGCACCGGGGTGTGCGATAAACCATTCGCAGAATTGTCGACGAGGTAAGGCGTCTGTTTCTTGTAAATCTTGGACTTTCTGATAACGGTAAGGGTGCAAGGCAGCGGTGTTTATCAGCTTCCATACGCAGAAGCATTGCGCTGTGAGCTTGCTCGAGGTTCCCGTTCAAAGAAGTCGAAGATTTGTTCTTGACCTCTATTGCAAGTCTTGACCTTGCAGTACCCCTTGCGTGTGACGGGGTTCTAAACTGTCCATAGTCTAACAGCCTCTGATTTGCGGAAAAAATCCTTTGGCGGTTAGGTTAGGTTTCGATGGATGGATTTAGTATACCTTGTCTTTGGAGTCGTGGTATACTTTAGGCTTTCACCACTACGAATGTACCAACGCACCATTTCGTAATACTCGCGATTAACTTTTGTAAGATCTATGGGGATCTTGTGTCAACTAGGGTGAATTTCCGTGCGTTTAGGCGATTCTGCCATACATATTATAGAAATCAAATATATCTCACGTAGGACCCGTAATATTTTGTGGCCGTGGTGCTTCCATGTTTAAAAGGGTGTATGCCCATTTTACTTAATTTTGTCTCCCGCTTTGCTAAGGAGGGAAGTGGATTTACTGTATTTCCAACTCCTCCAATTTTCTTCTTATTAATTTCGTTGCGGGTTCCAAGACAGTTTAATTTCTTCCTGGGACTTCCCGAGTGTCATAAATCGGTGTGTTCGTGGGTTACTGCTGTGGATACTGGTGTACAGGAGTTACTGGTGTACAGGAGATTTTTTTAAGGGACTAATCCCACCCACACGCCCACCACGGGCGTGTGGGTGGGATTAGTCCCTTAAAAAAATACTCGCGATTAGAAAACATGGTTTGCACTGTTGACGTCACGGAAGAACGAGCGGTACCGCCCGGAGGATGCACTGATGCGACAAGACGCGGCCGACTGACCTATTATAACCCGGCAATCTCGTGCGCGACCGTCCCGCGGGGTGACAGACAGTGGCGCGGGGCGAGGTAGCGCGTCATTCTAGCACACGGCTACACACGAAGAGAAGTGTTTCCCTTCCCCGCTACACCACCCGCTACCCGCTGACATCTTGAGTACCTCGTCCCCGCCACCGTCTGTCACCCCGCAGGACGGTCGCGCACGACGTTGATGGACTATAATTACTTAATTGTTGGATTTGTACCATCCGGTGGCCAGGTTTCGCACTCGCCTCACCCTGGCACACCGCGTAACCCGATGCATTCTTTATCTCACTGCTTACGTTTTGTATGTTTGAATGTGACCACGTTGCTAAATATTTTCTTCGGGAAGAAATATGTTATGTTAAAAATTTGACCTACCATTTTTTTGCAAAAACGGGGTCGTAAAATAATGTCTAGTGTGTGTGTAACTTCGATTTCACGCTGTATTTTCTGGATGACGGCTGTCTTGTCAAATGACGTGAGTTGAACTAAAATTATAGTGAACAAAATGTCGGCCTTTAATACGCCTTTGTCTGCTCCTTTTGGATATAAGACGTGAGCCTCTCTATGTGTGTGTCAGCTACTTATCTGTTGTTTCATTCAAAGGGTATCTGGATGACAACGCTTTCGACGATAAGACCGCTCATAGTTCTTTCCTCTAATTATTATTAACTGTTTAAAAAAACAGTTCATTATAATGTATAGGTACTTTTAGTGTCCTAGGGGCGACAAAAGAAATAAAGGGAGACAGTGTAAACGTTGGGAAGACGACTTCAGACAAATGGCGGGCGCTAAGTGGACCCGAATAGCTAGGGATCGAACTGCATGGAAGTCCTTGGAGGAGGCCTTTGTCCAGAGACAAGCTGCTACACATAAAGCGATTACCGATATACTATAATGACCACAACTGTGTAACAAGTATAATATTAATGTAAATAGTATAACATTTAAGAAAAATATTGTAGAGAGTAACAGTAATAAAGGCTCATTTTATTTTATTATAGTGTGCAAACCTAACTAAAATTATTCGACTTACTTATTATTATTAAGATGACGGAGCAGGACTTCTACCTCGGTAAAGCCATGTTTCAGCACATAACAATTCTTTGGTTGGTTGTCACCGAGTTAGTAAGGTTAGCGGAGTTCAACCCCCTCTCCTCCTGATTCTTGGTCGGTGGAGACTCAAAGGGCGGTAATGCGTTTTGTGACTTTCGAGTTGCAGGTGCCGATAAGCGGAGGTAGTCACTTGCCATCAGGTAACCCATCTGCTCGTTTGCCACCATAGCGATATAAGCATAGAGTGAACAAGAGCCCTAATCTTACAATATAGACAACGAGAGAGATAGATTATAGACAGTTCCCTCTATCTCTTTCTAGTCAAGCTCTGTGGTTGGATAGGAAAGTTTTTAATCTCCCATCTGTTCTACGATTATAACCATGCCCACTTTACGATAGCCAATCGCGGCTTAGCTAAACAGAGACAGAGGGATCTATCGGGCATCCATCTCTCTCGTTGCCTGTATCGCTTCCATTTACAGATAGCTGTACCCTGTTTTCTCTCTATGCTTATATCTCTATTTTTGCCAACCTAAATAAATAGTTTCAGCTATAAAAAGGTCAACATTCGCAGTTGTTCTAATAAACTACACTGTTTAAGTCAAACATATACAATAAGACATGAATTTAAATATTGTCAGTTTGTTTTTAACAGAATAGTTAAAAGCTTCCCCACTAATTAACCCTCTTCCACCATAGCCTCTCCTGCAGCAGGTCATAATAGAATCCAGCCAAAATCATGTTACACAGGCCTCAAAGAAAATTATGAAGAGCTTTTTCTGTTTTTATCATCTCACACACTGCAAGTTGACTTCAAACTAAGCAGAGCCTGTGCTATGGTAATCAGACTACTGGTAAACATACTTCACATCACATCAACAGCCTTGAATAATCCACTGCTGGATATAGGCCTCTCCTTAGAAAGGAGGTTTTGGCCGACTATATCACGCTGGCCAGACGGGTTGGTATAGGGTTTGTTTCAAGTTTTCCTTCTCTTTGCCGCTGTTGTCCTGCGTAGTTTGTCCCCTTAGTCGGCTTTTACGACACCCAGGGGATGAATAGGGGTGGTGACACTCCGTATTCTTAATCCGTCACCACACGGACTAAACATACTTTAATATTACTAAATACATCCATATTATAGATAAATTAAAACCAGACACAGAACAAATGATCGTGCTCATCACACAATATTTGTCCTGGGTGGGAATCTATTAAGCTATTGCATAGCTTCTATCGCGGGCCTTGAGCGTGGAGACCGAATCCAGAAATTCCGTAACGAAAATAACCTAACACACCCCACGTGATACTTTTTAGTTTTGCCATCTATCGATGAAAAGCAGAACTTTTAATGACTTTTTTGAAATATCACGCTTGTCTCTTTAGTTCAGCAACTCGCCTCTAGGTGGCATTGGTTGTATCGGCGTTACTGCGCATGCGTAATCCCCCTCTTCGCCCCGTAATCTAATTAATATCAAATAAAAAAAAAAAAAAAAAAAAAAAAAAAAAATTGCATAAGTTGATAAAAAATGCTATGCAATAGCTTTACCGCGGCAGCCGCCCGAGTGCCACACGTCTTTTTTTTTATTATTAACTAGTTGTACTCTGCCACGCTTGCATGAAATGAAGAACCAGACTGACGCCAAAAATAGATAAAAACAATCTTTGAAGCGGGTTGTATATCATATCAAAATTTGAGCTCTATCCAACTTAATAATTATGTATATAGATTAATAGATAATAACTAGTATAGATATAAGATATCAATCTGTGTGGTGACGGATTAAGAATACGATATGTCAACACCCCTATTCATACTGTGGGTAGCATAAGAGCCGACTAAGGGAGCAAACTCTATACCAACCAGTTTGGCTGTTAATGATGATAGATATCAACCTAAATTATTAGAATCATAAGGGATGAACTTACTTGAAATTATGGCATCGTCTGACTTCCCTGGGCACGATTACTGGGCATCCTGTTCAGTCTCTTCCCAATAGTCTGTACATGGAAACCAATGTTCTGCAGTCTCTCATGATTGAGAATCTTTCTTCCATCAAAAATGTATGCCGGTTTCATCATCACCTCATATATTTTCTGGAAATCTAACGTTTTAAACTCATCCCATTCGGTGCAGAGTACAATGGCATGAGCACCAGTGACAGCCGAGTATGCGGTATCGTGGATTTCAACATTTTTTTTAACTATTTCTGGCTCAGAGGTTACGTATGGATTTGTTAATTCGTACATAATCTGATCTGGCTCTACTTTTGGATCATAAATATTTAGTTTTGCTCCTTCATCCAAGAGAGTTTGCGATACGTAAATTGCGGGTGATTCTCTTGTGTCCCCTGTATTTTTCTTAAACGAAAAGCCTAAAACAGCTATATTTTTATCAGTAACTGTATTAAATAGAGATTCTATAACTTTTCTGGTAAACCTTATCTTCTGGTAATCATTCAAGTTGAGGACTTGCTGCCAATATGCTGCTACTTCAGGCAAATTTAAACACTCACACAAGTATATAAGGTTTAAAATGTCTTTTTGGAAACAACTGCCACCAAAGCCAATGGACGCTTCAAGGAATTTTGGACCAATACGGGAGTCGCGGCCAACTGCTCTTGCTACTTCGGACACATCGGCTCCTGTTGCTTCACACACAGCAGACAAAGAGTTAATACTTGATATACGCTGTGCAAGAAAAGCATTAGCAGCAAGTTTAGACAATTCGGAACTCCAAGTATTTGTTGTAAGAATATTCTTTGCTGGTATCCAGTGCTCATATACCCAGCACAGCTCTTGAATAGCTTTCTGACCATCCGGAGTATCTTCACCACCAATTAAAACCCTCTCAGCTTCGATCAAATCGACAATAGCAGTTCCTTCTGCCAGGAATTCTGGATTAGATAGAATTTGATAATTCACACCTGGTTTTGTGTTTGCTCTGAGTATTTTCATAATAATTTCAGCAGCCTTGACGGGAACTGTGCTTTTCTCAACAACAATTTTGTTACTTGTGGCTAGATCAGCTATCATACGGGCTGCACTCTCAACGTACTTTAAATCTGCAGCCCTCCCTTTACCGTTCCCGAATGTCTTAGTAGGAGTATTCACTGATATAAAAATCAAATCGGCTTCCTGAATTCCTTGTGCTATGTCAGTCGAGAAAAATAAATTTTTACCTCGACACTGTCTCACGACGTCGTCCAACCCTGGCTCATATATCGGCAGTTTGTCAGAATTCCACTGATTTATCCTTTCCACACTTTTATCACATACAGTCACCTTAATATTGGGACATTTCAAAGCGATCACACTGCAGGTAGGCCCACCGACGTAGCCCGCTCCCAAGCAACAAATTTTTTCAATAACCATTTTTAATCCACGAACAATGCACAAGTGACAAAAATGAACACCGCGGAAGTGATAAATAAGGTTTTAATTATGTTTTAGTACACGTTAAACTAATGAATTAACTATGTTCTGCAGAACTGATTATAAAACACGATATTATCGTTTTAATTACGTTTTTGCCGCGTTTTATTGTTGAAACATGTGGCAGCCAAATGTTGTCGGCGTCGGCGTTAGGCAATAATTACCGCTTTGTAAGAAGTTCGCGAGCTTTTATTTTAACAGCGCCCTAATAGCCGACCCGTCAGCAGGTGCACTCGGCTGATGGCCGATGGGATGGTGTCAATGACATTTGGGTTTAGTGCTGCGAACATACTGACTGAGTTGTTAGAATTAAATTTATCAGAGTTATCAGACAAATACGTATTGACCTCATTTATAGATAATATTTATTAATAATCTAATTGTTGATACTATAATCAGAAATATAACAGTAGAATAGTTTTAGTGGTCACATGGATTTAAATATCCTCTTGTTCAAATTAATTTGTTATTTAGAAAATAAATAAATGTATTAATATTTGAAAAGAAGAAAAAAACTAATAGGAACACCTAAAGAAGTATTATATGTGGCAGCTTTATTATTTAGCAAAGAAGTATTATATATATATCATCAACTAATTTTAAAAGTAGGTTTTCTTCTGAAGTCAGTCGAGCTGATATGTAGGTACTTCTTTGCTTTTCAGGTGTATCTACCACGGTTCGTAATCTAAATCTAGTAATGACAAAACAAAGTATGCAATTTACTCTATCATTTCAGGATAAACAACAAACGACTGTAAACTTACTGTTCTCATAAAATCTTAAATATTAAAGGTTTAGTGACATACGATTCTATCAATTGTTGCAGAGAAATTCAAGGCCTAATTTACACAGTTGTTTTGATAGTATTTCTTTTTGTTCCGTGGAACCAGGTGTACCCTAGGAATATAATCCCTGATTGTCCGACGTACCTCGGGCCATCTATGGCGTGTAGATGACCCCCTACGGTGTGGAAACCAATATGTCCCGTCTCACCACCGCCCCGGCCTGCTTCTGCTAGGGTGACAAATGGCCTCACCTACCACTCCCAGGCCTGCGCTTATGGAGGACAGGGGTCGTTCTGCGACCCCTGTCCTCCATAAGGTGCCTGGTCCGCTCCCCGGCCTGGCAGGCCGAGAGGGTACTAAACCTCTCGTGGTCCCGCTCCGCCATCTCTTTTGGCGACGGTGGAGTTCCACTCACTCTCGCTCCGTACCATTCCGGCAATCATGTTACCGAGCAAGAGAATTCCCAATCCGATCTTTCGATCCCGATGCTTCGTCCATCGCAGTGGTGGCACTCAGGCATTGGCTTCTTGCGGACCAGACAGGTGATCTCCGCATCATCCATTCCTGGGGATTACCTGCGTCAACCGGTATGAGAGGGTTCCTAGATGCCTCTCGAGCCAATCCTCCATAACGGGTCTTACCGCCGTGATAACGGAGTGCCCAATGATATTATTAACTCGTATTACCGTTTACGATCACATAAATCATGGACTTTTTGCCAACTTAGTGGTAAAAGAAACACTCAATAAAATTTATTTATAGTGTCTGATGAAAGGACTTGCCCAACACTAGTGTGGTCAGAAGTGTTGCTAGCAACTAAATAACCTTTACCTAAAATAAATGCAAATTAGTGATGCGCAAAATGTATCACTGAGCTGAAAAGATTGATACATATCATTTCGCTCTAAAGATATATATCACTCATCTAGCTCACTAGCTCATTTAGCTCACTAACTCATTTAGCTCACCAACTCATTTAGCTCACCAACTCATTTAGCTCACTAGCTCATTGATCCGATTCAATTGATTGGTCTCTCAATTAATTCATTTCTTCATCTAAGCCTTTAAGCCACTTTAAGCCTATCTCGCCATACAAACCTTTCTTTATTTTCATATTAACCTAAATTCAGTTTTTGAAACTACATTCTTAACCTTTTTTTTTTAAATAAAATTTATTCATTTTGATAAGATTACATAATTATTAACACCCTTTTATATAATATTTAAAAAAAGAAATTATTTCTTGTACTTTTTTTAGGTTGTATAATAGAAATCGTACATAATTTGATTTTCCTTGTACTTGCCAGGCTTAATTCTTAAGTAATATTAAACTTTGATCCTATAGAAATAATGTACATTTTGCATAAAGAAACTTGCGTGAACTCAACCATCATCTATCTCACTCATTTATCTTTAGTCTCACTCGCTCATGAAACAAAGATCGGCGTCGTTGAGCTAGTGATCTAATGATCTAGTGAGCTAGTACTGAGTTACTGATATATTCGGAGCTAGTGTGAGTGAGTGATACATTTTATCATCGTGAATGATATATATCTTTTATATCACTCATTCAGGAGCTACACAACTCTAATGCAAATGATCGACACCACAAATTCTAGTTTAATAAGCATTCTGATAAATATTATGCATATTTAAATAATGAAATCAACTTAAAGGAAAAGTTTTAGTATTTACAGATAATTATTAGAGCCAATGACAATGATTATTAGTCTTTTTTAATGTACGGGTTACCCAGTTTCTGTATAAAAAAAGGTTTCCTGATTGACCACTTACCCCTCTTGATAAGATTCATTTTAATAGTTATTATTTTAATTAATTAGAAATTGTATGTAAACAAAAGTGCAGACTAACTGCTGATTATTAAGTACCTTGAGTTGAGTGTTGATTAAAAGAATACTCAGAACTAGACCCTGAATCTTTTAGCGAACAACATTTTATGTATACAATCAATCAGAATGTCTGTTTGTCGCACTTGTTTATCTATAAACGATCTACAGCCAATATTTCGTGAAATGGATCGTGTTATAACACGCACAAAACAGCTTTATGCAGTGACAGGCATTGAGGTAAATAAAATAGAAAAGAAAAGTACAAATGCATGTATGATAAAATTAACACATCTTTATAATGTACTGATAAAAGGAAGGAAGTGTATTACGATAATGTAATAAGTTTATGATACATTGATAGTGATTTCCAATCTTGTTCATTTTATTACATGAAAGAATTTGTTTACGTTTCAGTCATGTTCAATAAAAGCTTATTACAACTGCTGTAGGTATTATCTATTAATTCGGGTATAGCAATGATTTTGCTTTTTATAGTTTTATTACAGTTTATGGTACAGTACCTGAGTACATTATGCGTTATGACGGAGCATTGGATATTATTATAATAATAATAACCATACACATCTCACACATGGCCATCAGCTGCTTATAAACATACTTGTATATTTCTAAATACATACATCATCATCATCAACTGCCCCTAACAGTCCACTGCTGGACATAGGCCTATCTTTACAATAGGTAGTGGATTTGGCCTACAATACCACACTGACCAGACAGGTTGGCATAGGGTTTATTTCAAGTTTTCCTTCTTTTTGTAATGCTGTTGCCCTGCCGAGTTTAATCCCTTTAGTCGGCTCTTATAACACCCACAGAATGAATATGGGTGGTGAAGTGGTGACACTCTATATTCTTATTCCGTCACCAGATGGATATACACACCACACATACATATTACAGATAAATTACACCTAGACATGAAACAAATGACCATGCTCATCACACAATTATTTGTCCTGGGTGAGAATCAAACCCACAACCTTTGGCTTAGCAGTCATTGTCACTAACCACTAGACCAACAGGCCAGGATATGTGATTGTGTGATCAGCACAATCATTTGTGTGTCTGGATTTGTCAAATAATATGTTTATATTTTTTAAGCCGTAGTTTGAGACCTAACAGTCTATCTACAGAACTTCAAAGTCACCTAGTACTCAAGTTGTAGAAGTTCAGCTATGTGAAAGTAAACTGAAAGCCAAACCCAACCCAGGTTGGGAAAAGGCTTAGATGATTGTGTATATATTTCTTAATATAATGATTGGCATTATATATTGATTGGCATGATTGGCTTAGATGATTGTGTATTGATTGGCCGTATATTGATTGGCAGTCTAGTTTTCATAGTATAGGCTTTGCCAGGTGTGAAATAACATCAGAATAATAAGCAGTGTACAAGTTTCCCTTTGACTGCATGGATAGCATAGCGGTCTTAGTGGTCACCTTGCCGTTTCCTTCTCCGGTCTCCTTCTGGGTGTCCTTTGTGTCCGTTTCCTGTATGTTTGTAAAGTCCCCCGCGACACAGGATTTGTTCCTAGTGCTGGAGCTGTCTTTTTCAAAAAAATAAAAAATAGTGTTTGCCTTCATAACGCTCAACCTCTTGGAAACTGGCAGTGGTTGATTGACACAGGCATATAATAGATTTTTGATATTTATTGTGCTAAATATTTGACAAAACAGAGATTGTTGCTATTGTGCATGTTGAACTATGACTTAAGAGCCTACAGCCATTAGGAACGATTTCCAACAATTATAAAAAAATCTGAAATAAAGATATTTTGAGTTTGAGTTTAAGAGGTCTTAAGACATTATTATTAGTATATAAAATTTTAATTATTCAATGACATATTTTACTCCATTCTACTATTAATATATTATTAAACTAGCTGGTGCCCGCGATTTCGTTCGCGTGGACTTTGAAAAGCGCCGCCTTAGTGAGTTTGAGTCTCGGACCAGGCAAAATATTACAGGGTTTTTCTGAGAGAATAACTCCTTATATAGGTAGGGTAGTAAAATATTATCAAAATCAGTCCAGCTGTTTTGAAGATTACCCGGAACAAACAGAGAGCCAGACAGACAGATAAAAAATATTTAAACTGGTTTTTAGGCATAGGTATCGTGCAAATAACCTTGTAAGCATGAAATAACCTATTATTTTGACATTACAAACAGACACTTCAATTTTATTTATTTGTATAGATTTTCTGATCTTGTCATTTACAGATATTACCAAATGATGGTCTACCCCAGGTATTATGTACACAATGTATTAAATTAATAGAAGACGCATTACAACTGAGACAACAGAGCTCCAAGGCACATGATATCCTTAAAAGTAGAAAAAAATGTAATACTGTTCAAAAAGATATTAAAATATCATCGCAACAAGGTATTATTGCTAACCCTGATAGTTATAAGCTTAATGATATTCAACAACTATCAAAAAGAAAGGAATTAGAAATTAAATCTGAAATTATTACTAAAAAGAGGGTAGACAGGAAAAGTATCCGAATTGAAGATTTTGAATCGAGTGATGATAGTGGAAGTGTGGGTAATATAATTCTAGAAGATTTGGAATCTGGTGATGAAGAAGTGAAAGTGTGTATAGAAGATTTCGAATCTAGTGATAGCTTTGGTGCAGAAGATCTTGCTACTGCGGTAGGAGAGGTGAAAGAAGATTCTAATAACTGCTATGCGTACAACCAAGCAATAAAAGAGAAGCAGTTATTGGATAGAGAAAGAAGAAAAGTTGAGACAAGGGTAAATTTCTATTGTCTTTTTATATATCACTTATTTTTTAACAGCTTGTAAAGTAGGCGACTGCACGGATGGCGTAGTGGTTTAAGCGGTCGCCACGCCGCTTACTACTACGCTGAGTGTTGTGGGTCCGATCCCCACATTAGACGACACTTTGTTGTGATCCACAAATTGTTGTTCTGAGTTTGGCTGTTCTTTGTGTCCGTTTCATGTATGTTAGAAAGTACCCCGCGATACAGGATATATTCCCAACGCGGGCGTTGTTAAAAAAAAAAAGATAATAAAGAGGCAGTCATCATCATGTACAGTGACCCCAGTGACATAGCCCTCGGGTCCACAGGTCGCGTAGTAGAAGACCGTAATGTACATCCGGCTCAAAGGACCATAATACAGCCCGGATCGAAGGACCATAATATAGTATCGAGTTATGATAGCGGTCTTCTACCACGCGACGTGTGTTAACCCGAGGGGCATTACACAGCATCAGATCCGAAGGGTTTGTAAGTTGGAGACCAGCTAGAAGAAGAGTGCGCTGTAGTTAACGTGAAACCAGATTTATTCTTACTAATACAATAATTATTTTTAAGTTTACTTAATCAACGATTTTGTTTCACTAGCAACGTGTGTTTAGTCCAGCCATCAATGTTGCACGCTCGTGGGATTTTTTTTTATGGTATAATGTGCAAACCAGCTGACGCGACACCTGAGGGTAAATGACTACCGCCGCCCATCGACACCATGACAACCTCAGAGTCACATGTGCGCTACAGCTACCCTTTGGTTTCCTATCCCTAGTATTATAGGCCTATCGGAAAATATGTTCAGTAAAACACAAAGAAAGAATTGCTTAAAACCGGTTTGGGTTCTTTTTTCGTCGAACGCACGATTTTATTTTTATTACACGCTTTATATTAGCTTCACTTGTATGTTTGTTTGTTTGTTTGTAGCCGACTCCTTTGGGCGTGATTTTGACTGACTTTAAACGGTCAGAATTCGTTCAAACTTTGTAGATATATCGAGGACCGGTATATATATTTTTTTTGTTTTTTATATTAGTGTATTGTCACACTAATATAAAAAACAAAAAAAAATATATATCAAAAAATATAGTTTTAAAAAACAAAAAAAAAAGCGTGGAGTGCTTTTCACTATTGATTTATTAGAATTTATTTTCTATTTTTTAGTTCGGTTTTCTATAAAAAGCGTGTTTTTTAGTTTTTTAAAACTTTTTTTTTTCTTTTTGATATGTTGTTTTTTTTTACACGTACCTTTATTATTTTTATGCCAGTCAAAAACAACCTGCAACCTTAATGTGTGTCTGGACGTTTTTATCACAATGCTTAATTATTGATAATTTAATCAGACCTGTATTTAAAGATGTCAATATACTTTGTACTGTGGCGACTCCCACATACAAAGAAACAGAAACACACTACAGCGCCATCTAATGAAGACACACCGAACTACGGAGTAACTACTAAAATAAGAATTGCTAATCCTGTATCGCGATATAAAGAATTCCCTCGCCGATTAGCATATATACAACTTCCCAACATCAACCGTTGGGCCGTGGCCCGCCAGGCATGATCCCCTCGCCTGGTCGGAGGATCCTCCCTTTGTGTTGGAGGGACATGACACCCGTTCCTCCACAGTACCAAAAAAATACACGTGATTTTTTGTTATCTAAGACCTCACCACATACCACCAAGGGGGGGAACATCACGTGATTAATGGACGACCCTGTTCTTGTGTAGTCGTGTTCTCACTCTGGTCGTGCCTTGTGTCGAAGCACACAGTCGAAGGAATCACACAGGGAGGCCTATGTCCAGTATAATTCCTGTGACAGAAATAATTATGAAGAATTTTCTTCTGTTAGACTGCACAGATGGCGTAGTGGTTTAAGCGGTCGCCACGCCGCTTCCTACTACGCTATGAGTGTTGTGGGTTCGATTCCCGCATGGGACGAGACTTTGTGTGGTCCGCAAATTGTCGTTCTGAGTCTGGGTGTTCTTTGTGTCCGTTTCATGTATGTTTACATATTTGGATATATTCCTAGTGCGGAGTTGTCTTTAACAAAAGGAAACCAGTCAGTTCACCAGAATACACAAAGATTTTGACTTCCAGGAGTTGGAGCAGAAGTTACTGGCTCTAGCTGTGACTCCATACGACCCTGGAGGTCCTATCCGCTGTTCTCTATGCAGCACAGTAGTCAGGAGTGTTCAGAATTTCAAGAACCATGCCCGAACACATTATGGTCTTCAGAATGCTTGTGAGGTTAGTAGAATATCATTTCTTTCATGGTATAGGGGGGCGAACGAGCAGATTGGTCACGGCTACCGCCGGACCTGGACACTTGCAACTTAAGAGTTACAAGTGCATTGGTGTCCTTTGAGTGCCCTCCCCCAGGATGAGGGGAGAAGGTTGATTTCTGTTTACCTCACTCTTGGTTTTCTGTGAGGCCATGGTATCAGGTTGGTCGAGCCCGCCCAAATGCATCTCCCATGGTTAAAATATACTTAACCTGTTGGTTTAGTGGTTATTGACCCCAGCAGTCAGGGTCACCGGAGGTCGTGGGTTCGATTCTCACCTAAAACAAATATTTTTGTGATGAGCACGATCGTTTGTAATTTATCTATAATATGTATGTATTTAGATATATATATAAGTATGTTTATCAATAGTCTGATTACCATAGTACAGGCTCTGCCTAGTTTGGGATCAGTCGGCCGTGTGAGGTTATTTTTATCATCATCAACACGCTTTAATAGTCCACTGCTGGACATCGGCCTCTCTTTAGAAAGGAGGTTTTGGCCTACTATACCACGCTGGCCAGACGTGTTGGTATCAAGATTTTATTCTCTTTGTTTCCTTCTCTTTCAAGCTTACTCCCTTAGTCGGCTCTTACGACTCCCATAGGATGAATAGGGGTGGTAACACTGAACCAAAACTAGATAGATAGATAAATACTTTATTTGTACACCAGGGTTTTACAGACATCATAAAGTAATTAACAACAGATGTAATGTACAAAGGGCGGCCTTATCGCTTAGTGCAATTTCTTCCAGGCAACCTTTAGATGGATTCATTTTGAACTGGTGATAGGTATACAGAAATTAGAGAAATAAATAAGGTCCTGAAATGTTTTTTTATTACAAAAACTAGATAGTCTTGCTTTAAGTCTTTTTTTACGTGGAGCGACTACCATCAGGTCTCCACAACTCAAATACTTACTATGCGATATCGAAGTTCTGTAGATAGACTTTTATCGAACGTTTTAGAACTCCAACTATCCGTAACGATTTTGAAAAAAAGTGATGTACATACCATAAATACCAGAAATAAAAATAAACTTGTTGTACCCGCCTCTAGGCTCCAAAAGATAAACAAGACTTTTCGAGGTCAATGTGTCCGATTTTATAATAAAATCCCAAATAATATTCAGGAGTTGAGTATTAACAAATTTAAATCCGCAATAAAACGTGGCTTGTGCCAGAGGGCCTACTACTCGATTGTGGATTACATGGAGGACAAGAATGCTTGGGATTAATTAGCGCAGGCTATTGCTTTCTTAACTAAAAATGTGGTGTGGCTAGTATGTTTTTTATTATTATTATTTTTTCTATTTTTTAATGTTTCACTTCACTTTCTCTTGTATTCGTTTTTTCTTCTTAATCTTGTTTTCTCTTCATTGTCTTTTCACCTTTTAGTCCTAATAACGGACATACTAGCACACATCAAAACAATGTTGTGATATATTTAATAGTGCCATTTTATCTACCTGTGAATTGCAAAAGAGTGGCCATGAGTTTGTTTTGCCCTTTCTTCTCATCAGGCTCAACCCCTTGGAAACGGGCGGTTGTAGATCGGCACAGGCATATCATAGATTTTGTATGGGTTTGATTTTTGTTAAATTTATTTGGTTACTGTTTGACAAAACAGAGATTATTGCTTTTGTGTGTGTTGATCTATGACTTTAAAGTCTACATGGAAGACGATTTCAAACAATTTTGGAAATTTTATGAAATAAAGAAAGTTTGAGTTTGAATTTGATTGCCGCAGATGTTCGTATGGCAACCGGGAGTCTCAATGTGTTGAGAATGGTCACCCATCCATAGGCTGACCTGTTCGGTTACCACTTAGCCACGAGTTCCTCGAAATCATTTACCCTCTGTACCACAAAAAAGGCAAATTATATTTTGTTGTCCACAGGAGTGTGGGAAGAAGTTCATGACCCTCAGCCATGTGAGGTACCACCAGCAGCGTGTTCACGGCAGAACTAAACGTCTGGCCTGCACCCAGTGTACCTACAGGGCGGTGGACCCTCAACAGCTGCAGGTAAACTCTTACCCATTTAACTGTTGATGTAATGGTTAGTTAACGTGACTGCTAAGCCGTAGGTTGTGGGTTCCATTCCCACCCAGAACAAGTAATTGTGTGATGAACACAATTATTTGTTCTGTGTCTGCGTGTAAATCTAAAATATAAAATTCTCGTGTCACGGTGTGCGTGGTTGAACTCCTCCGAAACGGCTGGACCGATTTTCGTGAAATTTTGTGTGCATATCGGGTAGGTCTGAGAATTGCCCAAAATCTATTTTTCATACCTCAAAAAAAAATTGAAAATAATGTATATGGCAAAACAACGTTTACCGGGTCAGCTAGTTATCTTAAAAATCGTTATGAGGGTATAATTATGTCAGTTTTGAAAAAGAAAATAAATTCAGTTTTTACCTGGATTTAGATACTACATTGTTTAAATATTATTACTACATTCAAGAAAAAAATATATGTATTTTAGATTTTACATTATTCAGTGTTTGTTTGATAGGCGCTCAAAGTCAAATGAAGCATTTGAGTTTTCTAGAAAATCGTAGATCGTAATTATTAGTGGTTATTTATATTGCATTTTAAAACAAACCCTATCTTTCACTTGTATGCTAATTTTCATAATTACAGATTAAGAATTAAAAAAGGTTATGTAAAAAAAATAACGTAATTATTTGAAATGGCTGCCCTGTTATGTTCATTAAATGTCAGATCCAACACTACTCTAAGACTATGATGATATGTGTGTATTTAGAAATATATAAGTATGTTTATCAGCAGTCTGGTTACCATAGCACAGGCTCTGCCTAGTTTGGGATCAGACAGCCGTGTGTGAGATGTGTGAAGTTATTAATTTTCTAAAACTTGACTATACCTTCTGGCGTGTTCACATACAACGAAACTAAAACTGTACTACAGCGCCATCTATTGAAGACTTGCCGAACTACGAAGTAACCTGTTAATCCTGTATCGATTAAAAAGTTCCAGTATACAACTTCCCAACATAAACCGTTGGGCCTCAGCCCGCCATAACCACCTAGCCTGGTCGGAGCATCCTCCCCTCGTATCACCCTATATTTCTTTTTATATCAGAACCATGAGAGAGCGAGCCACACGGGCGAGAGGCCCTTCACCTGCGACGTGTGCGGGGACTCCTTCCGGATGAGACGCAACATCGTCCAGCATATGAGGAAACACTTTGGTGTTAGAAACTTACAGGTGAGCCGCGGGAGAGGCAAGCTTCGACACACCAGGGCCAGACCCGACCGGAGTGATACCAGGGCATCACAGAAAACCAGTGCTAAGCAGTCCCTTCTTTGCTTTTTATATAATGTATTTATCTGATTGTCCGTGTGGTGACGGATTAAGAATACGGAGTGTCACCACCCCTATTCATCCCGTGGGTGTCGTAAGAGCCGACTAAGGGAGAAAACTACGCAGGACAACAGCACTGCGAAGAGAAGGATAACTTGACACAAAAACCTTTTTAATATAAAGTATCTCATATTGTATTCTGTACTCCTAACACCATGTGTGCAACATTGACAGGCGTGCTGGTTTGATGGCAAAACGAACGGACGCGTCACCTTATGGTACCTGAAGATTCGCAAGTGCTTAGGACCCTGAGTCCCCCTCCCTTCTAAAATCAGGGCTTTGAGGTGTTTGGTCTCCTTTAACCTCACACACTTAGTGAAAAGGAACCAAAGAACTGCTTAAACGCCGGTTTTTTTGTGTTGCTGTGGTATAACTCCGGTAGAGCCGGTAGCTCAGGTAGTTCACTCTCCCAGTAATATATAGCCTTCCTTATATCCAATTCAACAAGAATTTTTTATTTGTAACTAAAAGTTGTAAAGGGTAACTTGGTGAGGGACCGTCAATAAATTACGTTCCACGTTAGAGTTGGAAGGGGGTTGACGGAGTCGAGTTGACTGTAGTGGTTTAAGCAGTCACCTCGCCGCCTCCTGCTGAGTGTTGTGGGTCCGATCCCCATATGAGACAACACTTTGTGTGATCCACAAATTGTTGTACAGAGTCTGGGTGTTCTTTATGTCCGTTAAAATTAATGTTTTTAAAGTCCCCGCAGGATATATTCCTAGGGCGGGAATTGTCTTTTTTAAAAGAAAAAGAATTAAGACGGCGGGTGACATTGCGTGACATTGGGTCTTAAGGAGTCTTAAGTTTCGTGACGTCACATTTCAAAGCCTTGTTTCTTAGTACTAAAACGCGAAATTTGAATTATTAACAGAGAAATAAAATCAGTTTTTTTTTAAATGGCAATAAAACTAATTTCGTAACTGCTTTAATCATTTCTGGATGTAAAATTACAAAATATGTGACGTCACACTATGTCCCATAGTGGAAAACAAAACGGGGGTGGGGTTAAGAAAACCATAAAATTCTCGTGACGTAATTTATGGGATTCCCCTTAACCAAACAAACAAATAGTCTTTAAAGTGTAATTTATGATGGGTGTTCCAGTGCGAGCGGTGCCCGGCCATGTTCCGGAGCCGCTCGGAGCTGTGTGGTCATCAGAGTAAAGTTCACTATCATGTATACACGTACTTCTGCTACCTGTGTGACGAAACGTGAGTAAATCCTACTAGACTACTAGTTGAACGTGTGGAGGAACGGGTGTCATGTCCCTCCAACACAAAGGGAGGATCCTCCGACCAGGCGAGGTGATCATGCCTGGCGGGCCGAGGCCCAACGGTTGATGTTGGGAAGTTGTATATATGCTAATCGGCGAGGGAATTCTTTATATCGCGATACAGGATTAGCAATTCTTATTTTAGTAGTTACTCCGTAGTTCGGTGTGTCTTCATTAGATGGCGCTGTAGTATGTTTCTGTTTCTTTGTATATGGGAGTCGCCACAAACGTAGTATAATGCTGAATAGCTTGCAGGTGACATCTGGGGCGGTATACTATGGGGATCTTGTGTCAACTAGGGTGAATTTCCGTGCGTTTAGGCGATTCTGCCATACATATTATAGAAAAAGACGAGTTCGACTGCACGGATGGCGTAGTGGTTTAAGCGGTCGCCACGCCGCTTCCTACTACGCCGAGTGTTGTGGGTTCAACCCCCACATGGGACGACACTTTGTGTGATCCACAAATTGTTATTCTGAGTCTGGGTGTTCTTTGTGTCCGTTTCATGTATGTTTGTAAAGTCCCCCGCGACACAGGATATATTTCTAATGCGGGAGTTGTCTTTTTAAAAAAAAAACAAATATAGCTCACGTAGGACCCATAATATTTGTGGCCGTGGTGCTTCCCTGTTTAAAAGGGTGTATGCCCATTTTACTTCATTTTGTCTCCCGCTTTGCTAAGGAGGGAAGTCATCATCATCATCATCAACAGCCTATACAAGTCCACTGCTGGACATAGGCCTCTCCTTAGAAAGGAGGTTTTGGCCTACTATACCACGCTGGCCAGACGGGTTGGTATAGGATTTGGTTCAAGTTTTCCTTCTCTTTGCAGTGCTGTTGTCCGTTCGTTCCCTTGGCTTACGATACCCACGGGATGAATATTGGTGGTGACACTCTGTATTTTTAACCCGTCGCCACACGGAAAAGAATTTTCTAACTTTGAAAATGACGCACTTCCATACAACCCTTTATCCCTTATTTTACCTCAATAGGAGTAAAATTACAGAAAGTCTTTTCTTAGCCAGAGATGCCAAAATAATAATAATATACCTCACACATTTCACACACGGCCGTCTGATCCCAAACTAGGCAGAGTCTGTGCTATGGTGACCAGACTGCTGATAAACATACTTATATATTTTTAAATACATACATATTATAGATAAATATCACCCAGACACAAAACAAATGATCGTGCTCATCACACAATATTTATCGTGGGTGGGAATTGAACCCACGACCTCCGGCTTAGCAGTCAGGGGGCACTAACAGGCTCGTCAAAATGTTAAGTTTGAACCCCAGCGATTTAGGCTCCGTGTTAATGTATCAATCAGTCAGTCAGGGAAATTAATGTTGTCTTTTGTATAGCAACTCTCATAGGGTATACCTCTGTGGCGGCTTCAACATACGAACACCAAAAACATACATAAGCGCCATCTAACGAAGATACACCGAACTGCGGAGTTACTACTAATTCTGCATCTCGCAATGAATATTCTTGCTCCATTAAGTTTATAAACGCAACTCCCAACAGTGGTGACCGTGATGTGAATAAAAGCAGTCATATGGGCCTGCTCGACCGTAGTGAGACCACAGTCTCAAAAAATGAGTGAGTTTTCTTTATTTTATGGAGGGGGGGAAGTACCTCTGTCTCTTGAGTGGCAGATCTGTGGTTCACTTAGTCGGTGAACACCAGACCTTGTGAGGTATTGAAGTTACTCCGGTCCAGCTGCCCACAAAGCCCATCCTCAGTATATGCCTCATATATGTTAAATAACAAAAATAAATTGTCATGATCGCAGAATAATGTCGGTTTTGAAACAAATACGAAATTCAGTTTTTACCATATTTGGATACTACATTGTCTAAATATTATTACTACATTCAAGAAAAAAATTTATATGTATTTTAGATTTTACATTACTCAGTATTTGTTTGATAGGCGCTCAAAGTAAAATGAAGCATAAGATTTTTCTAGAGAATTGTAAAATTATTAGTAGTTATTTTTATTGCATTTTAAAACAAACCTTATTTTTCACTTGTATGCCAATTTTCATAATTACAGATTTAGAATTTAAAAAGTTATGTCAAAAAAACTAACATAATTCTTTGAAATGGCTGCCATGTTATCTATACAAATAAATAAAATTGGAGTGTCTGTTTGTAATATTAAAATAACCGCTTTTCACTAAATGCGTATGTATGTTTACACGGTGCATATGCCAAAATAACATTTTTTTCAACTTTTGTCTGTCTGTCTGTCTGTTTGTTCCGGGTAATCTCTGGAACGGCTGGACCGATTTGGACGGGACTTTCACTGGCAGACAGCTGATGACATAAGGAGTAACTTAGGCTTTTTTAGACTAGCTTCGCCCCGCGGTGTCGCCCGCGGTTATAACAACAAACGCGGGTAACACCGCGGGTCTCAGCTAGTGTTCAATAAATGTCAGATTCGACACTACTAAGACGAAATGTTCCAGATATAAACGTCCGGCTTCGGTGAAGAAGCATTTACTTAACGCACACGGAGTACCACGGAGTCAACAACTAAACATCAAATGTGAGAAGACTAAACGGAGGTAACATCTCACACGTGTCGGCAGTAAGCGACTCGCTCTCTAAAGGTTATTGCCAGTTCGATTTCCTTCCATTACTAAATTTTTCTTCCACATTGAACTGTTACTAACATAGAGATATAACCTAGAGAGAGAGAGAGATGGATGATAGATAGTGCCCTGTATCTCTTTCTAGTCGAGCTCTGTGGTTGTCGGGGGAATATGATGAGTTAATAAGTAGCCAATCGTTGCTTAGCTAAACAGAGACAGAGGGAACTATCGGGCATCCGTCTCTCTCGTGGTATTGCTGCCACGTACAGGCAGCTTGACTGCACGGATGGCGTAGTGGTGTAAGCGGTCGCCACGCCGCTTCCCACTACGCTGAGTGTTGTGGGTTCAAACCCCACATGGGACGACACTTTGTGTGATCCACAAATTGTTGCTCTGAGTCTCGGTGTTCTTTGTGTCCGTTTCATGTATGTTTGAAGTCCCAGAGCTTGTACTATGGGTACTAGACAACTGATATAAATACATATATACTTTTTTTTTGTAAATACATACATATTATACATAGAAACACCCAGACCAAATCAAACATTAATTGTTTATGCAAACAAATGTTTGACTTGAGCGGGAATCGAACCCGCGACCGTTACACAAACAACTACGCCATCCATTAAATAGTGTAGGAAAACGACAATGTATTTAATTATCTTATATTTTTATTTTTCTAGAAGCTGTGACAAGAGTGATTAAGAAGTTAAAACAAGAAAAGAAAAGAAGTAGCTGTGTCTGTAATATAATACATAACATTATAATGTTTTATCATTGACCCTTAATACGTCCATCCTTATCACTTGGACCATCACCTGTTCGCCTATCACAACAATTCTTTGGAAGTAATTGCCGCCTGATTTCCAGACCGATACCACCTTCAAACCTTCAAGAAAAGAGCGTACTCATTCCTCAAAGGCTGGCAACGCGCTTGTGACTCCTGAGTTGCAGGCGTTCATGGGCGGGGGTAGTCGCTTTCCATCAAGTGATACATCTGTTTTTTTGCTCTACTATAACTTAAAAAAAATTGATTTGAAAATATCAATAGGTGTACAGTTACCGTAAATAAAAGTCAATATTTTGAATAAACAATATATTCCAGCTGTGAAACCCTAGGGCTCCTCGGTGGAGCCGAGGACGGCGCCGCTGTACGCGAGGTCCCAGTATTGCTCCACGCGGTGTTTCTGGAAGTGTTCGCGAGCCATCTTCTCCGTAGGCATTACCTGACAAGAAAAAACAAATGCTAAGAATTCGTGCAATTGCTATCTGGATCAATTGAGAATTAGACTGCGCCCGCTAGACATTTTGTGCATTGGACATTCTGCAACTAAACAAAAAAAAACCGCATCATAATTGGTCCATTCGTTTGGGAGGTACGTGACGCAGACATACAAAGATTAATTATAACGCTGTACATACCTTGAACTTCATCTCCCCAAACGCTCGCTGATTGACAGAACCCTCCCACACGAGGTGACAAGTGTTGGGCACCTCGTTCCCCTCCGCGTCTTTTATCATATCCTCCTCCCACTTGATGCGGTGCAGCATCAGCCTGAAACATTAGCAGTGGCTAGTAAGATGGGTGGTATCCCTTTAAAACCAAGGGACATCCTTCGATCAGGCGATTTGATCCAATGATTGATTTGCATTGCGAGAACTTTAATTGCGCGACGCACAAAATATTCATTACTACATAGTTCATCGCAATCCCACTAGATGGCGTTGAAGCATGTTTTTTTAATTTCGAAGATAACATTAATGTATTACAATTATAAATGTTATCTGCAGTTAAAAATACGCTATGCAATTTTTTTATTAAATAAAAAGCCGTGTGGTGTCGTGGGACACCCGATAGGAACGAAGTTGTGACGATCGAGTAAAACTGATTTGACACGATTTTAATTACAAGGACATCTATGAAAGCGGCTATTACCTACATATTAAAAACAATTAAAACAATTTATACATTGGTAAAATCTCCTTGCGAAATGATTTCCTATCTATTCGATAGATGGCGCTGAATGTCTGACAAGATGACACGAAAATAAAGAGCAAAAAGCCAACATCACGTGGTATTCCCAGGCGGTCACCCATCCAAGTACTAACCACGCCCGATGTTGCTTAACTTCGGTGATCGGACGAGAACCGGTGTATTCAACATGGTATGGACGTTGGCGAACGTTAAAGCAAATTTAATGTATGGTATCCACAGTTAGACGTCAATTTATATTAATAAAAAAGTGTCGTTCCAATTTTTCGTACGAATTTTTTCCGTCTAGCCCCCTTTCACAACGCGCGATAAGGAACTTCGTTCCAATAAATGTTAAATAACAATTGACATATAGATATATAAACTGCAATTTATACAGTTGACTGATGGCACTTGTCATATCTTGCTACACATATTGAATTGCATTTTCAAAGGGTATTATGGGTAGTCAATATACCAATAAAATATTGTTGCGCCATAGGATTAAACTGTTCGATTGTATGAAATGTGTAGGACAGCGCCATCTAGTATCGACTAAAGTACATCTATTAAGATTGTGGTTTATACGAGTAGTTCTGATCCTTACAGCGCTAGATGGCGCTGCAAGTAACGCGTGACTGATTCTGGAATATTCTTGTTTGTCTGGGACGGACTATCGAATACTAGGGAACCTTTTTAGTAAAATATAAAAGCGGAGCGTGTTGGCCAGTCGACACAGTTTCGTTTTAAGACACAGCAAATTGACATCGAGTAAATTTCTAGTCCGACTAACGAGACATATAGTGATTTCTAGTTTTTAGCTGGACACAGGCCTCTCCTTAGAAAGGAGGTTTTGGCCTACTATACCACGCTGGCCAGACGGGTTGGTATAGGGTTTGTTTCAAGTTTTCCTTCTCTTTGCAGTGCCGTTGTTCTGCGTAGTTTACTCCTTTGGTCGGCTCTTACGACACCCTCGGGATGAATAGGGGTGGTGACACTCTGTATTTTTAATCCGCCACCACACGGATTAAGTAAATAAACGACAATCTTTATTTATTATTTACCCCGCTCGTAACAATATGCACTGAGGGAACATCGAAACCGCGGTCCTTGAAATCACTGTCAAACACACGCCCGTTGATCTCCAAAGAAGTCCTCACATTATATTTAGATAGAAGCATACCTCTTATATTTAGCGTGCTGCTTCGGCCCCCCCTCAACAACTACGACGCAGCATCCGCGATGCAAGATCACACATCCCGTCATGTGTAACTGTTGTGCATTCGCTTCCACCTTGAACTTGGCTGAGGCGCACTCGAAGAGATCCTTCACTCTGCAAGGGGGAAAGAAAATAAGTAATGGTTCCCCACGTCACACAGTTGTGACCCTACTTAGTGAGTTGATGAACTCCATACACGTAACTGCGTGTGATATAACATTATAGTTCATTCGCGTTAAGAAAATAGTGACGCATGGATCAAGCCCGCCCTCTGACCAATCAGGTTCCAAGCTTTCGTACGGAACGATAATTTTCTTATCTCGAATGGATTTTGCTGTTATTTTAGACTTCTGTTAAAAATAATGACTGAAATTTTTATTTCTTTTTTATACTCGAAAATATCCATAGATATCTTACTGTAAAAGTCCGAACTACGGTAAATCCTATGATTTACCAACAAGTTAACTTGGTAAATATTAAGATTTACTTCAAATACACGGTCATCATCATCAACAGCCTTTAACAGTCCACTGCTGGACATAAACCTTTCCTTAGAAATGAGGTTTTGTCCTACTATACCACGCTAGCCAGACGGGTTGGTATAGGGTTTGTGTGGGGTGCTGGGCTAGAAAACCTCCTCGTGGTGCACCCTGGAAACGCTGGCGATGGTACTGTTTCCTCCTTGTCCTCTTGGAGGAGAGGATTATCGCCAGCGGCCAATATTCTAGCAGAAGAGGCAGCCGTTCATCGGCTCTCGGGCAAGGCCTGGTCCAGCAGGGTGGGCGTGTCTGCCGGTTGCCCTGCTGGCTCTTCGCTCTTCGGAGCATGGAGGAGGAAACCTCGGTAAAAAACCTGATGGCGGGGCCCTGTAGGGGCCACAGTTTCTCCGCTGATAGCGGTGGAGAAAGGAGGACGGGCTCGGCGTGTACTCACACTACCACCGAGCAGGCAGGGGGACGTAGTCTCCCTGTCAACCGTCGGCATATCGTAATCCCGAGAAGAGCGCTGTGGTTAAGTCTCGCGGCTCTGATCGGGGACGAGGGTCTTGGCTTAACCGCCCGGACCGCGAGGAAGATAACCTCTCTAAAAAATTCCCCGAATCCCGTGTTCTGGTGCGTGGCCAGGGGATGCATGGCTGATGGGAAGTTCAGTCGCGAGCGCACTCCAAGCCGAGGTACCTGCGGACCCCTCGGTTGGGTTAAAAACTTACGCTTGCCCGGGTAATGGGGGATCTCTGCCCGGGTGGACCTTTAGTTCTCCCCCACTCGTGGGATTATTATGGAAAATCTTAATTTAACCAAAAAGAAAACGATCGGAAAGAAAACACAACAGACAAAGGCAAGCCTAACGGACAAGGAGACGAAGAGCAGGAACAGTGGAGTGGATGGGTCGTCCACTGAGGGCGAGATGGTGTCGGGAACGCCTATCTCGATGGGGCTCCCAGAGGTCAGTCTGACTCTGGTCACTGGGAGCCGAAGAGCATCGGATCGGCTGCGTTCCGGATCCGCCGCTTCATCGGATGGCGCGGAGGCCATGGAAGCGGAGCGGAGCGACAGCCGGAAACGCGGACGCTCAGGGGACGTGGAATCCGACACGTCCGGCGAAATGATGCCACCAAAGGTGGCAAGCAGCCGCCGAGGGAGGGCGCGCAAACCGGCCTCGGTCGCGATCCCGTCAGGCTCCGCGTTCTCCAACGCGGAGTCGTACAGGAGCGTACGGGTGGACGGCGAGGCCGTAGCGGAGGAGGAGATCGCGGATCTCCTGCTCAAGGTTCGGGAGCCGGTGGGGGGAAATGCCCCCCAGGCTCCCGTGTCCGTGCAGGAGAGGGCGAAAGCGGCGGTGGCCGTCATCGACAAGGTGGCCACCAAATCCGTGAACCTTAAGGGCTCGTTTGTGAGGGCCCTTAAGGACTCCTCCTCCGCTTTGTCGGAGGTCGTGGAGGGCCTAGCGGGCGACGTCTCTCGCCTGCAGGTGGCCAACGAGAGGCTGACGGAGCGGGTGAACGAGCTGAGTGCTCAGTTCGCCCGCTTCCAGGCGAACCTCCCCGAGCGGGAAGCCCCGTCCGCGTCCCAGCCTGCCCCTACCACCAACTCAGGGGCATTTGACTCCCAACTGCGAGAAATCCTCATCGCAGTTGGGAATATGCTGGACGGACGCCTGGCTGGCCTGGAGGCGAGACTGCCCCCTGCGCCGAGTATGCGCCCCCCGCTCGCGTCGGCACAGCGGCCTAAGGCCGCCGCTCCGACCGCGCTGCCCGTAGTGGGAGGCCGCGTCTCCTACGCGGCGGCGGCGTCTGCCCCGACTCCATCGGCTCCCCAAAAGCCGAGGAGGGGGGCCAAGGCCCCGGCCCACTCGCCGGCCAAGGCACCGGCTAAGGCGCCGGCCAAGGCACATCCCCAGGCGCCGGCCAAGACGGGGCCTAAAACGGCGCCGAGGAGCGGAGTGGCATTCCCTCCGCTCCCCACTCCGACACCCCTGCCGGGCCCCTCCGCACCTGCCCCCTCCAACGAGGGTTGGCAGGAGGCGAGGGGCTCCAAGAAGTCCCGAAGGCGGGCCAAAAAGGCTGCCAAAAAAGCAGCCCAGGCCCAGCCTTCGCCACCGGTGGCAACGGCCTCCACAAAGAGGCCGCGGAAGCTGCAGCCGCCCAAAACCGCGGCTGTAGTGGTGACCGTGTCCCCGGAGGCGGCGGACGGCGGGCTGTCCTACGCGGCCGTCTTCAAGAAGGCCCGGGACAGCCTCGCCAACGACTTCGGAACGGTGGGGGTCAGGATGCGCCTCGCCCAGACGGGAGCTCGAGTTCTCGAGTTCCCTGGGGCTGAAGGCGCAAAGACGGCGGACTCCTTCGCTGAGAAGCTGCGGGGAATATTTGCAGCCACAGATGGTGTCAGGGTCGCCAGGCCTACCAAGTGCGCGGAACTGCGCATCTCGGGCCTGGACGACTCAGTGACGGCCGAAGATGTCCGCGCTGTAATCCGGGAGAAGACGGGGTGCAGCGCGGACAACGTCAGGGTCGGCACCATCCGCCCCGGTCCAGGAGGGCTTGGCGCCGTGTGGGTCAGCTGTCCCGTAGCGTCGGCCAAAGTATTGGCCGACGCCGGCAGGCTGCTCATCGGTTTCGTGAGCGCCAGGATCACAGTCCTGGCGGCGAGACCGATGAGATGCTACAAATGCCTGGCATCGGGACACACGCGCGTCAAGTGCGACAGTTGTTTTGACTGCGGCGGACTGTGTTTCCGCTGCGGTCAACCGGGGCATAAGGCGGCAGAATGCTCTGCCGCCCCTCACTGCCCAGTGTGTGCGGCGGGCAATAAGCCCGCCAATCACCAGATGGGGCAGAGAGGCTGCAAGCCTCCCCGCAGTTCTCGGCAGACGTCGGGGGTTAGCCAGTCGACCCAGGCTGCCTCCGATGTAGTTCGTGCGTCGACGTCGTCGCCCATGGAGGAGGTTGTAGAGACGATCCAGTAATGGATCAAGTCTCCAACCTCCTGGTCCAGACGAACCTGAACCACTGTGCCGCGGCGCAGGATCTCTTCCTGCAAACCATGGCACAGTGGTCGATAGGTGTTGCCGTAGTCGCGGAGCCCTATTCTGTCCCTCCCCGTCCAAACTGGATGGGTGACTGGGACGGCTCCGTGGCAGTCGTCGGTTCCACGACGGCTCATTCCCCGCCCTTGTCGCTAAGAGACAAGGGCACTGGATATGTTGCCGTCGAGTGGGGGGGGGATCACCATATATGGTGTCTATTTCTCCCCCAGCCGGAGTTTGAACGACTTCGAGGTTTTCCTAATCAGCTTGGAGACCTCGATACGGCGACTAGCGTCTGGGCACGTCCTTGTGCTGGGGGACTTCAACGCAAAGTCCATTGCGTGGGGTTCCCCCAGGACGGACGCCAGGGGCGGGGCCGTAGAGGAGTGGGCGGCCTCGGTGGGCCTCTGTCTTCTAAACAGAGGCTCCACCAACACGTGCGTGCGACAGCAGGGGGGGGTCGATAGTGGACCTCTCGTTCGCTACCCCTGCCCTCGCCGCACGAGTAAGGAACTGGCGTGTCCTGGAAGAGGTTGAGACGCTCTCGGATCACCTGTATATCCGATTTGAGCTCTCCCGGACCCAGGACTCCAGTAGGGGTCACGTGGCGCGGCGTTTATCCCGCTTTCCGCGGTGGGCTGTTGCCAGGCTGAACCGGGACCTACTAGAGGAGGCAGCCATAATTCACTCGTGGCTGTCTCCTCAGGCTCCGACCGAGGAGGTCGACGTGGGGGCTGGCCGCTTTCGCGATGCGATTACGCATGTATGCGATGCGGCCATGCCCCGCGTTCGAGGTCGTCGGCCTCCAAGGAAGGAGGTCTACTGGTGGTCCCAGGAGCTGGCGGACCTCCGTGCGGCCTGTACACGTGCCCGGAGGTCCTACACACGCAGTCGGCGGCGTCACCGTGGAGACGGTGAGGAGGACCGGCTTCATGAGGAGTACCGGCGGGCGCGGAAAACTCTGAAGCTGGCCATTAGCCGCGCCAAAGAGGAAAAGAGACAGGAGATGCTGGAGGGTCTTAATCGTGACCCCTGGGGTCGCCCTTACCGCGCGGTGCGACAAAAGCTCCGCGCGTCGGGCCCCCCCCTTACGGAGACTCTCCAGCCCAGCTTCCTGCGAGAAGTGGTTGAGGGCCTTTTCCCACAACGAGCGGAACACACTCCCCCGTCGATGGCCTCCCTGGCCGGAGACGACGGGGAGCACGGGGAGGACAATGTTCCGCCCGTCCGGGATTCGGAGGTAGGGGCGGCTGTTCTACGGATCCGTTCCAAGAACACCGCCCCTGGGCCAGACGGGGTACCGGCCCGAGTGCTGGCCCTGGCCCTCAACCACATGGCAGACCGCCTCGGGGAGGTGTTCGACGCTAGCTTGGCGTCGGGACGCTTCCCTGAGTGCTGGAAAAGCGGGAAGCTGGTCCTATTGAGGAAGCCGGGACGGCCAGCCGATTCGGTCGCGGCCTATAGGCCCATCGTGCTGCTGGACGAGGCGGGCAAATTGTTTGAGAGGGTTCTTTCTGCCCGCATCGTCCGGCACCTCTGCGAGGTGGGCCCCGATCTGTCGGACGCCCAGTTTGGTTTTCGGGCGGGGCGTTCGACAGTCGACGCCGTGTTGCGCCTGAGGGCCGTGACCGAAGAGGCCGTGAGCTGTGGCGGCGTGCTGTTGGCGGTGTCACTGGACATCGCCAACGCATTCAATAGTCTGCCATTCAGCTGCATCAGGGAAGCACTCCACTATCATGGGGTGCCAAAGTACCTGAGGCGGCTAGTGGCAGACTATTTAGAGGAGCGTACCGTCGTGTACGAGGACCGAGAAGGTAATCTGAGGTGTCGGCCCATGTCGTGCGGTGTTCCACAGGGGTCTGTTCTTGGACCCCTCTTGTGGAACATAGGGTACGACTGGGCCCTTCGCGCCGATTTCCCCCCAGGGCTGGGTGTAATCTGTTACGCAGACGATACCCTCGTGACAGCCCGGGGGGCAAACTTCCAAGAGGCGGCGCGCCTGGCCACAGGGGGAGTCTCCCTGGTGGTCGGGCGCATTGAGGCGCTGGGCTTACGGGTGGCCCTAGATAAGACGGAGGCCCTGTTATTCCATGGGCCCCGTCGTGGTCCACCCCCTGGCGCCTCAATCGTGGTCAACTCGGTCCTCGTACCGGTTCGGGCCCAGATGAAATATCTGGGCCTGATCCTCGACGGGAGGTGGCTCTTCGACGAGCACTTCCGACAGCTTGCTCCAAAGCTGGTCGGCGCTGCGTCTGCCCTAGGGCGACTTTTGCCCAATATGGGTGGACCCAGCGTCGCGACAAGACGGCTGTACACGGGGGTTGTCCGGTCAATGGCACTGTACGGTGCACCGGTGTGGGCGGCGGCTCTGACCGCCCAGAATAGGGTACGCCTCTGGCGCCCTCAGAGGGTAATGGCGGTCAGAGCCATACGCGGTTACCGCACCGTTTCGACGGATGTGGCGTGCGCGTTGGCCGGAACTCCCCCGTGGGATTTGGAGGCGGAAGTGCTCGCCGAAGTTTATCGGCGAGTGGCTGACTACCGGGCGGAGAGCGGATTTCGCCCTCCGCCCGAGGATGTGCGCGAGTGGCGCGAAGCCGCTCGCCGAGCCACGATGGCTCGTTGGTCGTTCCGGCTGGAGACTCCACGCGCTGGCTTCGCCGCCGTGGAGGCTCTCCAGCCGGTCATCGCCGAGTGGGCAGGGCGGCAGCACGGGACCCTTTCCTTCCGACTGACGCAGGTGCTTTCCGGGCACGGTTGCTTCGGAAAGTACCTGCACACGGTCGCTAGGAGGGAACTGAGTCCCGCCTGCCACCACTGCGACTGCAGTGAGGACTCGGCCCAGCACACGCTGGCGGTCTGCCCCGCATGGGCGGCGCAGCGCCGGGCCCTCACTGCAGTCATCGGAGTGGATCTCTCGCTACCGGCCGTAGTACGCTCCATGGCCGGTAGCGACAGTTGTTTTACCGCGGTCGCAACCTTCTGCGAGGTAGTAATCTCGCGGAAGGAGGCGGCGGAAAGGGCCCGGGAGGACGACCTCCACTCGGACCCGATCCGCCGCCGGCGAACCGGGCGGCGGAGGCCCGCCTACCACAGCCTCATGCCGCCCTGAGTGTGGCCGCGGGTGGACGGGGTGGGTTTCCCCTCCACCCGCATTAGTTGGCCAGCCGCGAGGGGGCGGCGTCCGCGTGTGCCGGACGTCGCCTAAAGAGAGGAAAACAAAAACATTGAGACGGAGCCCGCACCAGGAGCGGGCTGGCGCTAGGAGGGGTCCGGATGTCTTAACAACAGCTGTTCCCGGATCCCTCCTGTTACAGGCGCAGAGTGGCACACCGTGTGGTTTTAGTCGGTCCGAGTCCGACACACCACCCCGCCGCAAACCCCGGAGGGGTGACGGTCCGAGGGGATTTCCACACGTTAAAAAAAAAAAAAAAAAAAAAAAAAAGGGTTTGTGTCAAGTTTTCCTTCTCTTGTAAATACACGGTAAATGTCGATAAACAGAAATGTTTCACTAACAACAAATCTTAGGATTCACCGTAGTTCGGGCTTTTTCAGAGCAGGACACATTACGATGTTAAAAAAAATATTTTTACTTGAATAAAAGTCGAAATTTCAAAAACATTTAACATCGCAATTCTTGAGGAAGTTGATATATTATATTAATATCAGAACAGTGACTGCAAACGCGACCGAATCAGTCGGAAAGTCAGATAGGTAAAAGCCAAGAAATGAATCTATACTAATATTATAAAGCTCCAAGAGTTTGTTTGTTTGTTTGAACGCGCTAATCTCAGGAACTACTGGTCCGATTTGAAAAATCCTTTCAGTGTTAGATAGCCCATTTATCGAGGAAGGCTATAGGCTATATATCATCAGGCTAAGACCAATAGGAGCGGAGCACCAATGAAGAACGTTTCAAAAACGGAGAAAATTTATTACTATTGAGAGACGCAGACGAAGTTGCGCGGGTCAGCTAGTTACCTATATACAGCCACATTGACGCCCATACTTGTGTCTTCACGTATCTTCCTGTCCACCTGAAATATATCAATAAATAGTTCATAGCCTTATAATTACGATTTTTGGGACCAAATGAATATTTTCAGTAATTAAGCGAAGTATATTCAAAGGTATGTTATATGTATAATTTCACGGAAGAATGTCTCACCTTCTCCCGTTTCTGCTCTTTAGTCAGAGCCCTGGCTTTGTTCGCTTCAAGATGCGTCTTCTGCCGCTTGGCTATCTGCTCTCGGACCTTCGCTTCGATGGCCGTGGGGTCCTGGACCGCCTCTGTTCCTAGAGCTCGCATGAGGTTGGATATTCTGTAAATTATATACAAGTGTTTGTAATCTCAGAACTCCGTCATTTTGGCACCGATTTGGGAGAATTATTTTTTTATTTGGAAGAGTATATTTAATTTTTATTAAAAAAAAAACAATTTCCACCCCTTTATTTTCGTGCGGACATCCCCTTTGGAAACCCCCCACGGCTAGATCGGTGGGGTGGTAATGTCAAACTCGAACCGATTAAAACCGTACACCGTCTCGGACACTAATATCCGGGGAACCAGGAGTAACCTAGAAAGAAAATCCCTTGTACCACTACTTCACCCCTGATGGTGGAAAATTAAGAGTTGAAAAAGACTGAATTGACCCAGATGTGACCTCAATTCATGGCAGAAACTGGTGTATGTCCAACTCTGTGTTACCTGAGTTTAGGCTCGGGTGGTGCTTCCAGACCCAGTCGCACTTTCTCCTGTTCCTCCTTCCACGCTTCTCTACGCGATTGACGTCGCAGCTTCTTGCGTTCCTTCTTGGTGAGGAACACCGGCATGTATGTGGGCTTGAGTGGTTCAGCTGTGGACAAAAGAAAGTATTTGAAAAGCAATATCCACGAAGATAAGTAAGATTTAGCCCCAGCCTGGACTAGGCTTTTAATGTCTCTTCAAGGCCGTTTTTTACCACCTTTACAAAGGAGAAGGTTGTCATGAACTAAACTGATTTTTTGTGTAAGGACCGATATGGTACACTTATTATACATGTTTTTTAATATTTCTAAATTGAAAAGTATAATTTTGGAGAGAGAAAAGTCTACTTCAACTGAAAAATTAAGGGACACGGCCGTCTGATACCAAACAAGGCAGACCCTGTACTATAGTAACCAGACTGCTGATAAACATACTTAAATGTATCATCAACAGCCTTTAATAGTCCACGGCTGGACATAAGCCTCTCCTGAGAAAGGAGGTTTTGGCCTACTATACCACGCTGGCCAGACGGGTTGGTAAAGGGTTTGTGTCAAGTTTTCCTTCTCTCTGCAGTGCTGTTGTCCTGCTTAGTTTTTTCCCTTAGTCGGCTCTTACGACACCCACGGGATGAATAGGGGTGGTGATACTCTGTATTCTTAATCCGTCACCACACGGACTTAAATGTATATTAAAGATAAATTACACCCAGATACAGAAAAAATAACCGTGTTCATCACAAAATTATTGGGGTGGGAATCGAACTCACGATCTCTGACTTAGCAGTCAAGATTTCTAACGAACAGACTAACATACCCGTCAAAAATAATAACATCTTATTTAAATTTAGATCCTGGAACAGATGAGTCAAGTTATTGCCTGCATAGGATTGTGGAGGGTGCTCAGATCAAATAAAAAAGTTAAGATGGTACTTTGTGAAGAAAGAAGTGCGTCCAATTAAAACTACGCCTTAGCGTGTACATACACAATACATCGAAACTACGGCTTGTCAGTCAAAGCGTCATCAAACATGTTAAGAATATTTATAAGTAAAAATGCCGAATTGTGTGTAAAGCTCAAACTATGAAAGATAGAAAGAAAGATGGACAAACATAAGTAAGAGTAGAAACTAGTTTTTTCAATAAAATAAAATTATAAAACCGGCGTCAGTTCGTTCTTCGCAAACTTAACTTTTTTGACTACTGCTCTAAATTAGAAATCATCATCATCAATCATCAACAACCTTTAATAGTCCACTGCTGGACATAGGCCTCTCCTTAGGAAGGAGGTTTTGGCCTACTATACCACGCTGGCCAGACGGGTTGGTATAGGGTTTGTTTCAAGTTTTCCTTCTCTTTGCAGTGCTATTGTCCTGCGTATTTTGCTCCCTTAGTCGCCTCTTACGACACCCACGGGATGAATAGGGGCGGTGACACTCTGTATTCTTAATCCGTCACCACACGGACAAAATTAGAAAAGTTTTATCTAATATTGTATAAATGTATGGCCGAACACTGTCTTTTAAGATACAGGTGTCACCTAGTTTAAAAGGCAGGGTTTTTCACTAATTGAACATGGATATTTCGATCTTACCGACGACTAAAATTGTCCTGTAACCAACATGTACTGTAAATTTCTATGTATAATTGTTTTGGAAATAAATTTATTTGATCTGAGTATTGGTGTCAAGTCCCTTCAACACAAAGGGAGGAGATTTCGATCAGGCAAGGTGATCAGCACCCTAACGGTTGATGTTGGGAAGTTGTACAACTAATCGGCGTGATGCAGGATTGGTTACTGCATATATCAGTATGTCTACGTCAGATGGCACTGATGTCGCCACAGGACCACCCCTTTCTTCACTCAGTGGTTGTTGATGATCAGGATGATGGGACAAACTATTTAAATTAATGCATTCTCATCGGTACGTGACGTCTTTATGGGTCAAAATCACATTCGAAGGTTCCGTTACATACATACAAAGCTGACAAAAGCGTGTTAAAAAAATAAAAATCTAGTAATTTCGTAAAATCTCAAGTATCACAATATTTACTTTATTTATTTCTTAAAATATTTGATACTTACGTACAACTCATTGTGGTATGATAACCTTTAACTTTGATATAAGAATATATGTATATTATTTGGTTTTGTCTGTGTAATGTTGATGTTATTGAATAAGAGACGTCTCCAAACACGAGACGCCATTCTATCATCATCAACAACAGCCTATAATAGTCCACTGCTAGATATAGGCCTCTCCTTAGAAAGGAGGTTTCGTTCTACTATACCACGCTGGCCAGACGGGTTGGTATAGGGTTCGTTTTAAGTTTTCTTTCACTTTACAGTGCTGTTGTCCTGCGTAGTTTGCTCACTTAGTCGTCTCTTACGACACACACGGCATGAATAGTGGTGGTGACACTCTATATTCTTCACATGGACCGATATTATATTACTAAACATATTAGTATATTTTAACCAGAGGAGATGCATTTGGGGTCTCCAACAACCCGATACCATGGCCTCACAGAAAACCAATGCTAATTCATCTCGAATGGGGTTGGTGACATTCCGTATTCTTAATCCGTCATCACACGGACATTCTATGGTATAAAGGAAAACGAATAGATGGGTCACTTGATGGCAAATGCCTACCACTGCCTATGGACGCTTGCAAATCAAGAATCACCAGTGCCTTCCCCTCTTTTGAATCCCAGATTTATTCAGGGGGAGGAGGAAGGAAATCTGAATTCTGAGGTATTTTACCAGCAATCTATAGTATAAGAATTAACTGGGGTTTTCCTTAAGGTTGCCTGAATCACGGCAGCACAATACTTTTCCAAAGGAATTTCTAACCGCAGACCTTCAGGTTTTATATACAAATATATATTTGTAGGAAATAACAAGTTGACACATCTTACAAGGATCTGAGTGTTGGCCTACGAAGAAAACGGATGAGAGACGCCTGCATATAGCTGACATGTGTATGTTAGGACTGATGTGTGGTGTGACTAGAATGTGCAAGTTAAGGAATGACTACATTAGGGGAAGCCTGAAAGTAGCGCCAGGGGATAAAACTTGAGAAGCAACAGTTTATCCCTGGTATGGACATGTGATGCGTAGAGATAAGCAAAATGGAAGTTAAATATGGAAGTTGACGGATATAAGAGTAGAGGATGACCAAAGAAAAGATGGATGAACTGCGTGAAAGAAGATATGGCTAGAAAGGGAGTGAGCAGTGAACTGACGAGTAATAGAAGAGAATGGAAGAAGAAAATTTATACCGACGACCCCAAATTAGGCTGAGAAGATGGTAATTTGACACACGGCCCTCTAATCCCAAACTAAGCAGAGTCTGTCCTGTGCTATGGTAACCAGACTGCTGCTAAACATACTTATATATTTCTAAATACATACATATTGGAGATAAATTACACCCTGACACAGAACAAATAATCGTTTTTATTACACAATATTTGTCTTGAATGGGAATCGATCTCACGATCTCTGGCTTTCGGTTACCGTTCGCAGTCTGGTTACCATAGTATAGGGTCTACCTAGTTTGGGATGAGACGGCCGTGTGTGAGAGGTTATTATTATATAAACATACAATGTTTACACAATGGTAATATAGGAGTCAACCAATTGAACTAATTAAAGCCCTTAATCTCAGGGTAAACCGCAGCTTAATCCTTAATGCAATAAACAAAGTCGTTGGAAACTTATATTATACGTAATGATGTATTTTAAATAATACTTAATGACACACCCGTGGGTGTCGTAAGAGGCGACTAAGGGAAACTACGCAGGACAACAGCACTGCAGAGAGAAGGAAAACTTGACACAAACCCTATACCAACCCGTCTGGCCAGCGTGGTGTAGTAGGCCAAAACCTCCTTTCTAAGGAGAGGCCTATGTCCAGCAGTGGACTAGTAAAGGCTGTTGATGATGATGATGATGATGAAATAATACTAGTTTTTGACGCGGATTCTCTATCTTTATTATAAACCTTTAATCTATACATTTAAAATGACTTGCTCTCACTGACTGACACATCAACGCAGAACCTACCACTGAGACAACTCCCGCATTAGGAATATATCCTGTGCCGCGGGGGACTTTACAAACATACATGAAACGGACACAAAGAACACCCAGACTCGGAACAACAATTTGTGGATCACACAAAGTGTCGTCCCATGTGGGGTTTGAAGCGGCGTGGCGACCGCTCAAACCACTACGCCATCCGTGCAGTTTTGTTTCTCATTTCAATACAATCACAATGTGCCACAGCGATGCGTGGCAAGGTATAGCTAGTTTTTACTAAATTTATACAAACAAACGGACAGTATTATTAATAAATATGATACCATTCGTAGAACTGATAATGTCTCAACTCAGACGTCCAATCTTATTATTGTGTAAACACACTTTAAATAGATGTTCTGTGATGGTTCACGCGAATTAAAATCGTTTTTTTGTCATTTGTTCACGTGTTAGCAATATTTATTAGACTAGTTATTACTAGTCGATTAAATAAAATAATATTGAGTATTGAAAAGCGTTTGTTATCAAGATCAAGTGTCAAAAGCATGGACAATATATCTGTGGGAAAACTGTGATTAAAGAAAAAACAAGATTTTTAAGTAATTCCAATATACTATCAGTGACAATGCGACAGATAAACACAATAACATTATAAGGATGTTCCTAATAACTAGTTTTGTGAAATAATATGTTTCAATAACGATATGAACATATTGTTTCAAGAAAGTTATCGAGTTATTGAAGAAAAAATTGACACAATGTGGACAGTGTACTTTGTTATAATTTTAGTGAATATATACAATATATATGGAAACGAAATTGATCCAGAAATTGGTATAAGAGACAGAAGAGATGTTCGCAATTCCGATAGAACTCCAAAAGTATATAATTCTTATCATAGTTATAGTAATTATGTGACAACCCCAGCCGTACCAATAAACTATAATAATTTTGTACAAAACACTTCTAAATACAACAATAAAAGATATGATAATACTAATTACTATTATAACAATAATAACAGAAGTAACGGTGTCGTTAATAACGGTATCGGGTTAAACGGATATCGTTATAACGGTACATCAGTGACCAATTCCAATTATAATAATTATCCTGACTATAGTGGTAATTATGACTATGAAACAACACCAACAAGTTACAATTATTATTTATCAAGTACATATAAATACAATAACGCAGAATACAATTATACAAATACAAATTATAATAATAACGATATGTATAAACCTTATAACGGTACCGTTTTTAACAGATATCGTTATAATAATATATCGGTGGCCACCTCACGTTATAACAAATTTCAAGAATATTATGGCGATTATAACTATGAGAATAACGGTATGTATAACCCTTTCAACAATACCGGTTATAACAGATATCGGTATTACAATATGACACAAACAAATACTTTCCCTGGATATACAGTTAATGGAACACCGGTTTATCAACCGGGACAAATAACCATACCAAAACATAACACAACCGGTTTTAGATCGTATGACGTTTACCCCGTATCTGGGTACAACACTACTGAATACAACACTCAAATACCTGGATATGGGAAACCAAGCATTCCAGATACGTATAATTATCAAGATCCTAACCAAAATAATTTCAGAGGATATTTTCAACAAAACATTACAGTCACACCTGAGTACGGAATTCCTACACCCGGTCCGGAATTAACCACACCGGTCACACCGGATGACGTCAGCGAGTCTGATATTAATGTGACTCAGATAGCGTGTGTGTTGTGTAACATTGGATGTCCAGCGAATTATTCTAGAAAAGGATTTCATTGTGTTCCGAATGATTATGATTATGAATAATGTGATTTTTTCATCATTAAATAAAGTATATAATACACCTTATGAATGTACATAAATCGGAGTATATGCAGTGTTGGTTTTCATTTTCCCTTTTATAACACCGTTCCATTGGCTTTACTTTTTTTATTTTAAACTTTGTGCACAAGCGTACAACGGCGGACTTAATGCCATAGGCATTCTCTGCTAATTTTTTTTATGTTCAGGGGGCAGACGAGCAGACGGGTCACCTGATGGAAAGTGACCATCGCCGCCCATGAACGTCTGCAACTCAGGAGTCACAAACGCGTTGCCGGCCTTTTAGGAAGGAGTACGCTCTTTTCTTGTAGGTATCAGTCAGTCAGGTGGTGTGGAAATGTGTGATAAGGTGCACTACACTTTATGTAAGGATTTTACTTTAAAGAAAATAAATTATTGAAAAAATGAAACAAAAAAAACACGTGTGGCGACTCCCACATTCAAAGAAACAGAAACATACTACAGCGCCATCTAATGAAGACACACCGAACTACGGAGTAACTACTAAAATAAGAATTGCTAATCCTGTATCGCGACATAAAGAATTCCCTCGCCGATTAGCAACATCAACCGTTGGGGCCGCGGCCCGCCAGGCATAATCACCTCGCCTGGTCGGAGGATCCTCCCTTTGTGTTGGAGGGACATGACACCCGTTCCTCCTCACACGCTTTTGTATCTAGCCGAACCAAAAAGTAGAAAATAATTTACTGTAAGTTCAAAAAGAAAAATCATTTAATCGTAAAAAAAGCGTGGGGAGCTAAATCTCAACTGTTGTAAAAATATTTTACTGACAGGTATTGGTAAAAGTAATGTTATTTTATTACAAATCTAGCTGAGACCCGCGGTGTTACCCGCGTTTGTTGTTATAACCGCGGGCAACGCCGCTGGGCGAAGCTAGTCTAAAAAAAGTAGCCTAAGTTACTCCTTATGTCATCAACTATCTGCCAGTGAAAGTCCCGTCAAAATCGGTCCAGCCGTTCCAGAGATTACCCGGAACAAACATACAGACAGACAAACATTGTAAAAAATATTATTTTGGCATATGTACCGTGTAAACATACATATGCATTTAGTAAAAAGCGGTTATTTTAATATTACAAACAGACACTCCAATTTTATTTATTTGTATAGATACCTTAAAAAACACCCCACGCTTTGAACTTATAGAAAATCATCGTTTGTCGTTTTTTTAAAAAGACAACACCCGCATTAGGAATATATCCTGTGTCGCGGGGGACTTTACAGACATACATGAAACGGACACAAAGAACACCCAGACTCAGAACAACAATTTGGGTTTGAACCCACAACACTCAGCGTAGTGTTGGACTCACAAAAAGCAGCGTGACGACCGCTTAAACCACTACACGATATTCTATGCAGTCGAGTCGATTATTTCCTACTTTAAGTTTTTTTTAAACTACTTTTTTTATGGTATAAGGGGGCAAACGAGCAGACGGGTCACCTGATCGTAAGCAACGCCGCCCATGGACACCTGCAAGTCAAAAGTCACAAGTGCGTTGCCGCTCTTGGAGTCCCTCTCGCTCGAGTCAGCGGAAGGAGAGATTTGGGCTCCGGTAACCTCACTCACTCAGTGAAACACCGGTTTTCTGTGAGGCCGTGGTATCACTCCGGTCGATCCGGCCCATTCGTGAAGAAGCATGGCTCTCCCACGGTCAAACATGGCTCTTCCACGGTCGTTTTCGTTTTTTGGTCATTAATAATGATAATTATCTTATTTAGACTAAAAAACTAATAAGTTAAACACATATGTACACACACGCCTTAGTACATGGCAAAAGACTACCGTATTTTTAGGAAGAAAGTGAAAAATAAGGGAGGAAATTCTAGTATCTAGTACAAAAATAAAAATATATTAAAAATTAAATAAAAATTAAGTTAGAATATTTACAACATTAACACTATCTACATACAAGCATCAATAAATTCCTCCGTATCATCTACCGTCCCAGAAGACTGGCGGCATTGCCACGTTGAATGGCAATGCTAATTCTCTGTGCTAGAAAAAGACCAGCCTTCTGATCACGAGAAGTGTCAATCAGTAGTTTAGCTAGCTGTTTATATATAGTACGAGCACTTGGACCCTATGACCCTAAAGTTTCGACCCCAAACGGTTCAAAAATGTAATTTCCTACTAATTTCTGATATTTACGCCGTTTGAGGGTTTCTGCAGATGCAGCAGCAGCGCCGGCGTAACGTATTATTATCGTATTTATTTTTAGGAATGGAAAAAACCGTTAATCCTAAAGGTCCTGATCAGGATAATGGGACAAACTATTTAAATTATTTCATTGTCATCATTCTTTGATAAGTGTGCAAAGTTTCAGTTTAATTCGATATTTTGGAGTAAGTCTAAATCACGTTCGAAGATTACGTTAGTTTTATGGTACCAGCTAGTACTATATATAATTTATTCCATAACAGCAAACAAACAGACACACATACAATAATATAACTCAGAATAAGGTAACTCAAAACGTTAATATAAATTCTGAAACGCGACAAACAACAATTTATTATTAGTCCTATATTATTACGCCACTCCAAGTGAAGTGATAAGAACCATATAATATTAAAATAAATCACTGGATACGCCATTACATTTAGAATTCGATAGAGAAACGTTCTGGCTGACAAGAGCGCTTCAAGTTATACACACATATATACAGTAAAAGTGTTAGTGAATAGTGTTTTGTAATAAATAGAATGTGTTCTGTAAATAAACTGGATTAATCCTATATATTCGTGTTACCGCGCAATATATCAACCATTGTAAGAAGAAAGAAGAAACACACGAATTTTCGCCATCAATATTTAAGTTAATTTATGGCAAAATGTACCCCGTATATTTAGCTGTTGGATTGATTAATATATTGGCAAAAAGTAATAACTATGGAATCAAAATCAACGACGCGGGAATGGATATAAGAGTGCGAAGAGATATCAATTATGTGCCAATAATAGATGACATTTATGACGATTCTGTTAAAACAGATAACGTAAGAGAAATAAGACAATTACCATACAATCAGAACGATAAACAGGACAACGGTTTTTATGTAAATTATACCCATAATTTGACACATAACCACACGTCTCATAAACGAAGAAGTCACAATCACGGTATGTATATACCACGTACTAGATCCCATCACCACAAAAAAACCGTTAACAATTCTAATAATAAACCATATGAATATAAAACAGATATAACTGGGTTTAAACCTGATAACCTCGTACTAGAAACTGGATATAACCACCACCACAATAACCAGGTAAACTTGCAAAAAAGACAGACACTGCCTGCACCACAACCGTATAGGAAACCAGAAGAAAACACCTCAAAACCTTTGTACAAGAAAATTTGGTCATTTTTCTCGGGCAGCAAAACAACAACACCCAAGTATGAATTTCCAACACCGGGTGTTGGGAACAGGAACGGTGTTAGTGCTCAATTGAAGAAAAGAAAACGTAAAATAATTCCAGCGTGTGTTCTTTGTGATACTGGATGTCCACTTGGGTATCGTAGGCAAGAATCATATTGTATAAGTGAAGATCCTGATTATGAATAGGAGATAGTGGAGATAGATTATTCGGCTAAAGAGTGTATTTATATTCCAGAAACTATCAGCCAAATCATACTTTTTAGGTCGCAGCTTGTTTACCGAGAAAGGCTATCAGATATGACAAAAATATAGAAAGTGGGACAACGGATAGAGAGCATCGAACTCTCTAAAGGTCTTAGAAGGTTGGGGAGGGGACTCGTACGCGGCCCTGGCCTGTTCGATCTATTGCTTAGATCCACCCGTATCAGCAATGACCCTTTTAGTGCCGTTACCTTCCCTTCTTACCCACTTTATTTAAAAAAAACTATCAATTTTCCCAGTGACTGTACTGCGACAAAAGGCTTCTGGTCATCCTCTGACTTCCTCTGTGGGGATATAAAGCATGGGTGCATGTACAAAGTGTTATAGAGAATATACTGATAAACAGCAGAATTACGATACGATTTTTTTCTTATTAATATAAACATAGTATAGTGTTTTTGTAAATACATTTATAATTAATAAAAAATTGTTTATGAACGGTAGTAATTCATTTTTGTTTTTTTACTATATTTTAATATATTTTACGTAAATACCCTGACGTGACGGATTAAGAATACAGAGTGTCACCATCCCTATTCATCCCGTGGGTGTCTTAAGAGCCGACTAAGGGAGAAAACTACGCAGAACAACAGCACTGCAGAGAGAAGGAAAACTTGACACAAATCCTATACCAACCCGTCTGGTCAGCGTGGTATAGTGGGCCAACACCTATTAAAGGCTGTTGATGTGATGATGTGATGACTCTGTAGGGATGGTATAAAATCATCACCTGTTATAAATCATATAATTTAGAAATTTGCGGACGTATGACTGCACGGAGGGCTTAGTGGTTTGAGCGGTCGCCACGTCGCTTCCTACTACGCCGAGTGTTGTGGGTTCAAACCCCACATGGGACGACACCTGGTGTGATTCACAAATTGTTGTTCTGAGTCTGGGTTCTTTGTGTCCGTTTCATGTTTGTTTGTAAAGTCCCCCGCGACACAGAATTTATTCCTAATGCGGGAGTTGTCTTTAAAAAAAATAATTACAAAACACTGCGGCTTATGATAACGCTAGCGCCAGACTCATGAAAAGACTAAATATATAACAAAAAAAGTTTTTTTTGCTTAAATACTTAATGTATCTTTGTCTAATCAAATACCAGTAGTGTTTAATCACAGGATTTATCACAGTGACCATTCTTTACATCATATGATTATGATTTAAAAGGCTAATATTGTGTATAAAATGATTTTAAATGAACAAAACCTATATATGTTAGTCAGACCTCTTAACCGAACAAAAGTATTTTTACTGCTGCGTCAGATACCATATACTGATAATGAATCATTTGGATTACGTTAGCATATTGACCATGTACGCACCACACTCCCTCTTTTATTGGTGAATCATTTGGATGATTCAAGAGACAAGAGAACGATACTGTGGTCAATAGTACTTGTGATTGATTTTTTTTGAGAGCACCTCCCTAACTGCCTCAGCCAGCATCGGAATCCTAGGCATCGACATATCGAGCAAAGTCCAGTTTCGGTACCACTTAGAGGGTAAGGTCAAATTGGCGTCGAAGAAGCTCGGTGTACTGAACAGAGCGAGGCAGTATTTCACTCCGGCGCACCGCCTTCAGCTCTATAAGGCGCAAGTCCGGCCGCATATGGAATACTGTTCTCATCTATTTGCAGGGGCACGCAAATACATACATATTATACATGAAACATCCAGACCAAATCAAACATTAAATGTTCATGCACACAAATGTTTGACTTGAGCGGGAATCGAACCCGCGACCTTTGGAATAGCAGTCAGTTACACAAACCACTACGCTATTCGGTTGTCATGGACGAACAGTAGTATGGAAATTAGACACAAAGTAGGAATAAGAAATAATGACGAACGACGCCGCAGGTATTAGCTAGTGCTCAATAAAATGATATTGACAAATAGGACAAATTACTAAGTAAAATAATTAAACACACGAGTGTCCTGGCAAAAACCTACATTACATGATGTAAGAATTTTAACGATACGCAATTCGTCCGCGTGGTGACGGATTAAGAATACGGAATGTCACCACCCCTATTCATCCCGTGGGTGTCGTAAGAGCCGACTAAGGGAGTAAACTGCACAGGACAACAGCACTGCAAAAAGAAGGAAAACTTGAAACAAACCCTATACCAACCCGTCTGGCCAGCGTGGTATAGTAGGCCAAAACCTCCTTTCTAAGGAGAGGCCTGTGTCCAGCAGTGGACTGTATTATAGGCTGTTGATGATGATGATGATGAATTCATCCCAATCTATTTTAGGATTTAGAAATAATAGATGAATGCACTCTTACACAGAGAATCCGGACAACATCCGTGTGGTGACGGATTAAGAATACGGAGTGTCACCACCCTTATTAATCCCAAAGGGAGTAAGCTACGCAGAACAACAGCACTGCAAAGAGAAGGAAAACTTGACACAAACGCTATACCAACCCGCCTGGCCAGAGTGGTATAGTAGGTCAAAACCTCCTTAGGGATAGGATGGCGGCCTGATTGCATTAAGACGAAATTGGGCCGCCACGTCCCGATTGAACGGGGGAAGTGATTTTCCCCTGGGATAGGGCCTGAATAGGCATGGTGTCAATTCGGGGAGGACCTGAAATAACATGGTCCAGGTCCTCCCAGAGTAGGGCACCTGAGGCCGGCCGTCGGGGTGGTTTTTAGTGGAATCACCACATACTCCTAGCTCCTAGCACCGAGGAGCAGGAGATCCGAAGGGATTTTGCACCCCGTGAAAAAAAAAAAAAGGGCCAAAACCTCCTTACTAAGGAGAGCCTTATGTCCAGCCAGGGGACTATTAAAGGCTGTTGATGTGATGTGTGATGATTGTTTATCACCGAGCGATGGTTAATGAATGAAAACACTCAAAGGGCCGCAATACCTTTACCCCTTATATCAAAAATAAAGATATTTTTTTTTAAAAGACAACTCCCGAACTAGGAATAAATACTGTGTCGCGGGGGACTTTCCAAATATACATGAAACGGACACAAGGTACACCCAGACTCAGAACAACAATTTGTGGATCACACAAAGTGTCGTCCCATGTGGGGTTTGAACCAACAACACTCGGCGCAGTAGGAAGCGGCGTGCCGACCGCTTAAACCACTACGCCATCCGTGCAGTCGATTCATGTAAAATATTTGCACCACTAGTCATAGTCCACCATAATCCAAAGTACTTACTGTATCAACAAAGGGATTGACACACCTTACGATGGGTATTTTCCTTCTGCAATATGTGGAACAAATAAAAACCTCAAACCGCAAATACTTGAAATTGAAACAAACAATTTGTTGTTCCTGTTAAGAATTTATTGTTACGTCACGAGCTGATAAACCCGACACACTTAGGAGTACATTGTTATATACAATTCTAAAATAAATATTAATAATTGTAGAGTTCTCTGTGAGTACTGCAGACAGCGCTAGTCAGTGGTCGGTGTTCATACTAGAAGCAGTGCTTATAACGAACAATATTATTCACTATGTGGACATTAAAATGAATATTGGACAGTTTTCAATTTTATAATAATTTCGTAAAGATATTCTAAGCATTAATTCAGGGCCAAAGAGTTCACGTGCTAGATTGGATCCTGGAAGAAGCAAGGATCCTGAAACCTACAAGTCCCAAAACACTAAAAGATATTATCAGACTTGGAGGTATTTTATCACGGATTCATCACTTTTCCCGAGGCGGTAATATTAAAATACGTCGTTTACAAAAAAACTAAAATGTTACCAACATATTTTTTGGCATTTGGATTATTAAATGTGTATGCTCAACACCATAACTATGGAATCAATATTAGTGACACAACAATGGATATAAGAGTGCGGAGAGATGTTCAAGAAGCAGAAAGACTAACATACATGCGTCATATATCTACAGGTTCTATACAAAGTGACAATAATGACGGAGTTAGAGAAAAACGTGAAATACACGATAAAAAATCCTCTAAAGCTAACACAACAAGAAATAATGATTGGAGAAATACTTACGTATGGAGCAAAATCAAAAGTTACAGAAACGAACGAAATAACGCATCCCGTAATATTAAACCGCAATCCGGTTATAAAAACGGTACCCGAAGATATAAAATGCAACATACAATTATGCCAAGATATAATATGACTGGTTTTAAATCCGGTACTCTATATCCCGGATCCCACTACAATTCAACAGCTTATAACAAACATATATTGCAGAATATTAAAACAAATACCGGTAATAATACCGGTGGTACTTTAACAAATGCATTTGTTCCTGGAAACGGGACTTCAACACCTGGACGTGACATAATACCGGCCACACCCGGTCATAGGAATAAGTCGGGTGTTAATGGGACGAAAACAAGGGTCCATGCTTGCGTGTTGTGTAAAATTCCATGTCCAGTTGGAAGACACAGGGACGAATCGGGTTTGTACTGTATATCAGATGACATGGAATATTAATATCGACTTGTAGGCTCTGTGAAGACCGGTATTTTTTAATTAGGTTGTTGCTCATGTTCAAAATTAATTATGTTATAGTCTTGATAGAATAAAGTTTGATATAAGAATCTTTACACACACAAACAAATTTCTATAGAATGTATTGTTTTGACATTTCATAAATAAGTGTTTTGGCTTTACAGTCAAATACTGTATTATTTACTAGTTTTTTCCGCGGCTACTCCTTGTTTTTTTAGTCCGTATATCTAACTTTGATAATGACGAACCATTCATCCCTTATTTTATCCCTTTAGAGGTGAAATTTCCAAAAATCTTTTCTTATTAGATGCTTACAACATAAAAAGCTTCAGTTGCCAAAATGTCAAGTTTTTAGTCCCAGCGGTTTAGGGTCTGCGTTGATGCACCAGGGATTTCCTTTCTAGGGTATACCTGGTTCCCCGGCTATTAGTACCCGAGACGGCGTGCGGTTTTAGTCGGTTCGGGTCCGACATGCCACCGATAGGTGGTATCCGAGGGGATTTCCGCACGGGAATAAAAAAAAAGTCTGCATTGATGAACCAGTCTTTTTATATGTGTAGATTAGTGGTTGAGGAAAATATGAACAAGAAAGTGTCAGGTACGGGAGTTGAAGGGCACGAGAGAAGAGGAAGGTTAAAGAAAAGGTGGATGGACTGTGTAAGGGAGGATATGGCTGGGCAGGGAGTAAAGTTAAGGCTCTGCGTTGATGAATCAGCCAGTCCAGGAAAGTAATTTTGTAAGTATAGATAGATAACTGATCAGTGACTCATTCAGTTTATTATAATTAGTATTAATGTTTAAAATTTTTGAACTTAAAAAAATGTTTTCAAAACAGTAAATGTGGTATTTTATTATTTTCTCTTCATCATCACACCCTATAATAGTACACTGCTGGACACATGGCTCTCCTTGAAAAGGAGTTTTTGGACTACTATACCAAGCTGGCCAGACGGGTTGGTATAGGGTTTGTGTCAAGTTTTCCTTCTCTTTGCTGTGCACGGCTCTTACGACATCCACGGGATGAATATGGGTGATGACATTCCGTATTCTAAATCCGTCACCATACGGATCATCATCATCATTCCTTGTGTCAACTCAACTCGGTCGAGCTGACCCATAGCTGAAGCATGACCCACGGCAAGTTGCTAGACTATGGTCTTTTACGAGTTATATTCTCCATCTTATATTATTTGACCCATGACCACGCTAAGATAACTTAATTACGTGGTAAAGGCTTATCTTTGTATAAATATTCGTATGTCGTTCAGAGGTCAACAATTTATATTCGTATTACATTTTGCCCCCGACCTGTCTGTAAATCCAGCATTCCTTAGAAACAGTACCCTTACAGATTATAACATATTTATTCTCATCATCAGCCTTTAATAGTCCACTGCTGGACATAGGCCTCTCCTTAGAAAGGAGGTTTGGCCTACTACACCACGCTGGCCAGACGGGTTGGTATAGGGTTTGTGCGGCGGCGGCGTCTGCCCCTACTCCATCGGCTCCACAAAAGCCGAGGAGGGGGGCCAAGGCACCGGCCCAGGCGCCGGCCAAGGCATCGGCTAAGGCGCCGGCCAAGGCACATCTCCAGGCGCCGGCCAAGACGGGGCCTAAAACAGCGCCGAGGAGCGGAGTGGCATTCCCTCCGCTCCCCACTCCGACACCCCTGCCTGGCCCCTCCGCACCTGCCCCCTCCAACGAGGGTTGGCAGGAGGCGAGGGGCTCCAAGAAGTCCCGAAGGCGGGCCAAAAAGGCTGCCAAAAAAGCAGCCCAGGCCCAGCCTTCGCCACCGGTGGCAACGGCCTCCACAAAGAGGCCGCGGAAGCTGCAGCCGCCCAAAACCGCGGCTGTTGTGGTGACCGTGTCCCCGGAGGCGGCGGACGGCGGGCTGTCCTACGCGGCCGTGTTTAAAAAGGCCCGGGACAGCCTCGCTAGCGACTTTGGAACGGTGGGGGTCAGGATGCGCCTCGCCCAGACGGGAGCTCGAGTCCTCGAGTTCCCTGGGGCTGAAGGCGCAAAGACGGCGGACTCCTTCGCCGAGAGGCTGCGGGGAATATTTGCGGCCACTGATGGTGTCAGGGTCGCCAGGCCTACCAAGTGCGCGGAACTGCGCATCTCGGGCCTGGACGACTCAGTGACGGCCGAAGATGTCCGCGCTGTAATCCGGGAGAAGACGGGGTGCAGCGCGGACAACGTCAGGGTCGGCACCATCCGCCCCGGTCCAGGAGGGCTTGGCGCCGTGTGGGTCAGCTGTCCCGTAGCGTCGGCCAAAGTATTGGCCGACGCCGGCAGGCTGCTCATCGGTTTCGTGAGCGCCAGGATCACAGTCCTGGCGGCGAGACCGATGAGGTGTTTTAAATGCCTGGCCACGGGACACACGCGCGTCAAGTGCGACAGTTGTTTTGACTGCGGCGGACTGTGTTTCCGCTGCGGTCAACCGGGGCATAAGGCGGCAGAATGCTCTGCCGCAACTCACTGCCCAGTGTGTGCGGCGGGCAATAAGCCCGCCAATCATCAGATGGGGCAGAGAGGCTGCAAGCCTCCCCGCAGTTCTCGGCAGACGTCGGGGGTTAGCCAGTCGACCCAGGCTGCCTCCGATATAGTTCGTGCGTCGACGTCGTCGCCCATGGAGGAGGTTGTAGAGACGATCCAGTAATGGATCAAGTCTCCAACCTCCTGGTCCAGACGAACCTGAACCACTGTGCCGCGGCGCAGGATCTCTTCCTGCAAACCATGGCACAGTGGTCGATAGGTGTTGCCGTAGTCGCGGAGCCCTATTCTGTCCCTCCCCGTCCAAACTGGATGGGTGACTGGGACGGCTCCGTGGCAGTCGTCGGTTCCACGACGGCTCATTCCCCGCCCTTGTCGCTAAGAGACAAGGGCACTGGATATGTTGCCGTCGAGTGGGGGGGGATCACCATATATGGTGTCTATTTCTCCCCCAACCGGAGTTTGAACGACTTCGAGGTTTTCCTAACCAGTTTGGAGACCTCGATACGGCGACTAGCGTCTGGGCACGTCCTTGTGCTGGGGGACTTCAACGCAAAGTCCATTGCGTGGGGTTCCCCCAGGACGGACGCCAGGGGCGAGGCCGTAGAGGAGTGGGCGGCCTCGGTGGGCCTCTGTCTTCTAAACAGAGGCTCCACCAACACGTGCGTGCGACAGCAGGGGGGGTCGATAGTGGACCTCTCGTTCGCTACCCCTGCCCTCGCCGCACGAGTAAGGAACTGGCGTGTCCTGGAAGAGGTTGAGACGCTCTCGGATCACCTGTATATCCGATTTGAGCTCTCCCGGACCCAGGACTCCAGTAGGGGTCACGTGGCGCGGCGTTTATCCCGCTTTCCGCGGTGGGATGTTGCCAGGCTGAACCGGGACCTACTAGAGGAGGCAGCCATAATTCACTCGTGGCTGTCTCCTCAGGCTCCGACCGAGGAGGTCGACGTGGGGGCTGGCCGCTTTCGCGATGCGATTACGCATGTATGCGATGCGGCCATGCCCCGCGTTCGAGGTCGTCGGCCTCCAAGGAAGGAGGTCTACTGGTGGTCCCAGGAGCTGGCGGACCTCCGTGCGGCCTGTACACGTGCCCGGAGGTCCTACACGCGCAGTCGGCGGCGTCACCGTGGAGACGGTGAGGAGGACCGGCTTCATGAGGAGTACCGACGGGCGCGGAAAACTCTGAAGCTGGCCATTAGCCGCGCCAAAGAAGAAAAAAGACAGGAGATGCTGGAGGGTCTTAATCGTGACCCCTGGGGTCGCCCTTACCGCGCGGTGCGACAAAAGCTCCGCGCGTCGGGCCCCCCCCTTACGGAGACTCTCCAGCCCAGCTTCCTGCGAGAAGTGGTTGAGGGCCTTTTCCCACAACGGGCGGAACACACTCCCCCGTCGATGGCCTTCTTGGCCGGAGACGACGGGGAGCACGGGGAGGATAATGTTCCGCCCGTCCGGGAATCGGAGGTAGGGGCGGCTGTTCTACGGATCCGTTCCAAGAACACTGCCCCTGGGCCAGACGGGGTACCGGCCCGAGTGCTGGCCCTGGCCCTCAACCACATGGCAGACCGCCTCGGGGAGGTGTTCGACGCTAGCTTGGCGTCGGGACGCTTCCCTGAGTGCTGGAAGAGCGGGAAGCTGGACCTATTGAGGAAGCCGGGACGGCCTGCCGATTCGGTCGCGGCCTATAGGCCCATCGTGCTGCTGGACGAGGCGGGCAAATTGTTTGAGAGGGTTCTTTCTGCCCGCATCGTCCGGCACTTCTGCGAGGTGGGCCCCGATCTGTCGGACGCCCAATTTGGTTTTCGGGCGGGGCGTTCGACGGTCGACGCCGTGTTGCGCCTGAGGGCCGTGACCGAAGAGGCCGTGAGCTGTGGCGGCGTGCTGTTGGCGGTGTCACTGGACATCGCCAACGCATTCAATAGTCTGCCATTCAGCTGCATCAGGGAAGCACTCCACTATCATGGGGTGCCAAAGTACCTGAGGCGGCTGGTGGCAGACTATTTAGAGGAGCGTACCGTCGTGTACGAGGACCGAGAAGGTAATCTGAGGTGTCGGCCCATGTCGTGCGGTGTTCCACAGGGGTCTGTTCTTGGACCCCTCTTGTGGAACATAGGGTACGACTGGGCCCTTCGCGCCGATTTCCCCCCCGGGCTGGGTGTAATCTGTTACGCAGACGATACCCTCGTGACAGCCCGGGGGGCAAACTTCCAAGAGGCGGCGCGCCTGGCCACAGGGGGAGTCTCCCTGGTGGTCGGGCGCATTGAGGCGCTGGGCTTACGGGTGGCCCTAGATAAGACGGAGGCCCTGTTATTCCATGGGCCCCGTCGTGGTCCACCCCCTGGCGCCTCCATCGTGGTCAACTCGGTCCTCGTACCGGTTCGGGCCCAGATGAAATATCTGGGCCTGATCCTCGACGGGAGGTGGCTCTTCGACGAGCACTTCCGACAGCTTGCTCCAAAGCTGGTCGGCGCTGCGTCTGCCCTAGGGCGACTCTTGCCCAATATGGGTGGACCCAGCGTCGCGACAAGACGGCTGTACACGGGGGTTGTCCGGTCAATGGCACTGTACGGTGCACCGGTGTGGGCGGCGGCTCTGACCGCCCAGAATAGGGTACGCCTCTGGCGCCCTCAGAGGGTAATGGCGGTCAGAGCCATACGCGGTTACCGCACCGTTTCGACGGAGGTGGCATTCGCATTGGCCGGAACTCCCCCGTGGGATTTGGAGGCGGAAGTGCTCGCCGAAGTTTATCGGCGAGTGGCTGACTTCCGGGCGGAGAGCGGATTTCGCCCTCCGCCCGAGGATGTGCGCGAGTGGCGCGAAGCCGCTCGCCGAGCCACGATGGCTTGTTGGTCGTTCCGGCTGGAGACTCCACGCGCTGGCTTTGCCGCCGTGGAGGCTCTCCAGCCGGTCATCGCCGAGTGGGCAGGGCGGCAGCACGGGACCCTTTCCTTCCGGCTGACGCAGGTGCTTTCCGGGCATGGTTGCTTCGGAAAGTACCTGCACACGGTCGCTAGGAGGGAACTGAGTCCCGCCTGCCACCACTGCGACTGCAGTGAGGACTCGGCCCAGCACACGCTGGCGGTCTGCCCCGCATGGGCGGCGCAGCGCCGGGCCCTCACTGCAGTCATCGGAGTGGATCTCTCGCTACCGGCCGTAGTACGCTCCATGGCCGGTAGCGACAGTTGTTTTACCGCGGTCGCAACCTTCTGCGAGGTAGTAATCTCGCGGAAGGAGGCGGCGGAGAGGGCCCGGGAGGACGACCTCCACTCGGACCCGATCCGCCGCCGGCGAACCGGGCGGCGGAGGCCCGGCTATCACAGCCTCATGCCGCCCTGAGTGTGGCCGCGGGTGGACGGGGTGGGTTTCCCCTCCACCCGCATTAGTTGGCCAGCCGCGAGGGGGCGGCGTCCGCGTGTGCCGGACGTCGCCTATAGAGAGGAACAACACTGAGACGGAGCCCGCACCAGGAGCGGGCTGGCGCTAGGAGGGGTCCGGATGTCTTAACAACAGCTGTTACAGGCGCAGAGTGGCACACCGTGTGGTTTTAGTCGGTCCGAGTCCGACACACCACCCCGCCGCAAACCCCGGAGGGGTGACGGTCCGAGGGGATTTCCACACGTTAAAAAAAAAAAAAAAAAAAAAAAAAAGGGTTTGTGTCAAGTTTTCCTTTTTTTTGCAGTGCTGGTGACCTGCGTTGTTTTGCACCCTTAGTCGGCTCTTACGACACCCACGGGATGAATTGAGGTAGTGACATTCCGTATTCTTAATCCGTCACTACACAGAGATACACTATTTATTCTCGCTTTCCCGTAATCTGTGGGCGTGGTTTCGTGAAAAGGGACGGAAATGTGTTACAGGAAGGTGTGCTATTTGCTTTGTCCAATGAGCGCGTGTTGCTAGAGTGCTCCTTCAGATGGCAGATGTAACACAGTAGAGATGTAACAAAATCACAGTGATTGCTAGTTAGGTAGATTCGACGCTATTTAACAGTAAAACTAGAATTTTTTTAATCATTATGTAGGGAATGATAGCTACATATAATAAAATAATTGGGACTAATCCCACCTACACGCCCACCACTCTTGTACACCAGGATCCACAGCAGTGACCCACGAACACACCGAGTTATGACACTCGGGAAGTCCCAGGAAGAAATTAAACTGTCTTGGAACCCGCAACGAAATTAATCAGAAGAAAATTGGAGGAGTTGGAAATACAGTAAATCCATCCTTAGCAAAGCGGGAGACAAAATGAAGTAAAATAGGCATACCCCCTTTTAAGCACGGAAGCACCACGGCCACAAATATTACGGGTCCTACGTGAGCTATGTTTGATTTCTATAATATGTATGGCAGAATCGCCTAAACGCACGGAAATTCACCCTAGTTGACACAAGAACCCTATAGTATACCGCCCCAGATGTCACCTGCAAGCTATTCAGCATTATATTACGTTCATTATACCAAAGACTACATTCCCAGAGGATATGATGAGCAGACTGTTCATAGTGAGAGTTAGGTAGTGAGCATTGACACAATGGTGACTCGACTAATTTAAATGAATAAAGCTTGCTCTTAAAGTTACCATGAGCCGTAAGAAATTGAGCGACACAGTGATCCACCTCAAGCCATGTCCTCGACAACCGTTCGCGAACAGATGGAAAGAATTGGTAAAGATGGCGCCCCTTGGATGATTCATCCCAGCGTTGTTGCCATTCGTCTTTGAGGTCATTATAGACATCGGGATGCTGTTGAAGCAATCTTGTAATTTTACCGCGATCCCGCGCGCCCAAATAATAAAATAATTACTAGATTTACTGTTAAATAGGCGAAAGAGGGTCTTTATGTATCGTATGGTAACAGCTTATTGGCAACAACGCGTAAGTGGCAACCCTAACCTACGTACGAACAATTCAAATGATAAATAACCGATAATTCACAGTTCACTGTGATTTTGTCCTATGCGTATGCGATCACTAGAAGCATTTTTCTAGTGTCTTAATGTATTCCTTAGCATTTATTTTTCTTATTTTAAATGTAGTGCTGCTTACCTATTTCTACACCATGACTGACTGGCCTGGTTAGTGACCATGACTGCTACGCCGGAGGTCGTGGGTTCGATTCCCACCCAGGACAAATAATTGAGTAATGCGCACGGTCATTTGTTCTGCGTCTGGGTGTAATTTATCTAGAATATGTATGTATTTAGTAGTATGTAAGTATGTTTATCAGCAGTCTGGTAACCATAGTACAGGGTCTGCCTAGTTTGGGATCAGACCGCCGTGTATGGGATGTATGAAGATATTACTATAGATATTATTATTGTTGTTACCATTCTAACATAAACTGGTGGGGCATGTCTATGGTATAAAGTCCGCTATCATTCAGATAAAACGATATATCACCAGGAATGTTACCAGACGTCAATAGGCTTGTGTCCACTAATAACAAATTGCTTGGTTTATAGTTTTAAATTATAAATAAAGAGACATAGAAAAAACCAGTCTATTTCTCATAAAAGTTAAAAATGATTAATATTTTTTTTAAATAAATTCGTACAAAATAGTCACGTGACAGCGAACACCAATCAGAAAGTGTTACGTCACACCACGCAAACATCATTGTTGTTGTTGACGTTTTCATACAACAGAGCAGGTTACTCCTTATTCCTTTTTAGAAAACAGTTAACACTGGACACAGATGTAAACAGTTTTGTTTCGCAGACTGTGACGTCATTCAAGACGCCATAACACTACTCAGCGTTTTCAAGGGAAAATTAAATTGTTTTTTTTTTTAATACAAACTACGTTCTCTGAATAAATTTATGATATGAATATATTCTGCAAATTGTATTTGTAATGTTGAACGATTTAATAATAATCTTTTAAATATCTATGTCTAAATATTTGCACACCTTTAAGAGGTTATATTACAGCGTACCCATGTATTATATGATGTATCTTCTACCACCTTTATACCTGTTTTATGCAAATAATAAATGATTTTGATTTTGAATATAAATATTGCTTTTTCTTTAAAATATAGGTTTTTGGGGTAAAATAGATATTAAAGTATATAATTAACCATCATCTGCCTACCCTTTTCCCAATTTTATTTGGGGTCGGCGCAGTATGTATGATTTTTCCATTCTACTCTGTCATGCGTCATCTCACTGTTTACTCCCTTCCTAGCCATATCCTCCCTGACGCAGTCCATCCACCTCTTCTTCGGTCTGCCTCTTCTCTTGTACCCTTCAACTCTCATACCTAAAACTTTCTTCGCCACATTTTCCTCATCCCTCCGCATGACATGTCCATACCAAGATAACCTATTACTTCTTAACTTTTCATCCAGTGGCGCTACTTTCAGACTCCCTCGTATATACTCATTCCTAACCTTGTCCATCTGAGTCACACCACACATCCATCTCAGCATTCGCATTTCGGCTACGTTCAAGCGTCTCTCATCCGTTCTCTTAATGCGCCAACTTTCAGAGCCGTACAGGACGGCACGTCTGATAATAGTTTTATAAATTTGTCCCTTCAGTGTTATATTGTATATAATTAACCAAGTTTTTAAATTGAGTCAACTAGCCTATTCACGCCTAATTTGAAAATAATAAAGTAAACACTTTTCTATGACGTATCTGTTGGTCTAGTTAGTGGTTAGCCTGACAGTTAAACCAGTACGATTCTCACCCAGGACCAAATATTGTCTGATGACCACGATTTAATGTTGTTCGGTGTAATTTTCCTTTCATCATCATCAGCCTTTAATAGTCCACTGTGGGAAATAGGCCTCTCCTTAGAAAGGAGGGTTTGGTCTACTACACCACCCTGGCTACCACCAGTTTTCCTTCTCTTTGCAGTGCCTTTGAACGTGTTGAGTTGTCCTGCGCAGTTTGCTCCCCCGATCGTGGATTTTCTTTTAATATGTATTTTTTCAGAAATGTATAAATAGGTTTATTTTGAAATACGCGTGCCTGGGTGACTATATTTAGCCAAATGTGGGAAATAAATACGCTTCTACGTACTTCGGGAAAAGAACATGAATGCATGTGTTTATATTTGTATGTTTGTTTTCTATGATATCATCATTTACATGTAAGGACACTTATTTCTACAGGAGCAAATGGAACGAAATAATAATTTACTCCTCATCATCACATCACATCAACAGCCTTTAGTAGTCCACAGCTGGACATAGGTCTCTCCTTAGAAAGGAGGGTTTGTTCTACTATACCACGCTGGCCAGACGGGTTGGTATAGGGTTTGTGTCAAATTTTCCTTCTCTCTGCAGTGCTGTTGTCCTGCGTAGTTTGCTCCCTTGGTCGGCTCTTACGACACCCACGGGATGAATAGGGGTGGTGCTATTCTTAATCCGTCACCACACGGAATTTACTCCTACCTGAGTTGGTTCTTTTCTGTACTCCTGGAAACTTGTTTATACAATTTCATGACAAGCGTTCCAGAAGTTTAGGAGTGCATAACAAACAAATAAGTGTACTGACTTGGCGGTCGGAGTTGCTGAGGATGCTCCACCAGGTTGGTGATGGCATCTTCGTTGAGGTTCTCCACTATGTCGTCGTCTCCAGTGTTGCAGGCGTCCACCCGCTGGGTGTCGGTGCGGGTGTCTGCGCTGCCAGGGTCTGAGCGCCGTTTGTTCTCGCGCTCCTCAGGCGTCATGAGGATCACGCTGTCCCACCTGTGAAGAAGTTTTGGGGTTGGCAACCTTAGTATTGTTGATATTTATTTTATTACTTTACTTTCGCTCTGGGTTAAGGTTATCTTGATATGGACATGTCATGCGGAGGGATGAGGAAAATGTGGAAGGGTACAAGAGAAGAGGCAGACCGAAGAAGAGGTGGATGGACTGCGTCAGGGAGGATATGGCTAGGAAGGGAGTAAACAGTGAGATGACGCATGACAGAGTAGAATGGAAAAATCACACATACTGCGCCGACCCCAAATAAAATTGGGAAAAGGGTAGGCAGATGATGATGACTTTCGCTCTAGGAATAAATCCTGTGTCGCGGGGGACTTTACAAACATACATTAAACGGACACAAAGAACACACAGACTCAGAACAACAATTTGTGGATCACACAAAGTGTCGTCCTATGTGGGGTTTGAACCCACAACACTCAGCGTAGTGGTAAGCGGCGTGGCGACCGCTTGAACCACTACGCCATCCGTGCAGTCGAAATTTATATTTAGGTGACCAGTACAACTTGAACTCTCAATGTATATATTTTTCATATCATAATAAATATCGATTTCAACATTTATATCAGAGATATTTGTAGCCGTTTTGAAGTAATTTTGAAATTAATTACTCATATTGTATACATTTCCTCCTTTCTCAGGAGAGGCTTATGTCCAGCATTGGACTATTAAAGGCTGTTGATGATTGTATACTTTTTAGCTTCTTCCACTCATTCTGACCGTGATTTGACCGTGGGAGAGCCATGCTTCGGCACGAATGGGCCGGCTCGACCGGAGTGATACCACGGCCTCACAGAAAAACGGTGTTAAGCAATTCTTTCGTTGCCTTTCACTGAGTGAGTGAGGTTACCGGAGTCCAAATCCCCCCTCCCGCTGACTCGAGCGTGAGGGACTCCAACGGCAGCAACGCACTTGTGACTTTTGAGTTGCAGGTGTCCATGGGCAGCGATAGTTGCTTACCATCAGTTGATCCGTCTGCTCGTTTGCCCCCTTATACCATAAAAAAAAAACTTTGACTTCACCTGCCTACTCTTACCCAATTCTACTCTATCATGTGTCATCTCACTGTTTACTCCCTTCCTACCCATATTCTCAATCACACAGTCCATCTCCCTTTTCTTTGGTCTTCCTCTTTTCTTGTACCCTTCAACTCCCATACCAAACACTTTCTTTGTTTAAACTGTTAACATTCTTAATGTCAAGTTCCTTCAAGAAAGTATCTCTAAGGCCAACTTCTGTATATTTTTAACATTGATAAGATGGTAAACCGTCCTTCTGGTGACGGATTAAGGATACGGAGTGTCACCATCCCTATTCATCCCGTGGGTGTCGTAAGAGCCGAACTATGGGAGCAAACTACGCAGGACAACAGCACTACAAAGAGAAGGAAACCTTGACACAAACTTTATACCAACCCGTCTGGCCAGCGTGGTATAGTAGGCCAAAAACTTCTTTCTAAGGAGAGGCCTATGTCCAGCAGTGGACTATTAAAGGCTGTTAATGTGAAGATGGTAAACCAATTAAATTTTGCTCGAACTGGAATAAATCTATTAAATAATAAATATATTGGTTAGTCTACCCACCATTCTATGTCTGGTACTCTGTCCGAGTGCGGGGTGTCAGCTGCCAGAAGAGCCAGCTTAGTGGCAGAAGATATGCCAGTTTTACGAGCTATCTGGGATATTTCATTTTGAAGTTTCTCTAACTGGGCCTGCAAAAAAACAAAGGTGTGATTGTAAAACTGTATAGCGCCATCTATTGGTGGTAGACGTCGAACTGTACAGCGCCATCTATTGATAATGGCTGTAACACTGGAGAATGTCATCTATTGACAGGTTAGGAAAATAAAATAAGCTCTGTCCCTTGACCAAACAAGTTTCAAGAAATATCTTTTCATACAAAAGCTTGGTATTTGATTTTTCATTGGGTGGAGGTAATCGTTACGTTACTATTTTCTTAATGCGAATGGATTATAGGGAATATTAGATGCATTTAACTGGAAGTGCAAACACGATTAGTATGGTATTCCTTTTGTATAGTGGGTTCAATTTTCTTTTGCTAAATTTATAGATTTAGTCATAGTTTAGTTAGGTTTGAGTATTAATTAATGTATAATGAGGCAGAATTTCAATGAAAACGAATATTTTTTTTTTTATGTTAGAGGGGGCAGACGAACAGACGGGTCACCTGATGGAAAGTGACCATCGCCGTTCATGAACGTCTGCAATTTAGGAGTCACAAACGTGTTGCCGGCTTTTTTGGAAGGAGTACGCTCTGATAATATACATCTACAGTTTAGATTAAACGATAATAATAATTTTCGAAAATTTGACACGCAACGCCATCTCGTTTCAAGCTGAGCAGAGCTCGTATTATGTAAGCTAGATTGATCGATAGAATTTTTGTTTACTTTTTTTGTAAATATATACTTATTTTATAAATAAATTATTAATAAATTGTGTACTTCGTAATTGGCGTATTGTTCGACTATATATACTATATATTATGTAAACTATATACTGTCAGCTGTGAAGAACCTAAGTATTAAATAAATAAATAAATATTATATATGGAAAACACTCAAATTCGGAAACAAATACTGTAGGTCATATAAACATTTGGCTCGACCTAGGAATGGAGCCTACTACTGGACATATTTGTAGATGTAGAGTTAGAGTACCTTCATGCGCAGGCGCTCGGCCATCTGCGTGAACTTGCCGGGCTCGTGGAAGCGCAGCGCGCGGCGGGCGCGTGCGGCGGGGCGCGCGGCCACGCGCTCGTCGTGCCACGCCAGGGACAGCGCGCTCGGCTCCGCCGGGGCCGCGCCCGACAGCTGCGCGCGGAACTCCTCGCGCCGACGCGCGCGGATGTTGGCCTGGGGCACATCACATGTGCAAAATCATATGATTTAGAAATCATATCATCAGAACGATAACTGATTTACAGCACAAGACTCGCAAAGTCTAAATTAAAAAAAACGAGTGTGCTTTATACCACACGACTGAAATAAAACTTCTTAGCTTTGAGAGAAAAAAAAAATGTGCTCGCACGTCTCTCTTCTCCCTTTAGTAATATACGAAACATAACTCTCTCTCTTTCTATATTCACTAACGTATATCTTCCTCTCAACTCCCGTTCGACTCGCCCGATCACACTTTTCGTAACGCTCTCGTCACGCATTCACCAGCTTATTCACCAAGTCAAGCGTGCGTAAAGAAATTTTACTTCAAAAATAAAATAAAAATCATAATTTTTGATAAAAATAATTTTAACCTATTTTAATACCATTTATGTTTGTCTGTGACGATATCACAATCACATGTGAAATCACTATGACTAAAACCAATCATTTCATCAAACGAATATGATTTAAAAAAAAAACAATAAATACCACGTCTAACACACAACCCAAACTACTAAGGCTAATACTTTAACCCCTAATACCCGTACCGCCGTATTCATCCCGTGGGTCTCGTAAAAGCCGACTAAGAAACTACGCAGAACAACAGCACTGCAAAGAGAAGGAAAACTTGACACAAACTGTACCAATCCATCTGGCCAGCGTGGTATAGTAGACCAAAACCTCCTTTCTAGGGAGAGGCCTATGTCCAGCAGTGGACTATTAAAAGCTGTTTATGATGTGGTGATGTAACCCGTACCTCTGTACCCCACAATAAAAGATGAATGATGATAAAAGTTAAAAATAAGAATAATCATCATCATCAGCCTATCGCAGTCCACTGCTGGACATAAGCCTCTCCCATTGCACGCCACTTAGATCGATTTTGGATTTCTGGCTGAATGCGAGAAGCCAAAAATCGATCTAAGAATAATCACGCGACCCAAACCGTAGACAATAGCCAGTCATAAAATCTATAGTACTTATATTTAAACACCAAACAAAATAATATGAACATGACATATATTTAGAGGATTCGATCCCGGGATCCCGGATCTTGGGATCCCGGGATCCCGGTCATATTTTAGTCCCGAAATTTTCGGGATCAAATTTAATGAATCCCGGGATTTTCGGGATTGATACATTTTTTACATAAGTCAATAACAATGTGCGTAAAAAGAAACGCACTTGCCTTGATTTGATGTTTTGACAGCCATCTTGTCTACGCAGCTGATTTCATTTGTTTTTGCTAATGACCGGTTCTGGATTATGCGTAAAAGTGTGTAATTTATAAAGTTTCTGGGCAATTTAATTAAAAAATATGAGTAGGTATCTATAAACATTGGTCTCTTAAGCATATAGTTTTTTTTTTTTATAGTTTGTCTAAATAAGTCTAAAGAAGTTGATTTTTTGAAGTTTATTGTTAGTTTCATAAATTATTTACCGCAACACAAAACAAACTAGGCACTAGTTTGTTTATTTTATAAGAAGAAAGTATAATTTTGGTTAACCGCCTTTTTGGAGATTTAAAACTTAAATATTCTATGTCCTCACAAAACTAAATGATAAACAAAAACAATATATTGATATGTTTTACTGTCTTTTTGTTACCACTTTTCATTGCCAATACAATCCCGGGACTATCCCGGGATCCCGAGATTAACTGTAGATAATCCCGAAATCCCGGGATTATAAAAATCGAAAGGGATCGAATCCTCTACATATATTAGAAAAAACATCTCTTACTCACCTTAAGAGTAGGAGCGACATGTGTCAACTGGACCCGTTTACCACTGGTGTCGACAGTACGACCCTCCCGGTCCAGGATCAACGGAGCCGGCCCTGACCCCGCTGTACTTGTCAAAGCTCCACCTACAATATAAACCACCTAATATAGTTATGATTACCCGTGTGGTGAGGTATTAAGAATACAGTGACACCACCCCTTTTTTTTTTCTGTGCGGATTTTTTTTTGCGGTGGCATGTCGGACTCGAACCGACTAAAACCGCACGCGGTCTCGGGTACTAATAGCCGGGGAACCAGGTATACCCTAGAAAGGAAGTCCCTGGTGCCCCGACATACCTCGGGCCATCTACAGACGAGTAGACGACCCCCACCTCGTGTGGGAAACCCAAGTTCCCTCTGCTCTCTGGAAGCGAGCGCGCTTCGCAACGCGCTCGCCGCCACCCCGGCCTGCTTCTGCTAGGGTGACAGTGTAACCACCCCTATTCATCCCGTAGATGTCGTAAGAGCCGGCTAAGAGCGCAAACTACGCAGAACAACAGCACTGCAAAGAGAATGTGGAATGTTGATTCAGTGATCATTGTTCCGCCATTCGTTCGGATTGATAGCCAAGAGCCTCGACCAACACCTTAAGAGGCTCACGTTGGACGGCTGGATCAAGGGTCTGATGCAGAAGGCAGTCCTCCTTGACACGGCTCGTATAGTGAGGAGGTTCCTATCTTTGGAGTCCTAACCACCGGTGTCTTGGTCCCTGTACCCGATGTCGGTGGTCTACTATTTTTTATATTTTTAAATGTATTTTGTTATAATTTTTTATAAAGTATATGTTTAAAAATGTAAATAATATGTATATAAAGTAAATAAAGAGAATAATAATATTCTACCACATTCACACAACGTCATCTAGTCCCAAACTAAGCAGAGCTTGTACTATGGGTACTAGACAACTGATATAAATACATATATACTTTTTTTTGTAAATACATACTTATTATACATAGAAACACCCAGACCAAATCAAACATTAAATGTTCATGCACACAAATGTTTGACTTGAGCGAGCAATAAGACAGAAAAGATAATATGGAATACACATACCAGCCAGTTTCCTCTGTATTCTCGCCTGCAACTCTGCTATCTTCCGCTGTTTCTCCAACTCCTCGTGGCTCAACGCACTTGCCGCTGTGAAGAAATTTCTTTTAAACTTTTTTCATAATAAGGCGGCGAACAAGTAGACGGGTGGAGAGACATGCCTTGCCTTGAGTCATGCTCTGAGTGCCTCTAAGTGAAAAATCAGTCAGTCAGTGGAAAGCAACAAAAAAATGCTTAATCTTTAAGTACCGACCGTGGGTCCTGTGATGCCGTGGCAGGTTAACAAGTTGTTAGGTTTACCCCTTCCCCGCGCAGGAGAGACCTGACATCAGTAGCGCCGACGGGATAATGGTACCGGCGAATATATTTTTGGTAAGTTATGTAGATTTTAAATTTCGTGAGCTTTTTGTTTAAATAAAGTGCTTAATTACAAAAATCTAGCAGGTATTTTGAAGAATGGGTGTACTTGGCATGTTGAGATTCACATGGTTTAACTATAAATAACCCACACTAGACATAATCTTCCTGGACTTAAAAATATCAATAGCAATACCTGGTTTCGAGTAAAGAACAGGTTTGATGACGCTCGGTGGTGGTATGCTGCTCTGTACTTGGAGTTTCAGCTGCTGAGCTGTAGCAGCTGCAGCACTAACTCCAGAGCTCTTGGTATCTCCACCTTTCATGGCTTGGATAGCGCGCTTGCGTTCCTCGATCTCTTTTTGAGCATTTGCCATCATAAGCTGCAAAATAAGATTTGAGGGTTGTGAAAAACAAACTCATTTCTTTTTTTCGTTTAAAAGTGCACTATGACAAGATCTACTTAATAAAAAAAATGAGATTCTATTATAAATTATTCAAAATTCAAAAAATAACAAAACAACTAAAATTGTGGACCCAGCAGATTTCCCCCCAGGTTAAATATTTGTATGATGAGCATTATTATTTGTTCTATGTCTGGGTGTAATTTATCTATAATATGTATGTATTTAGTAATATATAAGTATGTTTGACTGCACGGATGGCGTAGTGGTTTAAGCAGTCGCCACGCCGCATCCTGCTGCGCCGAGTGTAGTGTGACGACCCCACATGGGACGACACTTTGTGTGATCCACAAATTGTTGTTCTGAGTCTGGGTGTACTTTGTGGCAGTTTCATGTATGTTTGTAAAGTCCCCCACGACACAGGATTTATTCCTAGTGCGGGAGTTGTCTTTTATAATAAAATAATGTTTATCAGCAGTCTGGTTACCATAGTACAGGCTCTGTCTAGTTTGAGATCAGATGACAGTGTGTACATCACACACTTTCACCTGATCCCAAGTATCTGTCTCTGTCAAGTTATTATTTAAAAAAAAAATCGGTTGTCTGTAAAGTCGGTTTACTGACGATAGTTGAACGTGACAACGTCATAAGAAAATACTGATGGAATGGTTGCATTTTTCAAAAGAAAATTTTAATTACGCTTCATACTTGACGAAAACATGTAAATGTATTATTGTATAGCAGCTGTCCACGCGGTCACATCGCTGACTCAAGTAGGAGAGAGACAGATGTCGAACGCTGCCGAACGCGGAGGGCGATTGTGCCTCTTTGTCGCTCGTTCCGCGCTCTCGCTTGCACTTCAAGCCTTAAATGGAACGCCTCAGAGCGAGGTAACGCCGCATGCGTCATGTTTTTTCGTGCGTGCAGCCGGCTCCATCGAATTATAAGACGTTGTCACGTCAAAAACTATCAAACCATGCACTTTGTTAAATATTTCTTTACATCTCACCTTGATTCTATCAGCACTCAGAACAGCCATCTTGGACCCAACAGTCTCCCCTTCTGATATTGCAGTTGTTACAACCTCTACACCATTCTTCTTTTCTTCTCTACCTTCTTTAATTTCTTCTTTTGGCTCCTTCTCTTCTTTAACATCTTCATGCCGTGACCGTTTACCCTCTTTATCGCGATCACCATTGTCATGTTTGCGTTTCGTTGATGATTTTGATGAAGATATCAATTCCTGAGCCAAGGCTATGACTTTGTCGGCTAATTTACTAGCTTTCTTTGAATCTATATGTGATGATATTTTATCAATTATTTTTCTACGCTCATAGCTGGAAAGTAAAATATTAATTTTATTATAAAAATATATAATGATCTCTAGGTTATTGATGCTGATGGCTAATAGGATGTGTGTGTTTAATTCTGATATAGGACAAAAAAATGTGTAATAAGCATGATTATTTTTATGTCTGCTTATTATAATCGACTAGCGTTCGAACGCCCTGCCTTAGTGAGTTCGATTCCCGGAACAGGCAAAATTTTATAGGGTTTTTGTGAGAAAAAATAGCCTAAGTTACTCCTTGTATTTTTTTTTTGTGCCAATCTGCAATCAGTAGACAACTATAAGCAGATAAGTGGTAGGTTTTGGCAGGTCGAGTGCGTCCTCCTGTGAGGGCAACCACTCCTTAATTCTTCATGTCTTCTATACTGTTATAACTAGACTTGCAACGAATAGTATATTCGGCAGTATACCGAATACCGAATATTCGGCGAGGCCCCTGACCGAATAGCCGAATATTAGGCAAAAGTATTCGGCTGGATTTTAGCGCCAAAAACTTGTACAGACGTGAATTAAATTATGTACCTGTTTTATGTACCAATGACTACTTAATAAATGATTATAAAAGAAATGAGAAATAAATTAATTTTGATTACTACAATAATTCAAATACATAGAATCCTCCATTTTTCCAATTCAGAAGATGATTATGTACCTGTGTTATGCACCAATGACTACTTAAATGATTATCACAGAAATAAAAATATGAATATATACGTAATCAATCGATTTTAATTTTTAATTTTACCAATTATTTCTCAATGACAAAATATATTATTTAAGTATTCGGTATTCGGCCGAATAATATGTAGATATTCGGTATTCGGCCGAATATAATAAAAGCAGCCGAATAGGCCGAATACCGAATAGTAACCGAATATTCGTTGCAAGTCTAGTTATAACACGTCTTTTCTTTTAAGAGGATTTTGATAGCTGTGGGTAATAGGACTCGCCGCAAGTACATTCGGGTGGTTTTCTAGCCGTTTTTGGTACTTTTGCGAGGCAGCTTGAATTTCTTCTCCCACAGTGTTCATATTCAGGTGTGTGTGAATTTCAGAGTTGGTGATGAGCCAAGGGACGTTCGCTATTGTTCTTAATATAGCATTCTGTACTCTTTGTAAAATAGAAATACTTGAGTTACTTGCACTGCCCTAAAGTTGAATACCATACACCCAGACGGCCTCCTTATATAGACAGCTACTCGGTAGTAAAATATTTTCAAAATCGGTCCAGCCGTTTTGAAGATTACACCGAAACAAACAGACAGACGGACAGACAAAAATATTATTAAACTGGTTTTTATGCATAGGTATCATGCAAATCAAGGTTATTTGGCATATTAGCATGAAAAAAAACCTATTATTTTGACATTACAAACAGACACTTCAATTTTATTTATTTGTATAGATAATATGTAAGTATCTAGTACTATTTAATTATGATTATCAGTAGTTTGGGGCCTAATATGAGTTAATTTCATATCAACTTGATCGTCACAGAACGTCACTAAAATCTTCACCAATCGCAACAACACTTCTCTCACAACGATCTTGACACCCGAGTTGATTTACAATAATCTACCATCATCATCTCGAGCTAGGTCCTTTGGTTACTATAATACATTCTCTGCCTAGTTTAGGACCAAGTTACGGTGTGCGCAGTGTGTTAAGATATTTTATTATTTTATACACTGTGTTTTAATATACTGTTTATACTGGAATCAGGGCCATTACACTCCTATTTCGGCTAGCAGCGTTCTTGTAAAAAAATAAAAAGTAGTACAAAAATCTCCCTCATTTCTACCCATAGAGATATAAGCATAGAGTAAGAAGACCCCTAATCTTGGCCTAAATAGGCAACAAGAGAAATGGATAATAGAAAGTTCCCTCTATCTCTTTCTAGTCGAGCTCTGTGCCTGGCTGGGGAAATTTCTAATCTACCACCTGTTCTACGATCAAAACCATGCCCCCTTTACGATAGCAAATCACGGCTTAGCTAAACAGAGACAGAGGGAACTGTCAGGCATCCATCTCGCTCGCTGCCTGTATCGCTTCCACTTACAAGCAGCTGTCCCCAGTGTTCTCTCTATGCTTATTTCTATATAATTTTGGTAGATTTGATGTAGTATATATATACTACATCAAATCTACCAAAATTATTGATGGTCATGATAGTACTTTTTATAAACTTAATAAGTGAAGAGAAAATGTCCGTGTGGTGAAAGATTAAGAATACGGAATGTCACCACCCCGTTTTTTTTCGGTGCGGAAATCCCTTCTTCTAAATCCTTATATTTTTCTTATCTATCTTGAATTTAAAACTACACAACATCTACGAGTCTAGATGTAACTCCACATTACTAGCATTTTTTAGGTATAATTAGGTTTTCATCATCATCAACAGCCTTTACTAGTCCACTGCTTCCTTCTCTTTGCCCTGTCCTGCTGTCCTGTGTGGTTTGTCCTCCCTTAGTCGGCTCTTACGAAACAGATAGGATGAATAGGGGTGGTGACACTCCATTTTCTGAATCCGTTACCACACGGACAAGACATAGGTTTTTATGAAAAACAAATAAAAAATTGTAAAATGTTTTAAAAAAAACTGAAATACATGTCATAAATACAGGTCTACAGGTCAATTTACAAGAATTGAGTTTAAACAAGGTTAGTAAACATGACTGCTGTGCCGGAGCATGTGATTTCATTTGACGATTACTCATAACACAGATATTAATCCAGGTAGGATTACTGTGTATAAAGCATTTATTCTGTATTAATGTTTTTATTAATGCCATAAGCATTCTCCTCCAGCCAACCTTTGGGCAGTACTTTGTGTATAGGTGTATATATCAAATTAATTACTTAGATGACAAATTATATTAGTGTGTGTTACGCAAAACTTGCCTACATACAATGAAAAGGAGATCGCTTTTAAAGGGTAGCTCTTCGTGTAATACAACATAGATGGTTTTCTGAAATTATAAATGTCTAAAGTGGGTTCAAATCTTACCCAGCTAATGTCCAACCACTGTTAATACAAGCTTTTGGCTTAGCTGAAAGATTAACCAAAAACACTAAAAATATGATTCAAGTTACTGATTTAGCCTTTACTTAGAACATTACATTGCAAGAATTGTGGATATAAATTGAATCAGTCACTCACCCATTGCTTAAGCAGGAAGATACAGTGGACAGCAAGGAACTATCCGATTTTCCTATGGTCCTGTATATTGCACGGTCTAGCGAAGACCTCAGGTCTTCCACTTCTCGCCTGGATAACTGCAGAGCCATGGTAACACCAAATAATCACGAAATATAACTATAAATTATTTAATTTCTAGGTTATGATAATGACTATCTTATACTAACTTTCACACGAAAAATAAAGCTTATTGTAAGAATTTGTTATTCAATTGTATTAAATACTATGTTTACATTTTAATACCATTTTTAAGTGATATTGAAACAATTAGAAGGCTTTCCGCGCATTGACGTAAACAACGACCATAGAGAATAGAAATCTGTGTTGGTAACCAAGGTAGCTATTTCCCCTACGATTGAGAACTCAATGAACAAAAACTTAATAATCTTCAAATCTTAAAGAATACTAAATGTAAATACAGTATATATACAAGTTTATTATTACAAGAAATTATAATTTGTTCAAATATATTCATTGCGGTTTCAAAAAGTTATTTTCATAATAACAATCAAAAATCTACTATTGGCAAGGCAATTATTTTGTCTACGGAAATAATCCGTTATACACATAATTATTACTAGATTACCAGTTGATTGAAATTTGTTATTAAAGATTGCAGTATGAAGTACTTTTACTAAAGTATTCATTAATTACGAGGGGTGATCAATAAGTAATGATAATCAATATGAAACAGAACTATTAGATTAAAAAAAGTATTTTATTTTTCAACATAGTCTCCTTGCAAGTTAATACATTTAGTGTATCTTTTTTCTAAGCCCATGATTCCCTTAGAAAAAAATTCTTTGTCTTGACCCTCCCAAAATGCCTCTACTGCGGCCATCACTTCACTATTGTCCTCAAATTTGTTGCCCCGGAGGTGTTCTTTGAGCCGAGGAAAGAGGTAGAAGTCACTGGGAGCTAGATCTGGCGAATAGGGAGGGTGTTCGAGCAGTTCGAACCCCGTTTCTTCAATGGCAGCCATCGCAACTGCGGCTTTGTGAGCCGGGGCGTTGTCTTGGTGAAACAGCACTCCAGCGCGCAGTTTACCGCGTCTTTTTGACTTAATAGCTTCTCGCAATCTTCTTATTTGGCCTGCGTAGTAAGAGCCTGTTATAGTGGCCCCCTTTTCCAAATATTCCACCATAATAATTCCTTCTGCATCCCAGAAAACAGACGCCATAACCTTTCCCGCTGAACTTGACACTTTGAATTTCTTCGGCGTTGGTGAGGAAGCTCGTTTCCAAGTCATTGATTGTTGTTTGGTTTCGGGATCAAAGTGGTGGATCCAGGTCTCGTCCATGGTCACAAAACGCGACAAAAAAAATTCTTTATCGGCCTGGAACTTTTGAAGATTCACCCTCGAAATGTCGACTCGTTTCTTTTTTTTTACTTTTCGTCGGTTAACATTCTCGGTACCCAACGCGCAGAGACCTTTTTCATATGCATTTTGTTGACAATGATTTTTTGAACGCTGCCATAGGAGATCCCTGTGACCTCAGCTACATGCCTTACGGTCACCCTTCGATCGGCCAACACGATATCTACCACTTTTTTGACGTTTTCTCCAGTAAGGGACGTGGAAGGGCGTCCCTCGCGATGTTCATCTTCAGTGGAGGTTCTGCCCAGCTTAAATTCCTTTGCCCAGCGTGCGACTGTGGAATATGGAGTAGCAGACTCCCCCAATGTTTCCTCTAAGTCGCTGTGTATGTCTTTGGTAGACATTTTTTTCAGGCAGAGGTACTTGATGACAGCTCTTATTTCATTTTTCTCCATTTTAATGTTTTCTCTTCGACAGTTCGTATTCAAATGAATGTATCTCTCTCGAGTCTTCACACCGTCCCGTAGGGGACGCGTGGTGGCTGGATCGGGGCTGTAGCCCCCTGCCAGCGGTGTCTACCGCTACTCCTAAATAGGAGTAGGTCGTGGGGGTGCTTTGGCAGTGTGGTGTCTTGTTCAGGTGAGGCGGGGTTGCTTCGGTCTTCACGCCGCCTCGGCGGTCAAGCCCGAGCCAGGTGAGACCCCAGGCGGTACCTGGGGAGGCCCAGCTCCGAGCGACCAGCGACAGAGGCGGCGACTTACTAGCAACCCTCTGGTGTCTCGTCCGGGGTATGTGGGGCAGTCCGCACCGCTATGCGGTCTGCGGAGTGCGCTGTTCGTTATTTGTTGCGGCGGTCACCGGCGCCCACACACGGTGCGCCTACTCGGGCCAAGTAGGCACAGGTGCTCGCGAGCCGCGGGGTGGCCGCAGCAACAGGAATGTCGAAGTGTTGGCGGAGCAGGGCGCCTACGCCCCCCAGGCCATCAGGGCAGCTACGCCCTTGGTGGCGATGCGAGCGACGGCGTCTCTGCTCCGCTCCTGGCTCATGGCGGCCAACAACTCTTGGAGCAGCTCCAGTGTGAAAAGGATAACAGCTTTTGTGCTGCTATCCTCTTCTGCCCTTTGGGCGTTTGCTGGTCCTTAGGTGCTTGCGCACACGGTCGGCTTGGTCCTCTCTGTCTCCCTTTTTCGGGGGACTTTGGCTTCGGTAGTAGCTGGGTTGGTGGCGGTCTGACCGGCGGACGGTCTCTCCGCGACGCTGTCAACCTGGGTGTCTGCAGCGGGGTTTGCGGTCCTCCTCTTGCCTCTCCTCTTCTTACGCCTTCTCTTGGAAGAGGTGGATGCTCGGGGAGGTGCGGGGTTCACTGCCGCCATAAGCGACGCCCCTTGCGCATTCTCCCCGGTGGGCTGTGGGTTCACCGGTGTCGGCCTTTGGCGCGACTCCCCGGTGACGGCGACCGTTCCCGCCTTCCTGTTACGCTGTTCGCGTTGGAAGACGGGGCAGTGGGTGTTGTTGGCCGGGTGCTCTCCTCCGCAGTTGGCGCACGTAGCGGGCTCCTGCAGAGGCCTGGGGCAGTTCGCAGCGGGGTGCTCACCGCCGCACCGCACACACGCCTGTCTGCGGTGGCAGTGGTGGCTGGAGTGCCTGAACTGTTGGCAGCGGTGGCATTGCGCGGGCCTCTTTTTCCCGCGCCAGGCTTCTATTTTCACACCGGGGATTCCTAACATCTCCTCGATGTCGTATATCCCCGGTGTCAGGTTTGGTGTCCTCTTTAGGATGGCGAGGAGAATGCACCTGGGACGGTCGCCGCGACCCCGTATGTTTCGCACATACTCGGGGTCGAAGCCCAGGTCTCGGAGCTCCTGCTCCACCTCTTCCGGCGTCGCGTTGCTTGGCAGGCCACGGATGGCCACCTTCAAGCTGCGCTCCTCCGGGAGGGAGTAGGAGAACCAGGAGATACCCTCGTTCTTCTCCAGCGCCGTGAGGTAGCGCTGGACGAGCCGGTACTCCTGGTCGTCTTTGGGCGTGAAGCGTATCCCCCTGCCGAAGGGGCGGGCGTTTGCGGCCCTGCCTAAGATACGCTTGAGCTCTCTCATGTGAGTGGCCCAATTGGGTAGGTACTCAACTACTAGCGGCGGATAGCGACGCTTAGGCGCCTGGGGCGGCGCGGTAGTCGCAGTTTCTGCGGGTCGCGCTGTAAGTACAGCGGGGACCTCTCGCGGGTGGTGAGGCAGGGGCGCTTCCTATCGTCGCACTGCTCCGCCTCTTCGGGGCTGTGCTGACGACGAGTGGGGGTAGGTGGCGGTGGGGCGTCCGTGTCCATTGCCTGCGTGGAGGCGGACAGCGGAGGCGTTCGTGTTGGCAGTCGTTGGCGGGCTAGCCACTCCTGGATCTCACGTCTCGTTTCGGCCTTCATTTGGTGACGCGGGGAGGCTCCGCGGCGGTCGGTTGGGGTGCGCGGCGTCGAGTCCTCGCTCGAGGTCGCCGGTGCCGGCGACCTAGTAGCGCGACTCGCGGCGCGCGGTTGCGCAGTGGCCCTTTGTCGGGGGCGACGCGCGAGCGCTTCCGGTTGGGGCATGGGTGCGCGGTGCTCACCCTCATGCTCAACGCTGGCGAGCGCAGGTGCAGCTCGAGCCTGCGGAGCGCGAGGGGAGCCCGCGTCACCCTCCTTGGGGTTATTGGCACGTCTCCTGGGCATAGCTGGCGCTAGAAAGCGCGCGGCCTGCCCTAGGAGGTTGGTGGTTGTCGCTCGGCCGCAGCCGGGCGGCGCAGGGGTCACACGGGGTTGCAAACAAACACAACAGATTCACTGCTGAAAACCAAATTGGGCTGTGGTCGACCCACAATTATATCAGCACTGTTGTGTTTGTTTGCCACTGCATCGGTGGGCGGACGTCTCCTGCGAATACTCGGCTAAGGCCGGGAGGCAAAGAAAAACGGTTCCGTGCAGGCAGCAACAGCTTCGGGCAACTTCGTCAGGCTTCGTGAGTCTTCGGGAGCTGCGGAGAGGTGTTGCTTCGTCGACGTCCGAGCGAATCCGAATGTATCTCCCGGTAATGGTGTCCTATTTATACATTTTTTTGAAGCTGAAGTAGTGGATATATAAGTAAGCAGAAAAAAAATAATTTGGGTTTTTGTGCGTTCTAGAAATACTCGATTATCATTACTTATTGATCACCCCTCGTATATTAAAATTTGTACTAATAAAGTTCATTCAAAAACTCGAATTTTAGTTATAAAAATCCGATATCGAAAATAATTTTCAAACTTTTATGCGTAGCAGGAAACGTTAAGTGTTTATTATCAACAACATTGACAACAACGCTCTTATAAAAGTGCAGATTCTGAATGTTTTTCCAATAAATTATAAAACTAAAATAGTAATTATTTAAATCGTTGTTGAACTCGAGAAGGTATTTTCTTTCAGAAGTATTTGTGAAAGCCAAGTGAACTCTTAAGATAACCTCAAAATGTCTGATGAAGAAGACGTGATCTTGGTAAAGAAACCGAAACATGTCCACTATGGGTCATTGGAGGAGCAAGAGAAGGCCCGGCTTGCTGCCTTGGCTGCAGCTGCTAAGGAGGGTGCAGAAGATGTCGGTGGGAAAGAGTTGGGAGATATTCAGATTTCAAGTGGTAAATATACACATTTAAAGTCAAATATCGCTTACTACTGATTTGATAAGAAAGTTGGTACGTTATCCGGTCCATAAGCAGATGATGATTTTAGGTGACGTATTGCAAGCTTCAAATCCGAGGTATTAAGAAGCGATATACTTATTTGGGCTACATAGCCTCCTTCACGCTGGACAACGTCTGGATTTAGCTTTAGGGTGCCGCTGTAAAAAACGAAACTAAAATATTTCGGAAATACATTAGCCGCCTCCTGTCCCTCGATAGTCCCACCCCCATAAAGTAATGTATGATTCTGTTGTCTGTACCTACGTTTATCCCTCACATATTTCCAGAACACTGCAGGTTCACTTGCTATTTGATTACTTAATGTGTTTATATAATTCCTAAAAGCACTAATACACAGCACATAAGCACAATAAGGATTTTGACTTTTTATTATTATTAGGGTATTATGGACGAGCAGCAAACTTGCTGATGTGTCCACATCACTGCACTGGAGTAAGTTTGTGATGTAAGAGTTCCCATGTACATGATTAAACGGTTGTTTAGTCCAATTGGTTGTGCTTTTCTAACCATATATCTAGTTGGCACTTAAAACTGTTCACTGACTTTACGGTCACAACATTTTCTGGAAGCTTGTTCCATATCGCAACAACACGATTGTTCAAAGTGTGCCATAGGCTACCAGCGACTGTGAGTGTGAGCGATCTATTGCGAAGCTGTGTCCCCGTGATGAGTATGCCTTCCGCTGGAGGAGGAACATATCCTTGATATTCGGAAGATTATACTTTTGTCCTGTAAAATTTTAAAAGCACTGTTAAATTGCTGTCCAAATTCTTTAAACATTTTTAACTTATAATATTTTACTTTTATATAGTGAATAATTTCTCCTGTGTGGTGACGGATTAAGAATACGAACCCACCACCCCTATACATCCCGTGGGTGTCGTAAGAGTCGACTAAGGGACCAAACTACAAGACAACCGCACTGCAAAGAGAAGGAAAACTCGAAAAAAATCCTATACCAACCCGTCTGGCCAGCGTGGTATAGTAGGTCAAAACCTAGTTTCTAAGGAGAGGCCTATGTCCAGCAGTGGACTATTATAGGCTGTTGATGTGATGTGATGTGAATTTCTCCTGTGTACCCTGTCGGATAGGTGTATTTTTGGTAGAACGGTTTTCTTTTGAGAGGGACGTGATCACTGATGGCCATATTTAATGTTCGTAAAGCATATCCACAGCTAGATTAACGATCTGTTGTATCATTAGATCTGTCCAGTCTGTATGTGCAATTCTCGAAAGGTCTTTTTTGTTACAGAATATATGGAGCTGGAAGAAGAAATGTCTCGCGATAAAAAGGCTCTTCTTGAAGAGTTTGAGAGGAGACGGAAAGCTCGCCAGCTGAATGTGTCAACTGATGATGATGAGGTATACCCTTAAATTACATTCACCACTAAGCTATTATAGTCTAAAGTTTGTTGGTTTGATTGTAAACAATAATCTCTGCAACTAACAATCAGAGTAGAAAAATCTTTTTTAGATTTGATAATTCAATTTCTGTAGAATGTTCTACATGCGTACACTCACACCTACAAATCCAAAGTGGTGGGCAGAGATGTGTTAAAGAGACATTTTACTAATTGTAATTTGTTATTAATCATATAAAAATAGCAAGCAAATTACCATGACACAACTACAGAAGAAAGATCCACATTCATATACATCTGTTTATGTTGTATTATGGTAAAAGGTAGTACTCAGCCTTTAATTAAATTTATAAACAAAACACTCATGTTCAGGTCAGAAGAAGTCTACGACAGCTCGGTGAGCCGGTGTGTCTGTTTGGTGAAGGTCCAGCAGAACGGAGAGTGAGATTAAGAGATCTATTAAGCTAGTGAGTAGACTTTCAGATTGTATATTTTAATATCATCTTCCTACCCTTTTTCTTCCAGTCTCTTTGATCAGTCAAAATCCTCTTTCACACATTTCTATGTTTCATTGTGAAACCATTTTGACTTTTTCTTTTTTTTTTTCTGATGCCAACCCGCTTTGCGGATGTAGTTGTTCTATATTTCACATTACACAGCACATCAACAGCCTTTAATAGATAACTGCTGGACATAGGCCTCTTATTAGAAAGCAGGTTTTGGTCTACTATACCACGCTGGCCAGACGGGTTGGTATAGGATTTGTTTTAAGTTTTCCTTCTCTTTGCAGTGCTGTTGTCCTGCTTAGTTTGCTCCCTTAGTAGGCTCTTACGACACCCACGGGATGAATAGGGGTGGTGACATCCGGATTCTAAATCCGTCACACGGACAAAGATATTTGAGAATTCCAAAGACTAATTATGATAGGTATTGCAGAGAGAAGGAAAATTGACACAACCCTATACCAACCCGTCTGGCCAGAGTGGTATGGTAGGCCAAAACCTCCTTTCTGAGGAGAGGCCTATGTCCAGCAGTGGATTAGTAAAGGATGTTGATTACTGTGCTGTGCCCGACAGAGTAAGTAAAGTATTGAGTACCTGAACCACTCAGCCCTCAACATATGAATGTTTTGTTCAGCCTTGGAGAGGATGCCATTCACAAGAAGTTGGAAGAAGAAGAAGCACGCATAGAGAGAGACAGGGGGCGCGAGGGTACATGGTACCACGAAGGTCCCATTGACCTGAGAGAGGCTAGGCTGTGGATAGCCCGGTATTCACTACCTAAGGCCAAACAGAGGTAACTTTTTTTTAAATGTTTTTAATAGAAAGTTTTTCATATAAGCAGACAACGTGTTTTATGTTTTTTTTAATTCAAAATTATCAAATAGTTAACTATATGATCGCTAGATGGCGCTGTATGTTGCAGTAAGAACTATCGGTAGTGGTGATTTTTGAATAATCTATACAAATAAATTAAATTGGTGTGTCTGTTTGTAATATTAAAATAACCGCTTTTTACTAAATGCATATGTATGTTTACACGGTACATATGCCAAAATAACATTTTTACAATTTTTGTCTGTCTGTCTGTTTGTTCCGGGTAATCTCTGGAACGGCTGGACCTATTTCGACGGGACTTTCACTGGCAGATAGCTGATGACATAAGGAGTAACTTAGGCTACTTTTTTTAGACAACGCCGCGGGGCGAACCCCGCGGTTATAACAACAAACGCGGGTAACACCGTGGGTCTCAGCTAGTAAATACTATATTTAGTAGCGATACCATATCGCAGTGCACGCATTTGGTGATTAAAGAGGCAAAATTTTCATCCTCATCACCTGGATAGTTGGCGCTCCACTACTGGGCGCTTTTCGAGACACTTTTTGCCCCGCACAACCAATCTGTGGAACGGGTTATCGTCTGCGTTATTTCCGTACCGATACGACCTTCAAACCTTCAAGAAAAGAGTACCGTACTCCTTCCTAAAAGGGCGGCAACGCATTTGCGACTCCTGAGTTGCAGACGTTCATGGGCGACGATGGTCACTTTCCATCAGGTGTCCCGTCTGCTCTAACATAAAAAAAAAATAGTTAAAAATAAAACTGACTATTGTAACTAGCCGCACTAAAAACAGGAAAATAGTTTTCTGTAAGTTGAAAGTAATGATGATGAATGAATGAATGAATGAATGAATGGGTGAATGAATGAAAAGCAATGATCAAGAAAAAAATAATGTTATCGTATTAAAAGCGTAGGGTGCTAGATGCCAGTTGTTGTAAATATTTTATTGAAAGATATTATAATAATAATATTTTCACACATCTCACACACGGCCGTCTGATCCCAAACTAGGTACAGCCTGTACTATGGTAACCAGACTGCTGATAAACATACTTATATATTTCTAAATACATACATATTGTAGACTAGCTGACGCGCGCAACTTCGTCTGCGTCTTTCAATAGTAATAAATTTTCTCCGTTTTTGAAACATTCTTCATTGGTGCTCCGCTCCTATTGGTCTTAGCGTGATGATATATAGGTGCCTATAGCCTATAGCCTACCTCGATAAGTGGGCTATCTAACACTGAAAGAATTTTTCAAATCGGACCAGTAGTTCCTCAGATTAGCGCGTTCAAACAAACAAACAAACTCTTCAGCTTTATAATATTAGTATAGATTAGTATAGATAAAGTACACCCAGACACAGAACAAATGATCGTGCTCATCACCAAATTATTCGTCCTGGGTGGGAATCGAACCCACGACTGGCGTAGCAGTCAGGGTCACTAACCACTAGACCAACAGGCCAGGAATCAATTGCACAAGCGCGTTATACGAGAATACTCCTACAACGCGTTTTCCTATAATGGGCTTAACAGTCAGGGTCTGTAAGGGTTATCGTGGTTCCTTACACAGATGTGAAATCAGCGTCAGCGTCACCAAGTGACTGAGGCTACCTGAGACTCATACCCCCTTAATTCTTTTCTATTCTATTCCTTTATTCCCCTCCCTTTTTGACGTGACAACGTCTTATAATTCGATGGAGCCGGCTGCACGCACGAAAAAACATGACGCATGCGGCGATACCTCGCTCTGAGGCGTTCCATTTAAGGCGTGAAGTGCAAGCGAGAGCGCGGAACGAGTGACAAAGAGGCACAATCGGCCTCCGCGTTCGGCAGCGTTCGACATCTGTCTTTCTCCTACTTGAGTGAGCGATGCGTCCGCGTGGACAGCTGCTACTCGTATACAATAATACATTTTTGAAAAATGCAACCATTCCATCAGTATTTTCTTATGACGTTGTCACGTTCAACTATCGTCAGTAAACAGACTTTACAGACAACCGATTTTTTAGTTTATATCTCTCTATATCATAAAAAAAATATTACAGGTTGACGAAGGCCCGCGAAGAACTAAAGTTGGCTGGAAGTGTTCGTGCAGCGGCCAAGCAAGAGTCACAGAGGAAGGCGTCTGGCATGTCCATATACTGCAGTCAGGTAACACATACATAAGAATATAGAGTGTCACTACCCCTATTCATCCCGTGGGTGTCGTAAGAGCCGACTAAGGGAGAAAACTACGCAGGACAACAGCACTGCAGAGAGAAGGAAAACTTGACACAAACCCTATACCAACCCGTCTGGCCAGCGTGGTATAGTAGGCCAAAACCTTTCTAGAGAGAGGCTTATGTCCAGCAGTGGACTGTTAAAAGCTTTTGATGATGATGATGATTTCCAAGTTATATGCCCTTGGAAAGTAAGCAACTGACCTCTTAGTCCAGTAGTTGGTGACCCTACTTGTAAACCAGAAGTCCTAGATTCAATCCCCACTCTGGACAAATATTTGTAGTGACGAGAACGATCATTGTGTGAGGTTATTATTGTTGCTCCATAGGATTTAATGGTTCGATTGTATGGAATGTGGAGGACAGCGCCATCTAGTATCGACTAAGTACATATGTTAAGATTGTTGTTAATACGAGTAGTTCTGATCCTTAAAGCGCTAGATGGCGCTGCTCTGATTCTGGAATATTCGTGTTTGTTTGGCACGGACTGTCGAATACTAGGGACTTTTTTAGTAAAATTCAAAAGCGTTATAAAAGCGGAGCGTGTTGGCCAATCGACACAGTTTCATTTTATGACACTGCGAATTAACATCGGAGTGAATTTCTAGTGCGACTAACAAGATATTTTTTTTTTTTTTTTTAATTGGGACTAATCCCACCCACACGCCCACCACTGTAACTCCTGTACACCAGGATCCACAGCAGTGACCCACGAACGCACCGAGTTATGACACTCGGGAAGTCCCAGGAAGAAATTAAACTGTCTTGGAACCCGCAACGAAATTAATCAGAAGAAAATTGGAGGAGTTGGAAATACAGTAAATCCACTAACAAGATATATAGTGATTTCTAGTTTATTATAGTGAGTGTTTGTAAATACAGTGAAATAAAGTAATTAACCGACAACTTTTATTTATTATATACCCCGCTCGTTACATTATCATTATTAAAATTGAATTTTTAATTATTATTTTTGTTTACAGATTGGAGACACACGACCAATAAGTTTTTGTAGATTCAGTAGCGATAGTAAAATGCTGATCACGGCGAGCTGGTGAGTAACTAGTGTACTGCTGAGGAGGGGTAACCCACTATCCACTAAAACAGCAAAGGGTAAACCACAGCCTCACATAAAAACGGTAGTAGGTAAATTTTCGCTGCTTTTCACTGAGGTCACCCAACCCAAACCCCCAACCAACCCCGTATTCTTTCTCTGGGTGGACCCTCGTGACTCTTGAAGTTACAAGTGCCCATGAACGGCGGTAGGCACCTATCATTAAATAACCCGTCTCCTAATCTATATCATACATAAAACCTTTTTTTTTATAAAGACAACTCCCGCATTAGGAATATATCCTGCGTCGTGGAGGATTTTACTAACATACATGAAACAGACACAAAGAACACCCAGACTCAGATCCAAAATTTGTGGATCACACAAAGTGTCGTCCCATGTGGGGGTCGAACCGCGTAGTAGTAAGCGGTGTGGCGACCACTTAAACCACTACGCCATCCGTGCAGTCTGACGAAAATATCAAAGTTCTTCAACAAAGAACCGATTACCAGGTGTTCCTTCACTTTTATGGAGTTATACAACAACACGGGTTTGTCTTTAAGTTATTTTCGATAAAAGATGATAAACAAATATACCATAAGTTAAGTTAGACTCGAATAATATGACTTTTGTTACAATTTGGTATAAAAGTGTAGCTTTTTCAGCGAACTACCACGTAACTTTGTAACTGGGCACTAGATGGCGCTAGTTTGTATATATAAGTTCTGTAACTGATTAATAGATGGCGCTGCCAATAATTTTGTTAGATGCCTACGTTTTTCATATATAAAAGTTAGTAATTTTCATTTCTTTTTAATTTATTTTACATCTTCATGCACTTATGCAAGCTGATGTGGGAGTGGGCTGGTCATATTAGACGCAGAACCGACAACCGTTGGGAAAAACGAGTTCTTGAGTGGAGACCGCGTCTCGGCGAACGTAGTGTAGGACGCCCACAGGCCAGGTTGTGTGATTATTTGCGCAAGATGGCTGGCAGGAGCTGGATACGAGAAGCCCAAAATCGATCTAAGTGGCGTGCAATGGGAGAGGCCTATGTCCAGCAGTGGACTGCGATAGGCTGATGATGATGATTATGTACATTCTTTACCCCAACCTTTAGGTGGTGTACAAATCTTGTAGGGTAGTTGCATCGAGGTTACAATTGTAATCACTTATTATAATTTTTTTTTTTGAAGTACACGGCAGTCTGATCCCAAACTTGGCAGAGCCTGTACTAACCAGACTGCTGGCTGATAAACATATGTAGATTTTTTCTAAACACATAAATAATGTGATCTACCTGTCCCTAGGTCCGGCCTGGCCAAGGTGTGGTCTGTCCCGGAGTGCAAGCCCCTCCACACCCTCAAGGGTCACAAGTGTAACGTTAGCGGCGCCAACTTTCACCCCAAGGCTCACATACCTGAACACTTTGTTAAGAAAGTAAGTTGTTTAATGGAATTATTTATGTGAAATTGAACTCTTTTGGTAATTTATATATTTTGTCTGCGTTTAAGCGGTGAATGGTAAATGGTAGTCATCTAGTCACACGGACAGACGGAGATCTGTCCGTCTGTCCGTGTGTCCACCGATTTTCTCAGGAACGGGTAGACCTAGCAAGTTGAAAATTTTACCAGATACTGAGGTCTATGGTCCCTATTAGGTGTATAAAAATCAAGGTCCTGAGTCAACACGATAAAAAGATATGGGCAAATTTCGATTTTCGCGTAACTTGTAAGTACCAAAATTTACCTTAATTTTCAACTTTTTATCACTTTTTTTTATACTTTTTTATTTTTCAGAATTTTCTCTTTACTTGTGCTGTAAGACCTTGCTATGAACCAAAATTTACCTTAATTTTCAACTTTTTATCACTTTTTTTTATACTTTTTTATTTTTCAGAATTTTCTCTTTACTTGTGCTGTAAGACCTTGCTATGAACCAAAATTTACCTTAATTTTCAACTTTTTTATCACTTTTTTTTATATTTTTCAGAATTTTCTCTTTATTTGTGGTGTAAGACCTTGCTATTAACCAAAATTGACAATTCTAGGTCAACCGTAAGTACCCTATAGGTTTTGGGTCGAAAACCTATAGGGTAGTTCCCGTTGACCTAGAATCTCGAAATTTGGGCAAAAGAAACGTCTTACAGCACAAATAAAGGAATAATTCCAAAAAATAAAAAAAGTTAAAAATTAAGACAAATTTTGGTACTTACAAATTTTCGCGAAAATCTACGTAAAACCTGGGTAGGTACGAAACCCTCGGCGCACGAGTTCGACTCGTACCTGACCGGTTTTTTCGTTTCTTTGTTTATGTTGCTTTTAACTTTTGTTTTATTTTTGTATGCTGTGCTTTATGAAATAAATATATTATTCTATTCTATAAGACTTGGCAATATTTCCGTGGGGGAACATTAATTTAACCCAGTTCTCTCGCAATTTTACTCTGTTTCTTGCGGATAAACAATTACGTGATATTTGCCGAGACCCCCCTCTCCCAAAAGTAAGATTAGATGAGTTTCAGCTCGACCCCCTGAATCACATCACATAATCACATCAACAGCCCTTAATAGTCAACTGCTGAACATAGGCCTCTCCTTAGAAAGAAGGTTTTGGCCTACTACACCACGCTGGCCAGACGGGTTGGTATAGGGTTTGTGTCAAGTTTTCCTTCTTTTCGCAGTGCTGGTGTCCTGCGTTATTTTGCGCCCTAAGTCGGCTCTTACGACACCCGCGGGATGAATTGGGGTAGTGACATTCCGTATTCTTAATCCGTCACTACACGGACATTCCCCCCCCCCCCTGAATGCCTCACGTAATTAATGGAGGCCCTAAAGTAATTAAATTTTTGTGTGCTAAGTCCTGATCTTCAAGAAAATTTATTTATTTAAATACTTTTGAAGTTATCAACTGTTCATATTTTATCATATTGTTCCAGTTAAATGGATCTAATGAACAAGAAACTTCAGAGGAAGTTACTCCAGGCCAAGAGTCGGACGTAATGGACGTGGAGGGAAGCTCCGAGGCCTGCGCAATGGCCACCTGTGCTTATGACGGCTCCGTGCATTTGTGGAATTTTGTCAGGTAACAACTACTCCTCACTGCTCTGGGTGTTGTGAGTTCGATCCTTCAAAAGGTCTACCCAGACCCTACACTGTACTCGCACAGTTTTATTTAACTTTGTTTACGGACTAAAAAAAAGACACCTCTGTGGTGTGTTTCGGCGTTTCTTCCCAGAGTGAGTATTAGGAAATGCCGGCTCCATCTAGCTCTAGTATCTCTGTGTAGTGACGGATTAAGAATACGGAGTGTCACCACCCCAATTCATCCCGTGGGTGTCGTAAGAGCTGACTAAGGGCGCAAAACAACGCAGGACACCAGCACTGCAAAAAGAAGGAAAACGTGACACAAACCCTATACCAACTCGTCTGGCCAGAGTGGTATAGTAGGCCAAAACCTCCTTTCTAAGGAGAGGCCTATGTCCAGCAATGGACTATTAAAGGCTGTTGATGTGATGTGATGTGATCTAGCTGTAAAGTCCGACTTGCAAAAATATCTGAAAAAGATTTACGTACAGAATTAAAGCTGGATGCGAGAAGCCCAAAATCGATCTAAGTGGCGTGCAATGGGAGAGGCCTATGTCCAGCAGTGGACTGCGATAGGCTGATGATGATGATGACAGAAATAAATATCATTTCAAATCTAGCTTTTATAGTACATACAAGGTCTGCTTAGTTTGAAACTAGATGGCGTTGTGTGTCAGATGTCCGAAAATATTATTATACATACATACCAAACAAATAACTTGTTTTTTTTGTATTGACACAGTCGGGTAAATCTATAAGATTTTGTTTTGATTCCGTAGCGAGTCTCCCCTGGCGTCCCTGGAGGGCCACAGCCCGTCCCGCGTAGCTCGCGTGGAGTTCCACCCGTCGGGCAGGTTTCTCGCCACCACCGTGTTCGACCACTCGTGGAGGCTCTGGGACTTGGAGACAGGTATACCACTACTTTTTCAACATTTTCATTCAATAAATGATTGTATATCGTTGCAACCCCCCTCACTCCCTTTGAATCTGGGGGGGGGAGGCTACCTTAAAGATTGCACCGCTTTCTGTGACTCTTGAATTGCAGGAGTCCATATGAGGTGATAGTCGCTTACCATCAGGTCAAATCCAAGAAATTTATACAAAATTCTAATTAAATATGCATGTAAACCTTTCTAACGAATTACACTATCAATTGCTGAAAACCGTTTAGATCTTTTAGAGTTTATCGCGTTAAGACAAACAGACAGACCGACCGAGGGACTTTAATTTATATTATGAAATGATTTACCTCTATTCTTATTTCCTTATTTAGCTACAGAAGTACTCCACCAGGAGGGCCACGCTAAGCCGGTGTACAGCATCTCCTTCCAAGGGGACGGGTCCCTCGCGGTCACAGGGTGAGTGTTCACGCCACTCAAATGTATGTTTTGACTCATCAGGAATAGCATCTTTAATCATAGTCCACTCTCTCCTTAGAAAGGAGGTTTTGGCCTACTATACCACGCTGGCCAGACGGGTTGGTATAAGGTTTGTGTCAAGTTTTCCTTCTCTCTGCAGTGCTGGTGTCCTGCGTAGTTCGCTCCCTTAGTCGGCTCTTACGACACCCACGGGATGAATAGGGGTGGTGACACTCCGTATTCTTAATCCGTCACCACACGGATTGTTGTTTGTTAGTTGTTTAGATATTCTTGGTGAGCTCGACTATATTGACCTAGCGAGTTTTGAAAACATAACTTTTTTGTTTGTTATTTTTTTTATGTCATGGTAGCAAATAAACATACTACCTACTGATTGGACGGATGGCGTAGTGGTTTAAGCGGTCGCCACGCCGCTCACTACTACGCCGAGTGTTGTGGGTTCAAACCCCACATGGGACGACACTTTGTGTGATCCACAAATTGTTGTTATGAGTCTGGGTGTTCTTTGTGTCCGTTTCATGTACGTTTGTAAAAAATCTGACCTCCATTGAATATGTTTCCAGAGGCATGGATGCGTTCGGCAGAGTGTGGGACCTTCGAACTGGTAGATGTGTGATGTTTCTAGAAGGACACTTAGGTCCAGTGCTGGGCGTGGACTGGTCCCCAGCTGGTCACCACTTAGCGACGTCAGCGGCCGACCATCAGACCAAAGTGTGGGATCTGAGGAGAAGAGCTGCGTTATACACAATACCTGCGCATACGCATCTAGTCAGCGGTGAGTTAACAGCTTTGCTAAAAATACACAGACAGTAGGTTGAAGAGCTGTAGGACTTGGAAAGGAGGAATCTTGAAGTCAGAATTATGTCGCATTTGTATCTAGTTAATACCTGAAGGTACCAGTAACTAACGTAAAGTAACTTAACGCCATCTAACGGAAACAAGGTGAACTTTTTAGTGGCTATACTTCACGTATCGCGCAAACGAATTTTAGTGCCGATTACTAACATTTTTAGTATTTCGCTGCTAGAATATCTAAGAAAAAGTTACGAGAAACTTACCACGGGTATTTATATTTAACTGGTACGGGTTCGATTTTAGCTCAATGCATTTTTTTTTTAATGGAAACGAGGGCAAACGAGCTGACGACGACTATAACTCAGGAGTTACAAGCGCGTTGCCAGCCTTTGAGGAAGAAGTACGCTCTTTTCTTGAAGGTTTGAAGGTCGTATCGGTCTTTAAATACCGCAGCCGATAACCTGTATTGAAAAGCGCTCAATGGCGGAGCGCCAATTATCCAAGTGGGGGGGGGGGGGGTGAAAATTATGCCGTGTGGAACGATGGCGGAAGGTTGCGGTCGGTATTAGTCCGAACAATTCCTCGGAGCACTCTCCATGATATATACACATATAGATTAGTTTTTCTATGTGTTATTTGAGTATATTTAAAGAAATCCTAAATATGAACATCCACGTGCTGCCCACAGTGGACGTATGCTGAGGTTGGGTCTACATAGCGATGATATATCTTAAAGTAATAGGTCTTTACCTATGAAATTGCCGTTTTGTATGCAATAAGTGAAAGTACTTATTTTTTCAAACATTTTTATTTCTGTTATTCGAAGTAATCACCCATGCAATCGACGCATCTTTGCCAACGCATTGGCAGTTTATTGATGCCCTTCTTTTAAAAATCAGCTAGACGGGAGGCAACAAACTCTTCAAAGGCATTTTGTACTGACTCTCGGGAATTGAATTTTTTACCGACTATTACTTATAGTCGGTAGGTGCAAGGTCTGGTGAGTATGGCGGATGAGGGAGAGCTTCCAACCCCAGCTCTTGCAGCTTGGAGACTGTCTGTTGCGCAGTATGGGGTCGCGCGTTGTCGTTTACTTCGAATAACAGAAATAAAAAAGTTTGAAAAAATAAGTACTTTCACTTATTGCATACAAAACGATAATTTCATAGGTAAAGATCTAATATTATATAATTCTTATTGTTGCAGACGTGAGGTACCAGAAAACCCACGGCCACTTCCTATTAACGTCTTCATACGACAAAACAGCCAAACTGTGGTCGAACCCGGCCTGGCACCCCCTCAGGACATTATCTGGTCACGATAACAAGGTAAGCGTCGTACGTTTGTAAAAATCTAAATAAACTATGGCAACATTTGCATATTACAGAATTTACCGATGACAATTTTGACAGGTGACATATTTGACAGATGACAGACATGTCATTTTGACATTTATTGTCATTGTGAGTCTAACTTCGTTTAGCAATTTTAACAAATTAATAATAATAATAACTTCATACAGCTCACCCACTGCAGTCTGATCCCAAACTAGGCAGAGCCTGTACTATGGTACACAGACTGCTGATAAACATACTTATATATTGCTAAATACATACATATTATAGATAAATTACACCCAGACAGAACAAATGACCGTGCTCATCACTCAATATTTGTCCTGGGTGGGAATCGAACCCACGACCTCCGGCTTAGCAGTCAGGGTCACTAACCACTAGACCAACAGACCCGTCAATTTGTTAAATACAATGTAAATATTTCGTAAACTCATTTTGTATCAGTAGATCATCGTGGTTAAGTAACTTTGGTACAAGCTCTTATTATGATGACTGATCTTTTTTGAAAATGAGCATAGCCAGCGGTGTAGTAATTAGTGATTCTACTGAGTCAGAGGCTGTGAGTTCGATCCCATCCGATCAAATAATTGTGTGTGTATTTAGTAATATATAAGTATGTTTATCAGCAGTCTGGTTACCATAGTACAGGCTCTGCCTAGTTCGGGATCAGACAGCATTTTGTAAGGTGTGTTAATTAAAAAAAAAACGAATTATGAAAATTACTAGTTAATGTAATCTCTATTGATTTGATTGAGACGACCGGATGGCGTAATGGTTTGTGTAACGGATTGCTATTCTAAAGGTCGCGGGTGCGATTCCCGTTCAAGTCAAACATTTGTGTGCATGAACTTTTAATGTTGCATGAAATTTGGTCTGGGTGTTTTTATGTATAATATGTGTCTATTTACACAAAAATATATTTATATCAGTTGTCTAGTACCTATAGTACAAGCTCTGCTTAGTTTGGGACTAGATGGCGTTGTGTGAATGTGGTACAATATTATTATTATTATTATTTATAGCAACCCAGATTAGAGTCTTTTATTATTAGTCTGTGGTACTATATCGGTATTTAGTATTATCAAGATAAAATATTTAAATTCGACAATAATTTCGTACTATTTTCCCAGGTGATGAGCGCCGACATATCACACGACAGCAAGTACATAGCGACCTGCTCATACGACAGAACGTTCAAGCTTTGGGCCCCGGACCTCGCCTGAAATACTTTATAAGATATATACAGGGTGTAAGGGACGTCGTAACGAATACTGACATAGTGTATCAAATTTCAATAATTTTTGACGCAGAATGATGGTCTGACATCATTCTGAGTCGATAATCATTGGAATTTTAACTTATTATGCAATCGGTAGTTAAAGGTTAAGGTCATTCCCCGTAGGTATCACACAAAAGTAATAACCACTATGTGTATTCTGTGTAAATAGTCTACGCACACTAACACAAAACGGCGGACGGAGAGGAGGCCCCACGCGCTTCGGCTGTTTGATTAATTACATTGCAGTTTTTTTGGTATTCATTAAATTGTTTTCGGTAAAATGTTCTGTCTACTCATTGTGATATCATTTTTCATCATTTTTACCAGAAATATGGAAAATTAAAAAAAAAATGATGAATTTTCCGGCGGAAAGTTCCAATCATTTTCTACTCAGAATCATGGTCTGAATACACTATTTCAAGACCTTCCCTTACACCCTGTATACATATAAGTTATACTGCAATAAAATGTTTTCAATATATGTTTTTGTTTTAGTTACCTGAGTATATACATAAGTATATATATACTTAAGACATAGCATGTCGGCTGGATGAAATTTTAGTGATATTATGAACCATTGGCAGCTTGCAATAATATCTAAAAAATTATTGCGAGATTTAATTTGCATACTAACGCCATCTAGGGAGGAGGTTCGTAATTATTAAGAGAATTATTCATTTTCATACAGACGAGTGCTTAACTGTGGTATTATTGCAATCTGCAACCCACAAACTTTGTTAAGAATAAATCCTAAAACTAGCGAATGTAATGTTGCAATCAAGACAATTTAAAGAGGGGAAGACCTGGTAACCTGAAATACAGACTAAAAGCCTACCTTAGGTACCAGTCTCCCACAGTATTGATTTCTATTTTGTAAGTTTTAGTTATTATAATTGTTATAATGCTGTCCTGAGAAAAATAAATTATTATTATTATTGCTTCCTTACATTGCAGTTTAAGTCAGTTAAGGTCATAAAAATTATGAATTTTATTTATTTATTTCGCCATTGTAGGAAATTACACATACTTTCAAATTTCCTTTTACCAAAGTACAATTGGCGACTGTACGGATGGTGTAGTGAATTAAGCGGTCGTCACGCCGCTTAGTACCACGCTGAGTGTTGTGGGTTCGATCCCCACATGGGACCACACTTTGTGTGATCTCAAAATTATCGTTCTGAGTCTTTGTATCCGTTTCATGTATGTCTGAAACGTCCTGACACAGGATATATTACTAGTGCGGCAGTTGTCTTTAAAAAAAAATTATAACAGATTATTTATTACAAATAGTGGCCAAACAGTAACGGGGATGATAAGTGCCTACCGCTGCTAAATGACACCTGCCCCCCCACCCCCATTTTTACTTTATTGCATTCAAATATGCGGAGTCTTTATTTTATTTAAGTAGGTAAACAATAAAAATAAAACGCCAAATCGTTTTAATATATTTATTTTGTGCGCCTGTAGCACAGTGCGCCCTTAACGCAATATTACAATTATATATACAAATTGCCGATTAGAAAATTAGCCTAGGAAACATTTATACAATCAACACAGCTTCGGAACAATAGGATCGACCTGCTGACCTCTTGCTTAAGGACTTGAGAGAAATGAGAAGTGACCCCTCTGTAGTGACCCCTCGACCCCAGGCTAGACAGGTAATTAGGTAATTTCTAGCCTTTCGGGTATGCTGCAGTCTCAGTTTCGTTTTTCATCTAGCTCTATTGTTCATTCGCTTTAAGAAAATAGTGACGCATTAATCAAGTCCATGTTCCACGAAATTATCGTTTCGTACGTAAGCTTGGCGAGAGACAGGCGGCTTGACATTTAAAGAAACCAGCGAAAACCCTTTGCAATATTGGTTTCTTACATTTATATATTTCTCGTAATTTAAAACGAGAGAGATGGAAAGGGCTGGCCAGCTCGAAACATTTGGGAGATGTCTCCCCCTCCCAATTTATGCGTACGCGCATGGCTCACACCAATAAATTGGGGGATTGAAAAATTCTTTCAATTTTCCTATCAATTCTCAAAACCTCCAGTTGAAAGCAGTAAACCTTGCCCCTATGACGTACGAACGGCTAACGTTAGGTAAAGTGTGAGCGTTTAATAAGGCCCTACCTACCCTTTGGGAGCTATAGATTGGTGTAGGTATATACAAGAATCGCTATTGTATCCAAAGCTGTTCCGAATATGCCTAGCAAAGGTCAGGGCTGTGCTTTAATGTCCAAATCGACCATGATGATGACCAGTGTCATCCAGACATCGGTAAAACATTAAATTTCCAAGAATTAAACTACAAATTCTGCTAATTTAACACAAATCATTAAATTACATAAAACAGCGTGCAGTCATATTGGTTCGGACTTAAGAATTACTGGAATATTTATGACAGAAAAAGATCTCAGTAACATTATTATAACAATTTGACCCAAGTTCTATATCCTAGGTTCCAATGTCAATGATTTTGTGTAGTAGCTGCGAAGGCGCCTCCTCTCATGAAGTGGGCTGTGGACAGGAGTTCGTGGACTGAGCAGAGTAGCAAAGATGTTCCTGATGCTTTCCTGGCGAGTATAGAAGCATTCCGATATACTGTAGAGATGACCATCGTAGACGTTGAAACGCCAATCTTAATTGAAGTTACAGAGAGGCATATCGACAGCAATTGTGGGGAAGAACGGAACGAGCTCGAAAAGCGGCGGAACGCTCACCGACAGGCACTGGTGCAGGTACTCACTAGGAATGGTTGCTTCGTTGAGTACCTAAATCGGATTGGACGCGAGGAGACGGCACAATGCCAGCACTGCGCAGCCGGCTGGGACTCCGCTGAGAGCGGACTGAAAACTGAACGCGAGGTCCTGATCGACCAAATCTGACGAGACCTGTTCCCGCCAGCAATGGGGCTGGGGCGCAGTGGATTCTTCCTGTGAAGCTGTAATGCTCCATAAAGAGACCGCTGAACTGGATGTCGGCGGCGTTATCAGCCGTCGACGGGGCTGCAGACTACCAGAGAGTGGGGACCTCTAGTGGCAGATTAATTACTGCGGTAGGCCATAGGATGGCGCCCGATCACAAGCTGCAATCATGCCGCAACACGCATTGATTGGGCCATAGGCGGGCGGAAGACTTCTTTCCCCGGGACAGGTCCTGGCAAGGCGCCTGAGATCGGCTGCCGGGTTTTTTTTAAAGTGGAAAAGTGGCTTCTGCGTCCCCGAAGAGCCGGAGATCCGAAGGGAATTTCCAACCCAACAAAACAAACGTACCAATGTCAACATTCAGGAAATTACCAATACTATCTTCATATAAAAATTCATCAATAAAATTTATTATTATTGTAAAATATTACTTTACATACTTGACAAAAAACTATTTCGATTTTACTTTCCCTTCTCTTATTTTACCCAACTGCCCTTAAAGGAGGATAATGTGTTTTTTGTTTCTCTCCTACACCATAACTTTCGAAGACCTGTTTTAATGTACGGAGAATTCAAAAGAATTTGCAGACCAGTAGTTACTATTCGTTCTCAATGTTTCTACACTATCAGTTTTATTCACTTTGAATTTCCATTCACCCTCCTTGTTTACTCTTTCTACAGTTTCTATTCACCCTTAGCGATATTAAATCTTCAACTCACCTCTCCATCACAAACCTTTAATCATCCCAGCATGGTTTCAACTGACATATTAGCCTCTTAAGTTTTCTTTGAGAAATATCTGTCATTAACTTATAGTCCAGTATTCATTCTAGATGTACATGCAGCAAAAGGAAATACCTGGCCCTTTGATATTTTATGTCGACGTACAAACCATTGTCATTCCATTAAAAGGCTATTGAAATATCGGTATTCTACTAAGATAAATTCACAGTGTTAAGTGGTGATATCAACAACATTGCCATGTCTGGAAAACTAAATAATAATAATATAATAATTATATATTCTACCACATACACACAACGCCATCTAGTCCCAAACTAAGCAGAGCTTGTACTATGGGTACTAGACAACTGATATAAATACATATATACTGTTTTTTTTTGTAAATACATACTTATTATACATAGAAACACCCAGACCAAATCAAACCTCAAATGTTCATGCACACAAATGTTTGATTTGAGCGTTAATCGAACACGCGACCTTTGGAATAGCAGTCCGTTACACAAACCACTACGCCATCCAGTCGTCAAAATATATACACATTTCCTTGCAAAATAAAAATGTACCGTTTACCAAACTATTAAAAAGATAACGACGACATTTGTATCAGTGACAAGTCATCGGCCATTGGTCACACATAGTTAGTAGAATACGAAAAATTACAAAACTATTCCATCGACAGTTTATCGATACAATATTAAAATAGCAGAATTAAGGCCTCATCAGTAGTACAAAGTACCTATGATTCTAATAACCGCAGAACGGTTTTGAAACAATCATAATTTGCAAACATTACAATTTGGAGACATGTAAACGTATATACTTACCAGAATAACACACATATGTTAACTTGGCCAGGATTTTCGTTTTGCCTTGTGTACATCATCATCAACAGCCTTTAATAGTCCACTGCTGGACATAAGCCTCTCCTTAGAAAGGAGGTTTTGGCCTACTATACCACGCTGGCCAGACGGGTTGGTATACATACATACAATAAAATAAATAACAATTATTTTACTAAACAGTAAGTTTTTGAAAAAGAACCAACATGGCTGTACGTTTTGAAAAACATTTGCAATAAAAATTATAGACAACATTATATCTAATATTTACAATTAACTTTTTTTTTATAATGAATAGAAACAACGAATTAATTGTTCCCATATTTTTTTCTCGATCTAAAAAATTAAAATTAACGTCCCCAGGAGATCAGAATTGTGGCTTTCGAGTCTCTTAGACAACAATTGGGCATCAAGAACGATAAATAAAAACAATAAAATAACCTAACTCGCTTATAATATATCTATCTCTCTCTCTCCTTACTTGTGTTCAGAGCCATCTAGTGAGAAAGTGGTGAACTAACTAACGCAGCAGTCCTGCATCGCGCAATTGAAATTTACCTAACTAATCTGTATGGTACATGGTTTAAGATCTACCTGGCTTTCGTCGACTAGTCTGAGGAACCTTCCTTTGTATTGAGGACCATCTTGTGATCCTCGTTTTCTGTTCTTCTATCAAAATAAGAAGCTGGTCAGGTAATAGGTTTGGTCTTTTAGGGGGTGTGGATTATATCCAGGGTAAAAACTTCTAGTAATCTGAGTCACCCATTAATAACCCCTGTAGCAAAGATAATGCTTACAAAATGCATTGGATTTGAACCCATAACAACTTGATACTGAAGTCCGACGCTTAGCTATTTTGCCATCGTCACTTCCATTTAAAGTTTTTTGATGGTAACAACAGTTTGATATTTTTTTCACAGTTATGTGTAATATTCTTCGTTCATCTCACTACTTCAGAAGAAAATAACAAACGTAATTTGTAAATAGTGAGTTGCAAGGACTCCCAAGCCACATTAAAATTATTATTTTTATTCTATCACAAAAAATAGCTCGTCCAAGAATAGTTGACTAAAAAAAAATTGGAATTTACCGAAAAAGCAAGCTTTCAAGTAACTTTATCACAATTTATCATTATTTTAATAAGGAGGTGTACAATTGCTGAGGTGATTAAACAAGACATAATCGTCAACATATCCTTGGACAAGCTTTACAGACTAGACATCTAATTCTTCGTTGTAGGCGTATTTGACACCCCCAAGTTGAGGAGTCCAGGGTACCCCCTCATTTGGTTCGCCATTAGGTCCCTGTACATGGCCAGTTGCCTCTGGTCCATCTGGCCAGCTAAACTACTATATAAAGCAACGGTGTATGGGTCTATAAAGGAATTCATAGGTCCAGTACCTTTCTGAAGGTCCATTATTTGTGCTAGGGGTAAATTCTGACCCTTGTACAGTAAAGGGTTTGAAGGTTTTTGGGTGGATCCTGCTGGAGGGGAGTCGTCTCTGATTTGGTAGCTAGGAATGGTGATTGGAGATTTTTTTTGGATGTTCGCAGCTTGAGAAGGGCTGGAGTATTTTGGGTATTCTTTGGGAGGAGTTGATGTTTTCGTGGACATGAACTTGCCGTTTGAGGATCTCTTCTGGGGAGGTCTTGGGCCTGTTTTGTTTGGACTGTGAGCTTTATTGACTAAGGTTATTTCTAGTTGATTAGAACCGACCACGGCTTTGCCGTCTACTAAAGTATAATTTTTGGACAAATTTTGAGCAGCAAGCTTAGGTGATGGACAGGATACCCTTAAGATTTCCACAGCTGGTTTTTGGGCAGGAGGACTGGTAGATTTACAGGTTAGGTCGAGGATATCTTGAGGGGTTGCATTAGTGGGGGGTATATTTCTCAAGGGTTTGACTGGAGCTCCATGTAGAACGTGAGGTGGTGGCATGAAGGGGTCTTTTGGGTTTCCATAGACGGTTTTCTCTGGACCTGCGGTTCCAAAGATTGAGGAACCTTGGACTACTTTTGGAGGTTGTAATCCGTTACCATAGTTTGGTGGTATAATGTTGTACATTTGGAATATTTGGGCTTGTGTCATGATCTGGTGCTGCATGGCTGGGTTGAAGATCATGGGGGTGTTCATCATAGGAGGTATCGGGTTCCAGGCGGGGATGGCGGTGACTTCGAGGCCTCTTTCCTTGAGGATGTCTAGTTTTTTCTTCTTGACCGCTTGTGGACTTTCTGGGTATTCGTCCAGGTCGATGATTTCTGGTGTTTTAGGTTTGTAGGGCACCTGTGAACATAGAAATAGATTTGTGAAAATTTATTTCACATCACATCATCACATCACATCAACAGCCTATACTAGTCCACTGCTGGACATAGGCCTCTCCTTAGAAAGGAGGTTTTGGCCTACTATACCACGCTGGCCAGACGGGTTGGTATAGGGTTTGTTTCAAGTTTTCCTTCTCTTTGCAGTACTGTTTTTTTGCTTAGTTTGCTCCCTTAGTCGGCTCTTACGACACCCACGGGATGAATCGGGGAGGTTACAATTTGTATTCTTAATCCGTCACCACACGGACCGGAAAATTTATTTAATTGAAAATAATTACATGTGATTGAATTAAATGTCAAACTTAACTCATACACAAATAATTATATTCGATTAGAAGAGGTAAGGCACGACATCACTCAGCTAATATCTTAGTTTTGAATGAGAGGTACCCTATAACTGGGATTAATTATTATTTTTATAATAGAGGGGGCAGACGAGCAGACGGGTCACCTGATGGAAAGTGACTCTAAAACTCAGGAGTCACAAACGCGTTGCCGGCCTTTTAGGAAGGAGTACGTAAATCTGTGGGCGTTATGTATATTTGTACTTAAAAGTTCACCAGATATACATAAATTCACTTATTAACATATTTTGTAGTAATGTTAAGTGTTCATTTCATATTACTCACCTCCACAATATCATCATCGCTGTGTTGCTGAGGTGGTGGGGGGTGGTGGATGCCGAAGTTGGTGATGGGCGCTGTACTCGTGGGGGGCGCGGGGAGACATGGCAGGGGGGTCGACGACAGCGAGCTAGGGGCTGATAGAGGAGGAGAGGTTGATGCTGAGTCCGGTCTTAGCGGGTTAGGCGCTGGAAATTAATTATATTTATAGTTATTTTAGATTTTTTTTTGTATAAAGCTCAAAAGTCATAAGTGTGTTGACGTCCATTGAGACCTCCTTTCCCAGAATTAGTGGGAGGTTACTTATATTCTACAGATCGCCCGGTAGTCTTTAGACCGTGATATCTTGTTTTATTTGATTGCCAAATAAAACTTGAACTGCTATCGTATGGTGTTTTGTACTGCTTTCCATGTCATTCTTAATAAATTCGTTTTACACAATTTTTAACTCTTAAGCTATTGCATAGCTTCTATCGCGGGCCTTGAGCGTGGAGACCGAATCCAGAAATTCCGTAACGAAAATAACCTAACACACCCCACGTGATACTTTTTAGTTTTGCCATCTATCGATGAATAGCAGAACTTTTAATGACTTTTTTGAAATATCACGCTTGTCTCTTTAGTTCAGCAACTCGCCTCTAGGTGGCATTGGTTGTATCGGCGTTACTGCGCATGCGTAATCCCCCTCTTCGCCCGCAATCTAATTAATATCAAAGAAAAAAAAAACGAAGGAAAAAAATACTGAATAAATAAAATAAATAAATAATTATAATTGCATAAGTTGATAAAAAATGCTATGCAATAGCTTTACCGCGGCAGTCCCCGAGTGCCACACGTCTTTTTTTTTTTTTATGAAGTTTTCATCATCATCCGAACTTCTTTCTCAGATACTGAGCTGAACTGCCATCAGAACTCAAGACCCCAGGCGATATCGAAGTTCTGTAGATTGTCAGACTTTTTAAGACTCGAACTATCCGTAACGATAGCCACAGATGTTCTGTATTGCAACCAGGAGCGACGGTACTCTCCGAGGCACTAAACTATTGAAACATTGTGTATAAATACAGAAGGTACTCACTGGAGGCATGCGGCCGGCCTGGTTTCACCCTCACAGCTCGGAGGGAGCTGCGCCCCGCTGGGACAGATGGCCGAACTGACTTCTGGAAGGGGGGGAGATACTCATTAGTTTACATTTAATAACTTAATCTCTACTAAATCCGAGTACTGCTTCCATCTTTATCGACTCTTTCCATCAGGGAAGTTCCATAACTCAATACATTCATGCAAACGAGCATACGGGTCATCTGATGTTAAGCAACTACCGCTGCCCATGGACACACAAGAGGCACAAGTGCGATGCTATTCTTGGAGTCCTCCCTCCTCCATTAGGTGGGGTTGGAGGGGTTTGGGACTACGGTAATTTCATTCATTTAATTCCTTGCCTGCTCCAATTGCTTACCTGTTGTAATCTATTCTTTCATTGTATTTACAGTGAAAGAATTGATGCAAGGTAAGCTATGAGGGCGTGGTGTCACCCTGGTGACTTTCCCACGATTGATAATGCTACTTCAAAGGCAAGCTCAAAAATCTTCCCACATAACATAAAGAGCCTTTTATGGTCCTTTGTCTACATAGGCCACTCTTTAGAAAAGAGGTTTTGGCCTACTATACTGTGCTGACCAGACGGGTTGGTACAGGTTTTGTGTCAAGTTTTCCTTCTCTTTGAAGTGCTGTTGTCCTGCGTAGTTTGCTCCCTTAGTGGCCTCATACGACACCCACGGGATGAATAGGGATGGTGACACTCCGTATTCTTATTTCATCACCACACAGACAACTGCCCACATCATCATAAAAGAATAGTTGAGACGTCGACTGGCAGACGTAAAAAAAATAACAAGAAAAACATAGCAATAACGAGCAGAGTCACTAACTGGCGTCATGGCGACGAGTCATAACGACATGTTACATATACTATCAGATAACGTGGCGACGCATGCCGTGGCAAATTGTCACAAAGAAGACCCGTGCTGGTCCGCAGCATACCAACGATACGCGACATGACATATTCGAAGATAAAACTGATCAAATGCTTACCAAATCCACAGCAGGTGATGAGGTGTGCCCGTTCAGTGGCGGGGGCAGTCGAGGTGGATCTCCTGCAAAGGACAGGGGTTTTAGTTTAAGATACAAATTATCTATACAAATAAATAAAATTGGAGTGTATGTTTGTAATATTAAAATAACCGCTTTTTACTAAATGCATAATGTATGTTTACACGGTACATATGCCAAAATAACATTTTATACAATTTTTGTCTGTCTGTCTGTCTGTTTGTTCTGGGTAATCTCTGGAACAGCTGGACCGATTTCGACGGGACTTTCACTGGCAGATAGCTGATGACATAAGGAGTAACTTAGGCTACATTTTTTAGACTAGCTTCGCCCCGCGGCGTTGCCCGCGGTTATAACACCAAACGCGGGTAACACCGCGGGTTTCAGCTAGTTATACAATAAAACTGAAGTGTTTGTTTGTAATGTCAAATTAATAGGTTTTTTCCATGTTCACACGGTTATTTGCACGACACCTATGCCTAAAAACCAGTTTAAATATTTTTTGGTCTCAGATAGACCACACATTTGTGGATCACACAAAGTGTCGTCCCATGTGGGGTTTGAACCCACAACACTCGGCGTAGTAGTGAGCGGGGTGGCGACCGCTTAAACCACTACGCCATCCGTGCAGTTAAAATAAAAGCTATTACGCATTTTATGCGTTATGTTATACATACAACATACTTATGAATATATACATACTAGCTGATGCCCGCGACTTCATTCGCGTGAAATTTGAAAAGCGCTGCCTGGTTGGTTCGATTCCCGGACCAAGCAACATTTTTTAAGGGTTTTTCTGAGAAAAATTTGCATAAGTTACTCCGTATATAGACAGCTGCCTGGTAGTAAAATATTATCAAAATCGGGCCAGCAGTTTTAAAGATTATCCGGAACAAACAGACAGACAGACAGAAATAAAGACCACAAATATTTAAACTGGTTTTTAGGCATAGATATCGTGCAGATAACCGTGTGAACATGAAAACAACCTATTATTTTGACATTACAAACGGACCCTTCAATTTTATTTATTTGTTTCAACCCAAATTCAACTCTCGTATACACGGGGCCAATATATGTAGATACTTATATACAGAGGTGTCGGTAACGGTAACAGTGTCGCGAGTTCGATGTTTTTTCCCATCTCATAAAAATACATTCTTTAAAAATGTCCTCACTGCAAAAAAAAATGATTCTAATGCAAAAACACAAAATACCTAATTAAAAGTTACAAGTTAAGTTAGAATTAGTAATTTATAACAAATTTATAAAACTACACAGAACTCACCTAATTTGGGTAGCTGACACAAATCGCTGACCAGCCGCTGATTTATGTTCTTAACATCCTCACTCTTGGCCACCCCTCCAACACACTTCAGGTCCATCGCGTTCTCCTCCTGCAGCTTCACCGGCTCGATGAGCTTCTCCACCGGCTTCACCGAAATCTTCATCAACTTCTCTTCTTTAGGCAGAGACTCTAAGAACTCTCTGTTCAATTCTTCCGCGTTCTTTGAAGTGATGATTTCGTCTTTCGATGCTTCGATGTCGAAGTTATATTTTTCTGGTTTCGGTGATGGAGTGCGGAGGATCTTTTCGGTGACGTCGTCCTCCCGGAGTGGGGAGTCTGTGACGTCTATCGTGGCTATGGTCTGCGGTTCAGGGTCAACTGTGCCGTTTATCTTGAAGACGACTAAGCCGTTTCGACGTTCGTGGTTTTCGAACGGCAGGAGGTATCTATAAATAATTGTATAATATTTAATGAACTTTTTTTTAAGACAACTTCTGTATTAGGAATTTACAAACATACATGAAACGGACACAAAGAACACCCAGACTCAGAACAACAATTTGAGGATCACACAACGTAAAAGGGACTCCTTCCTAAAAGGCCGGCAACGCGTTTGTGACTCCTGAGTTGCAGACGTTCATGGGTGGCGATAGTCACTTACCATTAGGTGACCCGTCTGCTCCTCTGCCCACTCTAACATAAAAAAAAAGCAAAATGTCGTCCCATGTGGAGATCGAACCCACAACACTCAGCGTAGTAGCAAACGTCGTGGCCACCGTTAAATTACTACGCGCTTGAGGCGTTTAAGTACATACAAGTAGTAATTTCTTTCAAAGGTGGTATTTGGTTGTATTTACGAATTCGTGATATCGTAGGCATACACAAGAAACAAATGGGCCTGCTCGACCGGAGTGAACCACGGCTACGCAGAAAATAATACTTAAGGGACTATTCCCACCCACACGCCCACCACTGTAACTCCTGTACACCAGGATCCACAGCAGTGACCCACGAACACACCGAGTTATGACTCTCGGGAAGTCCCAGGAAGAAATTAAACTGTCTTGGAACCCGCAACGAAATTAATCAGAAGAAAATTGGAGGAGTTGGAAATACAGTAAATCCACTTCCCTCCTTAGCAAAGCGGGAGACAAAATGAAGTAAAATAGGCATACACTCTTTTAAACAGGGAAGCACCACGGCCACAAAATATTACGGGTCCTACGTGAGCTATATTTCATAGTTAAGTAAGTCATTTGGTGCTTATTTCAATTTTCCAATTTAAGGTACGTCGGGGCACCAGGGATTTCTTTTCTAGGGTACACCTGGTTCCCCTACCTGAGACGGCGTGCGGTTTTAGTCGGTTCGAGTCCGACATTGCCATTGCCAGTGGTATCCGAGGGGATTTCAAAAACAAAAAAGAAAAAAAGGGGGAGGGTAGGTGGCTTGAAAGAGCTGGTAGTCACTTTCTATTGGATGACCTGTCGGCTCGTTTGTCCTTTGTAGGTTTAAAGAAAACCTTATCATTGTTTTTTTTAACTAGGTTTGCCTTAAAACCTTAATTATCATGATATTTGACATATTGTTAAGGGTTTTGGTTAGTATTCTATACAAGAATTAGGACGAGTTTTCCGAAGTTGGTGTTTGGTGTTAAGGTTTTCAAGACGGCTTCGTTCACAATTTTGAATGTCATTAGGACAAAACTGTTCATCAGGACAGTTTTGTCCTCATGTGATCGTCGTATTTAAAATTAAATTCGGTTTATCGAGTCACGCTCGAGCGCATGAGCGTAAACGGAGTTGTTGAAAGGTGACAGGGTGTCGCCGTCGACGTATGTTTGGTAGGACATTATCATTATCATCAGATACAAATTGAATAAATAAGATAAATTGGGGTAATTAAAGAAAAGATAGACCGAGGAAGCTTATTTACTTCCTTTCTTAACAGTTTTCACTCAGAAACCCAATGCGAGTTTCTCTTTCTCTGGCTCTCAAGATTTCGACGGTGTATGTGTTTATATGTGTGTTAATGTTCGATCGAGTAGAAGTGAGGGTGGCACAGGTGCGTGCGTTACCTCTCGTAGTGCTTCCTGGCGGCGGCGGGCGCGTGCGGCGCGAGGGCGCGCCAGTGGCGGCGGCGGCACGCGGCGCCGTACCCGCCGCGCGCGCGCACGCCCACGTACAGCGCGCGCAGAGACACTGCAACAGACACCGCCCGCGTCACACACCCCGCGCACCAGCTTTAGCGCCCTACTCGCTTCACACTCCAACTCACTCTTACTACTAAATGTTTATGGCATACCTCGACCGGGAAACCCTAAGCCGATTACGCTACTAGTAAACGTAGACAGAAAAATCTAATCAAATCTATCGAAGGTAAAGTTTTGGAGTCTCACAAGGAACCGTATTAGGTCCTACTTTATTTATAAGAAAGAAGTAATTTATAACGATAAGGTGATAGGTAGATACGAAAATAAATTTAAATGATCACTGAATTGTAAACATACGTATTGTTTGTTGTTAATTCTTAAACAATAAGCATTTATTATTGTATTTATACCCATACTTGTACTATTGAACGATGTTTTTTTTTTTTTTAAATATCTTGAATAAGTCAACAAAAATATCTAATTTCTCAAGGAAATATACAAAACTTGTAAATACGAAGAATAACCTCATTTTAACTGAAAACAACACAACTTACACTTACAAGAACAACTACATAAGTCCAAATGAATAAAATTACAATTTGTTCCTTTTAAACATTATTTATCGTATAGTAGTAATATAACGAAAACTGTAAGTCGATTTGCTAGCTAAAGATTATATATCAGTGTGGTGACGAATTAAGAATACAGAATGTCACCACCCCTATTCATCCCGTGGATGTCGTAAGAGCCCACTAAAGGAGCAAACTACACAGGACAACAGCACTGCAGAAAGAAAGAAAACTTGACACAAACCCTATACCAACCCGTCTAACCAGCGTGGTATAGTAGGATAAAACCTTCTTTCTAAGGAGAGGCCTATGTCCAGCAGTGGACTATTAAAGGCTGTGATGATGATGTAATTATATTCAGTTCCCTATACAAATACAGATTTATAAATTATAATGTTCAACTCACAATGTTTGAGGGTATTAGCGCCCATGTCAAAGTTCTCATTTTTTTGTTTATAAAACTCCTTCAGCTGCTGCAGGAACGCGCGGTCGTCTGCCGTCTCCTCTACTCTCTTACAATCGTCTTCTTCGTCTTCGCTTTGCTTCTCTGGGGCGCCGTTCCGTAAGGAGAGGCGGCGAGGAGTCTAAGAAGAGAGGCAGTCTTTCATCGTAATTACTTCTGAGAGAAAAATAACTAAATGTTTCTTACTTGTTTCAATTTTTAAGATGACTTTGATTGATTAACCGTGATATGAATCTATACTCTGTACTGGCAGGATAATGAAACTAAAATGCATGTCTTTCATTGATCCATCCAATGACTGATTGAGCTAATTGACCGACTCCTTTCTAAGGAGAGGCCTATGTCCAGCAGTGGACTATTAAAGGCTGTTGATGTGGGTTGCTGCTGTTAATGCTAGTGGTACAAGAATGGTAGTGATACTAGTCAAAATATATAAATCGAATCCATCATTACAAAACTACAAGAAGCAATTTTTAAACCAAGGGACGCCAATTGAATTGAACAATGTATACTTCCACCGCAACAACAGCCAGAGGAAAACAGCCCGGCAGGGCCTTTACTGGTCGGAGAACTTTCGAGGGAGGGTAAAAGGGAAATCGCATCGCCTTCCACCGTACTGTAACTTCAGAAATCGAATGTGTAACTTACTGGGGGTGATAACGCTGGCGGTGACTCCGTGGCAGAGCGATCTGTCCGGTCCGGTGATGGTGAGTGGAGCGCGCGTTTCCTCCGGCCTCGAGGCCTCCCTTTCAGCCGAGGGGCTAAGTGATTGCAGACGAACTCGTGACCTTCCAGCTCGGGATACTCGAAGGTGTCCTAGAAAATAAGAATTTTTTAGTGATAATTTTGAGAGCGAAATACAATTTCTGCCAAAAACTACATTAGAAAGTGTTGGAAGATTCCGTATTGGTGGTGGGCTCCGGTTTCTTGGACTAGGGACGATTGTTTGTGCGTCGAGTTGAGGTTGGCTAAGTGAGCCCACCCAGCTCCTTCCAGAAGCGGAAAAGCCTCCTGGGGAGTTTACAGGTTTCTAGGAGCAATTTCGTATCAGGTATGATACTTGCCCGTTGTGTGGACACTCCCTCGCATTCCAGGATTACGTGGGCGGTCATCTCTTCTGCTTTGAGATATCCTCTGCAAAGTGGACTGTCTATCGCATTGATGGTGAATGGTCGTGGTGTGGTGGTCGGTTCTGGGCTAGGCCCCTGTTATCGTGCCAACAACTATTCGGCTGTCTAGTCTGCTGAGACTCATCAATCTCCAAGTAAGTCCAGTGAGATTTCAGTCAGAATCATTTTGGACTGCCTGCAGCCGGGTTATTTTCCACCCTCAGTTGTGGGCTTCACGAGTACGTTGCCTCACCCGGGACCGAAGCTAGTTGAAAGGTAGTGGCAATAGTGTGGATGGGCCAGCAGCTGATGTAGCCGAGCCTCATCTTGCCAGCTCATCTGAGAAAGATTCCGTACATTCCGTAGTGGTTACTCTAGATCATGGCTTAGGATGAGTTTGAATTCTTCATAGTTTCGGGTACGAAAAGAGCTCTTTATCACAGTGAAAACTGATGTGAGTGTAAAATTTTATTCTACAAGTGAACAACGTGATCTATAAACGGTTGTTTTTGAAAGTGATGGAATGCATTAGCATTGGCGATCAATAGTCTATGTTCTTTTCGATGTGGCGAAACTCCTACGAGTCGTCTCAAATGCATTGTCTCTACCTGATCGTGAGGGAATTCCTCATGAGTTTAAATCCCAGAAACTAGAACAGTCTCTTTTTGGACGTTCTCTGAAGTGCAATGTTGCCAAATACTGTTCCTACTACATACCTTACAATATAATATTCTTGTGTTATTAGTAGCCGCTGCGTATCCTCCCAGGGCGGCCACCAGCGAGTCTCGCAGCCAGTCTGCTTGGATACCTTCAAGCCTGGATAGCAGCGCACGGTAGCGGCAGTACCGCGGATAGGAGAACACTACTACGCCAGGTGCATCTGCATCGATAGCTGTAGAGAAAGATACGACTTTGCGGTGAAATCAAATTTTGAAAGGTTGTGTCACCACCGCTATTCATCCCGTTGGTGTCGTAAGAGCCGACTAAGGAAGCAAACTATAGAGGACAACAGCACTTGACAGAGAAGGAAAACTTAACACAAATCCTATACCAACCCGTCTGGTCAACAGCGTGCTATAGTAGGCCAAAACCTCCTTTCTAAGGAGAGGCCTATGTCCAGCACTGGACTATTAAAGGTTGATGACGTGATGATGATGGGTACAGCTAGGCACATCTGTTTCTTTGACCAGGTCTTCAGTAATATGTGGATATCCTATGGCTTTTATAACCAGTGGTTGTTGGCACACTGACTAATTTACCTGCTGCTTAGTGGCAACACTGACCTTGCTTATGAGAAAAGCTGTCAATCACTTTGGTTCTTACAGAAATCTGAATATGAGATGAGGATCAGTGCAGATGTTCAAGCTTACCTATTGCGTTCTTCTCAGAGTCTACATCACTGAAGTCAAGCTTAGTGTGGTGCAGTGGCGAAGTGTGTTGGGGATCGGCGGGTGGGGCGCAGGCTCCGCGCCACACAGCGCGGAGCCCCCAGTGCCACTCCTCGCCGGTGCAAATCCAGCTGAGGAGGTCGTCTGCGCGGAGAACTACTTTGTCGTTGATGGCTAGCACCTCGTCCTGGAAAGAAGGAAACCGTAACTTATATAAGAGTTGCTACCGCTAGTTGTAATTAAAGCCTTAACCGTGCGACATATATCTTTAAAATAAACATATATAAATTGTTAAGGTTAGAAACGCGCACTTATTTTATTTTAAATTTCCCCGCGCTTGTGGCGCCATACTTTAATACACTGTGTGAACGCCCTTTTTTTTTTTTCCGTGCGGAAATCCCCTCGAATACCACCTATCGGTGGCATGTCGGACTCGAACCGACTAAAACCGCACGCCGTCTCGGGTACCAATAACCAAGTATACCCTAGAAAGGAAGTCCCTGGTGCACTGTGTGAACCCCTGCATTCTATTATGTCAAATAATTACTTGCACCGCCATTGTGTATGCTCTGCATATCTCCTAAAATAAAACAGAAAGTATTCAGTGCTTTTATTGCTTGTTTATACATAAATATCAACATATAAACACACGCATGTCTCTGTGAGAGGGTAGGCAGAAAAACATTCGCGCAACTTACGTAACATGGCGTAAGCATATTGACGCCAACTGAAAACATTTAGATTTAATCGGCAAATGGCTGTCAAGTCAGTGTCTTTTAAACGCTTAATAAACGTTAAAACGATGGACGCAGTATATTTTTGTATGATTTATTTTAATATCCTACCACATTCACACAACGCCATCTAGTCCCAAACTAAGCAGAGCTTGTACTATGGATACTAGAAAACTGATATAAACACATATATACTTATTTTTTTGTAAATAAATACATATTATACATAGAAACACCCAGACCAAATCAAACATTAAATGTTCATGCACACAAATGTTTAACTTGAGCGGGTATCGAACCCGCGACCTTTGGAATAGCAGTCCGTTACACAAACCACTACGCCATTCGTCATTTATTATGGCGTGACGTCATACCTAGCCATCGTCAAAATGATTTAATGTTCATTTGATGATATCAAATCAATAAAAACGTTAAATTGCTAATGAAATACAATTCAGAACGTATTTAAAAAAAAATCATTTAATTTGAAAAATACGGACATCTGACACACAACGCCATCTAGTTTCAAACTAAGCACAGACCTTGTACTATAAAAACTAGATTGACTGATAGAATACTTATAAATATATTAATGACTAGCTGACCCGCGCAACTTCGTCTGCGTCTCTGAATAGTAATAAATTTTCTCCGTTTTTGAAACATTCTTCATTGGTGCTCCGCTCCTATTGGTCTTAGCGTGATGATATACAGCCTATAGCCTTCCTCGATAAAAGGGCTATCTAACACTGAAATAATTTTTCAAATCGGACCAGTAGTTCCTGAGATTAGCGCGTTCAAACAAACAAACAAACTCTTCAGCTTTATAATATTAGTATAGATTCAGGTTAAATAATTTACGAGTATTTTGAGCAAGAATCTACCCTATGGGGATTATAATAAAAGAAAAAGTTGGTAAGATGGAAATGCAATGGTAGAAACGTGATATTGCTTAAACGGGTGGAGGGGGGAGTTTAATGAATAGCTGGAGTACCTCAGAGTCAGATCTCTAAACTCTTCGATATACTTAAAATATAATAATTTATGTGATTACATACATCAAACACACATATAAACAGTTCTCTCAGTCAATCTAGTTTTCATAGTACAAGCTCTGCGTAGTTTAAAACTAGATGGCGCTGTGTGTCAGAAGTCTGTTTCTTTAAAATTAAATGTAACATTTTAAAGTACGGCCTGAATTGTAGTTCATTGGCAATTTAACGTTTTAAGTCACATCAACAGCCTATACTAGTCCACTGCTGGACATAGGCCTCTCCTTAGAAAGGAGGTTTTGGCCTATTATACCACGCTGGCCAGACGGGTTGGTATAGGGTTTGTTTCAAGTTTTCCTTCTCTTTGCAGTGCTGTTGTCCTGCTTAGTTTGCTCCCTTAGTCTTACGACACCCACGGGATGAATTGGGGTGGTGACAATTTGTATTCTTAATCAGTCACCACACGGACAACGTTTTTAGTGATTTTATATTATCAAAATATTAAATCATTTTGACAATAGGCCTCTACTAGTCCGCTGTTGGACTAGACCTCTACTTAGAAAGAGATTTTGTCCTACTATACCACGCTAAACTATACTACTTTCTAAGGAGAGGCCTATGTCCAGAAGCGTACTGCTAAAGGCTGTTTATTTAGTTTCATTTTAAAACACAACTATCATTACAGGTTTAGCCCAAGGCGATAGTGTTACTGTGTGATCTTCTATACAAATAAATAAAATTGGAGTGTCTGTTTGTAATATTAAAATAACCGCTTTTTACTAAATGCATATGTATGTTTACACGGTACATGTGCCAAAATAACATTTTTTTACAATTTTTGTCTGTCTGTCTGTTTGTTCCGGGTAATCTCTGGAACGGCTAGACCGATTTCGACGGGACCTTCACTGGCAGATAGCTGATGACATAAGGAGTAACTTAGGCTACTTTTTTTAGACTAGCTTCGCCCCGCGGCGTTGCCCGCGGTTATTTCAACAAACGCGGGTAACACCGCGGGTCTCAGCTAGTAAGAAATAATTCTTGTAATAAATAAGTAGTGTGTTGATAATACCACGCTGGCCAGGTGGGTTGTTAGTACTCCTTCTGCGAGCAAGTTATGCTCGCGAAGGAGACGGCGGTGCGGGACCGGGAGAGGTTTAGGAGTCTCCCGGCCCGCCAGGCCCGGGAACGGGCCAGGTACCGCAGGCGACTCAGGCGCCGGAGGTCACAGAACGACCTCCGTCCTCCATAAGCGCAGGCCTGGGGGTGACAGGTGAGGCCATCTGTCACCCTAGCAGAAGCAGGCCGGGGTGGCGGCGAGCGCGTTGCGAAGCGCGCTAGCTGCCAGGGAGCACAGGGAACATGGGATTCCCACACGGGGGGGGGGGGGTCGTCTACTCGTCTATAGATGACCCGAGGTATGTCGGGGCACCAGGGACTTCCTTTCTAGGGTATACCTGGTTCCCCGGCTATTAGTACCCGAGACGGCGTGCGGTTTTAGTCGGTTCGAGTCCGACATGCCACCGACAGGTGGGATTTCCGCACGGAAAAAAAAAAAGGTGGGTTGGTAGTTGGTATAGGGTTAATGTCAAGTTTTCCTTCTCTTCACAGTGCTGTTGTCCTGCGTAGTTTGCTCCCTTAGTCCAACACCCAGGGGATGAATAGCGGTGGTGACGTTCCATATTCTCAATCCGTCACCACACGGACTTTTACAGGACAGTAATTACATAAACAAATATTATTTTCAAACTGAAATAGACAATTTGTCTGACCTTACTTCGTGTTGTTTTTGCTGACTGTATAATACAGTATGTGTACATAATTAAAGGCGGCACAAATAAATCGGCGCACAACCCTGTGGAATAAGCCGGGGGTTGAGGAGGGGACGCACAGAGATGGACTCCGAGACTTATATAATCAAATATTTATTGTTAAGTTTAATAAATTGACTGCACGGATGTCGTAGTGGTTTAAGCGGTCGCCACGCCGCTTCCTACTACGCCGAGTGTTGTGGGTTCAAACCCCACATGGGACGAAACTTTGTGTGATCCACAAATTGTTGTTCTGAGTCTGGGTGTTCTTTGTGTCCGTTTCATGTATATTTGGAAAGTCACCCGCGACATAGGATATATTCCTAACGCGGGCGTTGTCTTTTAAAAAAAAATAAAAAATTAACGAAATTTACGTAATAAATGGACCAGTAGTTTCTAAACAAATCTTTTATTTGTAGGTTAAAAGGACATTGAAACGTTACTTCATTTCTAAATTCATTCATTCGTTCTTAGTTCTCTTTTAATCAAATTTATTTTGACATTTAAACATGACAGGATTATACACTAATATATCATCATCATCAACAGCCTTTAACAATCCACTGCTGGACATAGGCCTCTCCTTAGAAAGGAGGTTTTGGCCCACTATACTACGCTGACCAGACGGGTTGGTATAGGGTTTGTGTCAAGTTTTCCTTCTCTCTGCAGTGATGTGGTTCTGCGTAGTTTTTTCCCTTAGTCGACTCTTACGACACCCATTCTTAATCCGTCACCAATATATACACTAATATAATAAGATTTTTTTCTGGACGAAAGGTATTTTCTTATTTTATAAATTACTCAGGAAGTCGTCGTCAGAATAGCCTTCCTTGTTCATTCAAAGATAATAAAATGCATCCATTTTAAAATACCCATTAAATTTCTCGTTACGTATTAAAAAAAACGGGTCTTCCAATTTAAATTTTAATGTCTTCATTTCCATTTGAGCTGTTCAACTATCAGACACCTGCGATCTTCACCATTTTATCAAATAACAAGTGGCAGGCCTTTGGCTGTGTCGCTCTTAGTTTTTTTTGTATCCTTTCACCCGTCTCCAAATATTCTAAATGAACATTTTAGCATTTTATCTAAAGCTTACTTGGAGAAACCTTCTTTTTTTTTAAATCAATATTTGTTTTCTATTTGACGGGCCTGTTGGTCTAGTGGTTAGTGACCCTGACTGCTAAACCGGAGGTCGTGGGTTCGATTCCCACCCAGGACAAATATTCTGTGATGAGCACGGTCATTTGTTCTGTGTCTGGGTGTAATTTATCTATAATATGTATGTATTTAGAAATATATAAGTATGTTTATCAGCAGTCTGGTCACCATAGTACAGGGTCTGCCTAGTTTGGGACCAGACAGCCGTGTGTGAGTGTGTGGGATATATTATTATTTTTATTATACTTTATGCTAAAAAGTGATAGAAAAGAATGGAAGAAATAAACCTTAATACTTTGATATCAGAACAAAAATATATCACATTAACCCAAATCCATCCCTGTACGATTCTAAATGAAGGTGGGGGTGAACTAAAATTGCTTTCAAATAAGTAACCAACCCTCGGATATTTCGCGAGCGGGTGTCGATGTCACTTCCATATCGAAACGATACCGTCTCATTATATATTCTTTATAACAACTTTACTTGAGAGACAGTTTTAAAAGCAAAGATCTTCGATTTTCCATATGGCATCATCATCATAGAAGATCATCAGTATGAATGGTGGGAACATCAAAGTCAAAAATTTTTTTTTTAGCAGAATTAGCACCAATGTGTTTTGTCAAATATTTAGCCACCAAAAACCTATACAATATTCATAATGCTCGGTGGTGCATTGGTATCGTATGCGACTGCAGTGCTGAACACTATGGGTCGATTCCCGGGGAATGTTTGTATAATCTACAAATATTAGTTCCGGAGTTTGGGTGTTTTCTGTATTTACAAAAAAAAAAAAGTATTCTATCAGTCAATCTAGCTTTCATAGTACAAGCTCTGCTTGGGTTTGAAACTAGATGGCGTTGTGTGTTACATGTCTGAAAATCTGCTATATGCCTGTGCCGATCTACCAAGTTACCCTGTTACCAAGGGGTTGAGCCTTACGAGCAGAAAGGGCAAACAAACTCACGGCCAATGTTTATTTTTAATAGCAGCTAAACGAACAGGTAGCTCACCTGATGGTAAG